CGTTTCAAAAACACAGATTTCTTTACCATTTAAAACGGCATCTTTGAATCTCTTTTCTGCTGGACATACTTTTGTCCTAAAGAAATTTAAACAAAACGTAAAAAGCCTTACATATACAGTACTGTAGGATTGGTATAGTAGAAATTTTTGGCAGTTTTAAAACCTTGACTTTTCCAAACCGCAGTAAAGCCTACCTTGAAAACGGTTATGTCCCATGTCTAATGTACAACCATGGACAAAATAAATGAGCACTTAAAAACCTTTGTATTAAGGGACTATATTGTATACATTATACTAAGAGGTGTTGTACGTAAAAAATGCAAAAAGTCCTCATCATGTATAACATGGAAAGCACATTTATCTCACCTCTTAAATTGAATGTCAACATTTTTTTGCCATACAATGGGAATGAATAGTAACCAAAGCCACTCCTTGATGCCTATTCATTGTCTTTTTAAGAAAAAACTATAAATATAACTACAAACATTATCTATAGTTTTATAGAACGACACAAGGCAAATTAAACAAAGCATTTTGACCATTTTAGTTCAATTATTCCTTTCAATAAAGGAAAGAAAAAAAGGAAAATAAAAAAATCAGAACAATAATAAAAAGTGACTAGTGAGGGTGGTACCTTGTTATTGATGATGGCTTCTGAATCATCAAAGACAAAGTCCCCATCATAGCTGTTTATAAAACAGATCAGGGCAACAAAGGCAGTAGTCAGCCGGGAGTGCAAGGGTCCCAGTTTTGGCAGGGGGATGTGATGATCCCAGTAAGGCTCAGAAAGCACCATTTTTCATGTGGTTTCTTTTCATTCTGACCCACCACTGTCTTGCAGAACAAAGAAAGCAGGTGGAAGGTTAACACAGCAAACTAAAAAACCAAAACGACTTCAGAAACGACACGTATTTCGCGAGAAGAGTGCACAAAGTGTAAACATACCTACTGTATGCACCACAGAGGTGTGTTAGAAAAGACTGTGTGACATTTCAGCACAGTTGCACGCAATACTGCATGGTTGTAGACACAGATGCACACAGTGCATAGCAACCGGCTTTCAGGTCGAGCAAAGGATACGAAACCATTCACACATTCAACATTCTCTGTTTCATATATCCTACTCGTATATTTTGCTCGTGCGCGAATGACTACAGTCAAAACATGATTTACAAATATTAATAGTATAAACGTGCACTGACGTCAATGACTGTCTGCCCGCCGACGAGGACGATTTGCAATCTGTAAGAGACGAGCAGTACAGGCTTTAAATCATCGGTGTCACATATACGATGCAAAGATCACTGAATGTAAAATTAAAAGCTTAATACGTGGCTGAACGATGGCTGATCCCTGTATGAGCCTCGCTCGCGTCAACTTCCTGCTAGAGCGAGAAGAATAGACCGCGTGACGTCACGTGACCTGAGTCAGCCGAGTGGATGTAATGTTGTTCATATTGACTTACAAAACCATTTTATGGAATAACGTAGACATTAAGATAAATAACAAATCTTATTTTAAATCTTATCTTATTAAAACTTATGAGAGTTTTATAAATAATTTCCTGTCCGGTATATGGAATTTACGTCAATTATAAAGGCTATACCTAGTGAATTACCATGCCTGAAGGGTATGCATGAAGGTACTTAGTTATGAAACAGGTTCCAAACAATTCTATTCTATTACTAATCTATTCTTAGTAAGGAATGCAATAATAAGTTCATATGCCAAGTGTCCCAGTCACATACCTTAATTACTCCTAGAGGAAAGTTTTTTGGGGTTCTATACTTGTTAACATTCAATGGAGAAAAACATGGTTATTACCATATAAATTCTGTATTCCTAATAAAATAACAGAGGTGCACTTTAAAATTTTGCACAATATTTACCTATGTACTGCACTTTTATCCAAATATTGTTATGTTACTGATATTTGCACATTTTGTAAGAATGAATGTGAAGACATTTGTCACTTGTTTTTTTTTTTTTCATGAGATGTATCATCACTGTTTTGGAATGATTTAAGTTCATATTGCTTTTCCAAGGTTAATATGAGTAGTAATTTTGCACCTTTAGGACATCATTTGTTATTCTGAAAACCAAAAGATTAATTCACTTAGATTAATTGATAATACAAAATGTGTTTCTTTCCTGAGCAAATATGATAAGATCTTTCATGCTACTTGAATATTTATTTCTTTTTTATTGCATTATTTCTTTTAACTTTGATTTTTTTATGTATTTTATTTGGGTTTTGCTCTTTATCTTGTATATCCAATTGGACTATTGTGTAAAAGAACTGTTATACAGATTCTTGAAATTATATTAAAAAAAAATATATATATATATATATATATATATATATATATATATATATATATATATATATATATATATATATATATATATATAATGTTGTTCAGAACTAGCAAACAAATGAAAATTAGTTAACTGTAGATGAGTATAACACACAAAATGTCGAGCAGTGAGACATTTTGATGTGTATAGTTCATCTAAATCTGTTTTAAACTATATTTACTTTATTTGTACATTTAAATTTGTTATTTTTATGCAAATCTAAAAGGTTTCATGTGATTTTTACTTTTTATACATTCTGAGTAAAACACATCTACTGTAGAAATGTGGATATTACAAGTCCATTACTCCACATAGAGTTTATTATGATGAATAAAGCTAATTTAGCTTAGCTTATAGACTTTTTCAAAGTGTAAACATGACCGTACTTCAAAAACTGCTAAAGGATTGCAATAGGATGTTTTTAAAGTATTCCAACTAGAATTTCTATCATATTTTGGATCTTTTCCTAAAGGATTCCAATATGATTTCTGTATCACAAGTCCATGTTGTATTACTCCAAATTGAGTTTATTATGATAAAAAATGCTAATTTAGCCTAGCTCATATTTTCAGCTAGAGACTTTTAAAAAGTGTAAACAGGAATGTACTAAACAATGCAACAAGCTCAATTAATTTATTGAAACAAAACATGACATGGAGCCAGAGTCAACAACAGAGTCAAGAATAACCAAATGATGCACTATGATCTAAACCAGAGATGGCCAAACTAGGGCCTGCGGGCTAAAGTTGGACTAAGGCAGGGGTGTCAAACTCAATTCCTGGAGGGCCGAAGCCCTGCACAGTTTAGTTCCAACCCTGCTCCAGCACACTTACCTGTAGGTTTCAAACAAGCTTGAAGGGCTCAATTAGTTTGATCAGGTGTGTTTAATTAGGGTTGGAACTAAACTGTGCAGAGCTGCGGCCCTTTTGGAACTGAGTTTGACAACTGTGGTCTAAGGTTACCTTTGAGTTGGCCATCCCGTCTGAAAAGAGAGAAGAATGATGGGGATGGTTTAGAGATTGTCATTTTAAATTTAATATAACCTTTTATTTGTTTGTTTTATTGTTAAGCTACAAAAATAGCTAACTAAAGTTAAACGTTTCAATTTAAATGGTGTCAAGTAGTCAGATTTATGACTTTGGTGATCAAAGGCAAAGGCAGATTCTGCTTGACTAGTGTTTTCAACAATGAACTCCACTGTATTATAAATGTGATTGTTTTATGCTTTTATTGCAATAGTTATTATATTTAAAAAGTTAAACTGCATTAGTTAAAGTAATGTTTTCTATTTATTTTTAAATATTATGAAGTAAATTAGGAAATTACCTATGGCAACTTCAATGTAAAATACTTTGGTATATTTATCTTTGGCCCACAGCTATCAGTGATGGTTTTTGACTCTTCATACGAAAAAGTTTGGGCATCTCTGATCTAAACTAAAGGATTGTAATATGAAACAAGTGCTAAATGGCATATTTTCCATACCCTGAAGGTTCCCTGTACAACAAAAGCATGTAAAGTCAATAAAGTATAATTCAATGAAAGGTAACAAGGTACATGCTTCCACATCATCTATGCCCCACACCAGGAGGCGTCTCTATAAAGTGTAAAACTTTTCCTATAGTATACTGTAGAACGATTAATTGATGGTACTCCATGGCTGTGTCTGAATGCAGCTGACTTTCCTCCTCCTTTTAGATAGTTATTGTGGAGGCATCTGCACATTAAGACCAACAGATTTTGTTTGTTTCTTTGTTTCTTTGTTTGTTTCTTTGTTTGTTTCTTTGTTTGTTTCTTTGTTTGTTTCTTTGTTTGTTTCTTTCTTTCTTTCTTTCTTTCTTTCTTTCTTTCTTTCTTTCTTTCTTTCTTTCTTTCTTTCTTTCTTTCTTTCTTTCTTTCTCTCTTTCTTTCTTTCTTTCTTTCTTTCTTTCTTTATTTCTTTATTTATTTGCTATGCAGTCTTCTATTTAATTAATCTACATTTTATGTTATGTATTTTTTTTTTCTAAAAAATGCTCTGGGAATAAAAGACTTCCGTATGTCACAATTATGACTTTATAAATAATTAATAAATTAGAAATGAATATAAAATTATTTAACTCTGTGACTTATACGATCAGAACTCAAACCTATAAATATGATGTGGCAAAAGAACACTTACAGGCTTTATTTCAAGAAAATTACTAATGGTCAAAATATTCTGTAACCTGTTGTCAGTTTCTGCAAATAAATGCTTTGACATCCAGACATTGTTTGCTGAGACAGATAATTTCCCACTGTATCAGAAATTAAAACACCAAAGATTTTGGTTTGATTTTATTCATAACACAGACATATAAATGACAATGATCTCTCTTTAACGATCTCTTTTTAAAATGGAATCTAATTGTATTTAATTTATAATAATAATAATAATAATAATAATAATAATTATTATTATTATTATTATTATACCAATGTTGAAAGGTCTGTGTAGTTTGTATTTGCCATTATAAGTAGATAAAACCGACAAAAATGACTTGCAATTTAATGATTTGACTCCTGTAGTGTTTACTTTGAACAAAAACACCCAGAATACACTGACGCTGAAATATAAGACATTTCAGCTACAACGTTGACAACATGTCGTAATGATGACTGTCCAACTTCTCTCCTTGTGAAGCGCTGACACAGCACTAATCGCTCAGTGGCACAAACACCATTGCGGCCAGTCCTGCCCCAGTCCCTTCTCATGAGGGCTGACATCACAGAGATTAGCTGTGGCTCTCTGATTCCTGGTACAAACATTTCAAACACAAACACTCACACCAGTGGCAGTGGCTTTGCGCTATCAATAGAGGCTTTGAGCATGCAGTGAAACTGTTCCCTTGTTCCCCTATGGTGCGATGATACATTGTAAGCGCTGTGAATGGAACTGTAAAGTCATGTTGCTGACATAATTCAAAAGAGAAACTCCTCGACAGAAAGCAGTTATCTGAGTTGCCACAGAGATTAAGACTAGGTTTAGATGCAGGACTAACAACCTGTTGTAATCTTGTGTCTCTTAGGAGAAGTGTTCATCTACAACTGGCTTCAAAATGAGGTAAGAACGCTTTATGTTTTCTTAGTTTGCCATCCTGCTGATTCGAGCTGTAGTCTTTTCCCCTCTTCCAGCACTGTAATTCACTTTAATGAAAGAATGTGCAGTTATAGTGGTGATTGATTTAGTCTGATGCAGAACATTTACACAATAATGTGCTCTATTACGTGTGTAATGAATTGCCTGTGTCCCGTTTGTGCTGTAAGAGAATGGAGACTCACATCCTGTCTAATTAAACCACAAACTAATAACCTTATTTACATTGCAGCTGTCACACACATATGATTATTATCATGAACAACTCGCTTCCTATATGAATGTATGACTCTGGAGCCCCCACTGATTCAATCTAATTCACTAAACTATGTGTTCTCATAACAAGCATAATAAATATATATGACTGTTATACTGAATGACCACAGTGGTATACATAGAATAACTTTATATTTTGAGTTGATATTAACAAAGTAACTTTCTCTGTAAATCTCATACTGATGGACGGACTGAATGAATGCACTCATTAAAATTTATTTCAGCTGTTGTTATTGAGAAATGGATAAATGGACTAAAAATATACTATACACAAAACATGAAAATTCAGAGCAAAAATAAAGTTAGTGAATAATCAAATTATAACAAATATAACTAAAAAGTAATACATGTTGGCTGTTTTCATATTACATTTCATTTTCTTTTTTCTCCTAATACAAAAAAATTAATGTCAAAACAATTTTAAAAATTGCATTGAAAAAGTAGAATAAATAGAAATAAATGTAATTAATTAGAAAAAAATTGTAATAAAATATTAATAAAAAGTTTTTTTTTGCATTTATTTTTCTATTTTGCAATAGAAGCGACAGCCTCATAAGTAGGCCTACATTGAATGTGCAGATTTTTAGCCCATCATTGAGTTTATTTAATTATTTATGTAAATGTGTGTAAATATATATTTATTCATTTTTTTGTTAATTTCAGTAATATTATTAACTATATATTACCATTTATATGATTTATTTACAAACCAGTTTTAAAGTCATATTTTTAGTTGATATATTTAATGTGAATCTTGCTTTGTTTACCAAATAAGGGGATCTAATTGGATTTACATTGTAAACCTTAAATGAGAGTTTAAAATTATTATTCATTTGTTAAAATGTATTTAAAACAAGACACATTTAGTCTAATTGAATTTTTTAATAATTTAATTTTAAAATAAAGTGTTGCATTACATTAACCAGATGATGTACAAAGATTTCTCTTTGTCAAAAAAAAAAAATTATAATACAGATATGAATAAAATGTTAAAGTTTAGTGTGTGTAAGTGCTGCTTTTTTATTCTGGTCAATTAAAAAAAAAACACTGTGAGAAAACTGCATTTACAAAATAGAAAAAATATATAATAAAATATTTATAAAAAAAGTATATTTTTGCATTTACATGTAGCATTTAGGAGCAAAAGCTTCATAAGTAGGTGTACATGGAATCTGCGCATGCAGATTTTTAGCCCACCATTGAGTAAATTTTTTTATTTATATAAATGTGTATACAGTTTTAAAGTAATATTTTTAGATGATATAATTAATGTGAATCTTTCATTCTAATTGGATTTACATTGCGAACCTTAAATAAGAGTTTAAAATTATTATTTATTAGTTAAAATATATTATTTATTGGTTATTATTTTCTGTTCTTAGCTATTAAATACTCCAAATCATTCTGCATAAATCTGCATTTTTATTTTTTTTGCAAAATTCTGTGTGAAAATAGCAAAAAAAAAAAAAAAAAAAAATCAGACTCATTAGACTTGTGTCAAGATAAACTGATTGATTTGTCTGTACTGTCTTTTCTAGGTAAAGAAGTAACACTTTTGCCTGCTGCCCATCTTTATCCTGCCAATGTCAAGATCTTGTCGGGAGAGGAAAACGGCAGTGTTCTTGACTCCGCCCCTCTGCTCAGCCATGGCCCCTTGCCGTGGCCATTAGGAAGATTCTTACTGGAGCAATGACAGGTGAAATGAAGCACAAAATATTCTGTGTTTCCTTTTTGCTTTCTCTCTCTTACTTTGACACAAATTGGAATGAAAAAGGCTGTGTAAATATTCATAAGTAAAAATGTGAAGCAGGAATAAAATAAGTACAGTGAAATGATAAAAGATTCTATTATTATCACTGGCTTGTAATACTTTTTAATATGCACACACGCACACTCATAAAAAGAAGACTCTTACACTCCCCAAGGCTTCATTTATTTGATCCCAAAATACAAATAAAGATGTAAAATAGTTTTCATCCCAAAATCACTGCTTTCTATTTAAATATAGTTAATTCAGGTGTTAGCAAAGCTGATTTTTCAGCAGCATACTTCAGACGTAATGTCACATGACCCAGAAATTATTCTAATAATCTGTTCTAAAATTGTATTATTATTTTCAATGCAAACAGTTTGCTGCTATTTATATCATTATTTTGTTTATACTCATTGATTCATTTTTTGTTCGGCTTAGTCCCCTTATAAATCTGGGGTCGCCACTTATCCAACTTATCCAGCATATGTTTTACGCAGCGAATGCCCTTCCAGCTGCAACCCATCACTGGGAAACATCCACACACTCACATCATACGCACACATACAATACGGACAATTGAACTTACCCAATTCACATTTACTGCATATTTTTTGGACTCGTGGGGGAAACCAGAGAACATGCAATCTCCACACAGAAATGCCAACTGACCCAGGCGGGGCTCGAACCAGCAACCTTCTTGCTGTGAGGTGATTGTGCTACCCACTGCACCACCTTACTGCCCATTTCATTTATAAATGAATCCTAGATAAGGATTTTGCATTCAATATTTCCCCTTTAATTTTCACAATGTGGAAAAAAAACAGCCAATGTATGGTTTTTTTAGGCTTATCAATTTCGAAAACAATTTGCATTTTCCCGTCAATTTAATTTTCATTGAAAAAGCCTTCGCACATACAGTACAGTACTGTCTAAATCCTTACAAGAGAGAGATGGACCATATGTCAAAGTTCTCTTTTAAGTACTCTATCAACTCAAAACCCTACCTTCCACTCCACCCATCTAACATTGATCAAAATGTGGAAATGTGGAAGGTTCATAAAAAATAAAATAAAAGGCATATTATACATGGATACCATTTACAATCATAATATGGAACTGGTACATAGACAATGAAACCAAAAGAGCCATTATAAAATAATCATAAGATAATATAAAATAAATAATTAAATAAAGTAAAAAAAGTGAATGAACATACTATAGTCTTATTAAAGTCAGTTCAGTTTATCTGCAAAAATAATATAAATGGTTTCCAAATCTTGTTAAAAATGGACAGTTTGTCACTTAGTCTGAATCTCAGTTCTTCTAAGTGTAACATCTCATCACATTTTTGTTGAATAGAACAGAATTTATATTTGAATCATAATAAAATTTCATTAAAGAGATAATTTCTTTCAAATCGAGTACAGGAAATATTATATTATAAATAATATTTATTTCTTAATGTTATCAACTTAAATAAAATAAACCCTAATTTAACACAGCTGTTTAAGTTATTAAAATGAATTTCTTCCATTGTTTAGTTGCGGAAATGGTTTGTGGCCCGTGACATTGCGTGATATCCAGCCATTTCCTCACTTTCATGCCATTTGACCCTGACCTTTCTTTTCTTTTATCATTACATGTACCGTCAGATTGCAAAAAAATCAATGTCTGTCACCCTTTCTGGGATCACAAGACATTACGTCCCCATGTTCTCTGATGACTCGTCTGTCACTTTGCATTTGGGCCACTGGTCAGGAAAGAGCAGAGGAGCCCCTCATTAGCAGATCCCCCCTCATATAAATACCAAAGTGATGCAACCAGCCAACTGATATTAAATCCATATTTCATGCATTTCGCATATGGGGGCAATTATCAGTGTCCAAAAAAGAATAGAAAAGAATAGAAAAAAAAAGCGATTATGCTTATTTGGCTGACAAAAACAATGAAATGCAGCTAAATGATTTGAGTGGTGTCTGCAATAAGTAGATACAGTAGTTGAAAATATCAGGAAGTAGGAATAGGAACAAATGTGTCCCAACACAAAATCAATTAAGTTAACTTAATTGTTTTTACAAATTTAAGTGGATTGAGCATAAGGCAGTTAAGTTGTCCCCTCAAAAACTTAGTTCATTGTTGATATGTAGTTTGAACAAGTAGCAATTTTTTTTGAGTGTAGTCTAACAAAGTTAATAGGCTTAATAGACTTAACTAAGACTAAAAGTTATAACCAAACTTCAACAGTTGATTGATTACATTAAGAATTGCTGACTTTTTAAAGATTTAAATATGCAAATTAGGCATTATTTATTCATTCATTTATTTTTCTCTAAAGCTTAGTCCCTTTATTTATCAGGGGTCACCACAGCGGATGTCCTTCAAGCCGCAGCCCAACAATGGGAAACACCCATACACTTTAGTATTCACACACATACACTACAGCCAATTTAGCTTGTTCAATTCACAAATCTCATGTCTTTGAACTGTGGGGGAAACTGGAGCACCGGCAGGAAACCCACCTTCAACCTTCAGGAAAGCAACCTTCTTGCTGTGAGGCGATCGTGTAACCCACTGCCCCCTAATGAGGCATTGTTTTATTAAATATTCACTATTTCGTGTATAGTTCTAGCACACAAATCTAAAGTCTGGAAAAAGTCAGATTCAACATTTTTGCTTTCAGGTTTAAAATTTCTTATTTTTTGACATTATAGTGAAAGGATTTTACAAAGGGGATTTTGAGAATCATCAAAATACTGTGACCAGCTACAAAAAGACATACGTTTACACAGCTCTTTGTTCAATAAAAGGTTGTATTTATTTAAGGAAATTATGTATGAAAATCTCTCTTTGTCCAAATCCATTATAATACAGATCTGAATATAATGTTAAAATTTGGTGTGTGTAAGTGCTGCTTTTTTATTCTGGTCAATTCAGAATAAAAAAAAAACTCATTGTGAGAAAGCTGCCTTTAAAACATGTATTGTAATTGAAAACAACTGACACAAATGGATAACGTGCAGCAAATGAAACACTTAAAGCTGTATTTTGGATGTTTTTTATATCACACACACACAAAAAAAGAAAAGACAAAAACAAAAAGGCCATAATCTCGATAAAGACAAAAGTGTGGTAAAATGTACCTGCAGTGTCTTGGCTTTAAAAAAATCATTCTAAAAGCATTATGCAGTTCTTCATACGTTGCTCTTTTGTATGATGAGTTGAAGTAATGTTCATTGTTTTTGTAGATGAAAGCCATTAAGTGAAAATGTCTGCCAGGGGCCGTCAGAGGCCCCCTAAACTGGAGCGGCTGGAGTCTGTCATGAGCAAGTTCTCTGGCAGTTTGGACCAAGATGTGTTACAAGACGACCCTGAGGAGCTGGACTTAAGCGGACAAACTGACCTCTGTAGCGGTGAACTTCTGGGTCAGTACATGTTTCATCAGTGACATCACAAGCAAACTGCTATCATTGTATCTACTTTTGTCAGTAGCAGAGTTGGTCGGATGGTTCTAAAACGGAATTTGAGATGTGGGAGCTAGAATTAGAAGCCGCATCTCTGCACAGCTGATGTTGATACATGGAGTAGGATGTAAATATGAAAGGATGCAATTCAGCAAGCTATTTGTCACACTTTATTTTAAGGTACAATCGTCACTATGAACAAACTATTCAATATGACTTTTAGTTCAATAAACTCCTAATTTGCTGTTTATTAATTGTTATTAAGATAGTCAATAGGTTAAGGTATTGGGTAGAAGATGTATAGATAGAGATGTAGAATAAGATCACACAGAATATGTACTTCATAAGAACTATACAACCAATATCTAAAAAATAGGCAGGTAATAAGCCTCGGGTAATAGTGAAAATTGGTCCATATAATAAAGTGTTACTAAATTATTCTCTTGAATACTTAATTAAACATTGTTAGAGTTTTTTATTAAAAAACATAATGGTACCTTTCTAAATACCCGAGACACCAACCAATTTATATGTTATCCACTGAGAGGTGCCTGCTTATTTTTGTGAGCAGTTTGTGAAGAGCATAACAGGTTGAGCATGTTAACGGCATTAACATTCAGATATGTTTTTGTCAGGCCAGAAAAGTGCAAGGTAATCTGTGCATTATAGCCTTAACTACTAATGATTCTTTTCAATTTTGTGTGCAGGCTTATCTCCTTATCTCTCTTTAATTTCTGATACATTTTATTTGATTAATTAATTCTGATAATTAGGATTATGTTATTGTTTTCAGTTATATGACCAAGATGGCGGCGCGTGCACACGCTGCGGCTTCTCTCTCTCCCGACAAAACGGTGTTTTTGTGTTCTTCGTCTTGTACGTCGCAGTGTTTTTGTGCGTCAACGTCACGTTTATCTGTCCGTAACCGCGCATATAGTCGAACATTTCTGCTAGACATCGGTAGAAACAAACTTTACAAGCTAAACTCCGCGGACACTGAGGAGCTGCAAGATCTCGGCTTGCTCCGAATGCCTACCCATCCTCCGACCCCCACCTCTCCACCTCGCCCACAATGGAGGCGCTTCAAGCGGCGCGAGAGGAAGCAGAAGAGGGGTAAGCGCGGGGGTATCCGAACTAGGCTAGCGGCTAACCCCCACAAACCCGCTATCCCCTCCATCATCCTAGCGAACGTACGCTCGCTAGACAACAAACTGGACTACATCCGTCTACTTCGTTCATCACAGAGGACTGTAAAGGACTGTTGTGTTTTTGTGTTTACGGAAACTTGGCTCAACGACAACGTTCCGGACAGCGCCATTCAGCTCGACCAGCTAACATGCTACAGAGCAGACAGAGCTATCGTCGCGGGAGGTAAGACCCGCGGTGGCGGGCTCTGTGTTTACATCAATGAGTCATGGTGCCGCGATGCCGTTGTAGTCCGCAAACACTGCTCACCACTGGTGGAGTTCATGATTATTAAGTGCCGTCCATTTTATCTACCGAGGGAATACACAGCCATTCTGCTTTTCGCTGTTTACATCCCTCCCAGCTCCAATGCAAACAACAGGAGTGAGGCACTAAATGACCTGTACCTGCACATTAGTGAGCAGCAGACAGGCCACCCCGATGCTTTTCTCATCCTGGCAGGGGACTTTAACCATGCAGACCTTAAGAGTGTGTTTCCAAAAATACAACAACACATAGACTTTCCAACACGGGGCAATAACACACTGGACTTTGTTTACACCACACAGAGAGGAGCTTACAAAGCCCTCCCCCTCCCCCACCTTGGTGCCTCAGACCACTTAACTGTCATGCTAATGCCTGCTTACAGACCGATCGTTAAAGTCACCAAACCGGTTTGCAAGGAGATACAAGTGTGGCCAGAAGGTTCTTCAGAGGCTTTACAAGACTGCTTCAATACCACAGACTGGGATATGTTTAAACAGGCTGCCACTTACAACAACACCACTGACCTCCAGGAGTATGCTGAGACTGTTACAGCCTACATAAACAAATGCACTGAGGATGTAACAGTCACCAAAACCATCACAGTCCGTCCCAATCAGAAGCCATGGCTAACAGGAGAGGTCTTCAACCTCCTGAAGGCTAGGAACACTGCCTTTAGAGCTGGAGATGAGGCGAGCCTAAAGTCAGCTAGAGCCAACCTTTCCCGTGGCATCAGAGAAGCTAAGAGACAGTACTCCAGAGGTATAGCCCATCGCTTTAATGACAGCAGGGACACACGGAGTCTGTGGAGAGGAATACAGTCCATCACAGACTACAAACCCCAACCACAGACATGTGACAGCTCCATCCCCCTGCTGAACGAGCTAAACAAATTCTTCGCTCGTTTTGAGGTACAAAACAGCACCATTGCACAGAAGATGCCACCTCCCCCTGGTGACCAGGTGATGACTCTGTCTCCGGACAGTGTGAGGAGGTCTCTCAGCAGGATTAACGCACGCAAAGCTCCGGGCCCTGACAACATCCCAGGTCGTGTACTGAGAGACTGTGCATCAGAACTCACTAATGTCTTCACAGACATTTTTAACATCTCTCTAACCCAGGCTGTTGTCCCCACCTGTTTTAAAGCCACTACCATCATTCCGGTCCCAAAAAACTCATCTCCCTCCTGCTTTAATGACTACCGTCCAATTGCACTGACTCCTATCATCATGAAGTGCTTTGAACGGCTTGTTATGCAGCACATCAAGTCTGTCCTCCCCCCCTCCCTGGACCCGTTTCAATTTGCTTATCGGCCCAACCGCTCGGCTGATGATGCCATCTCCACTGCACTTCACACAGCACTCACACATCTGGACAAAAAAGACTCCTGCGTCCGTATGCTGTTCATAGACTTCAGTTCAGCATTCAACACTATCATCCCCCAACAGCTCTCTCAAAAACTGCTCCAGCTGGGGCTAAACACCTCTCTGTGTAACTGGCTGCTGGATTTTCTCACTGGAAGACCACAAGCAGTACGGGCCGGCAGTAACACATCGAGCACCATCACTTTAAACACTGGGGCCCCTCAGGGATGTGTTCTGAGCCCTATCCTCTTCACCCTGCTCACTCATGACTGTGCACCATCACACAACTCCAATCTGTTCATCAAGTTTGCGGATGACACAACTGTGGTGGGTCTCATCAACAAAAACGATGAGGAAAACTACAGAAGTGAGGTGAGCCGTCTGGCCGAGTGGTGCAGAGACAACAATCTCTTTTTGAATGTGGAGAAGACGAAAGAGATTGTTGTTGACTTCAGGAAAGAGCACACTCTCCATGCTCCCCTGACCATCAACGGTGCGACTGTGGAGCGTGTGAGCAGCACCAAGTTCCTGGGTGTACACATCACTGAGGATCTCTCCTGGACCAAAAACTCCACTGCACTGGCCAAAAAATCACAGCAGCGTCTCTACTTCCTCCGCAAACTCAAAAGAGCAAGAGCACCAGCCCCAATCATGTACACCTTCTACAGAGGCACTATTGAGAGCATCCTGACCAGCTGCATCACTGTGTGGTTTGGAACCTGCAATGCATCCTGCAGGAAAACACTTCAACGCATAGTGAGAACAGCTGAGAAGATCATTGGTGTCTCTCTCCCCTCCCTTCAGGACATTTACAGCACACGTCTTACCCGTAAAGCCCTCTGCATAACAGCAGATGCCACCCACCCAATGCACAGCTTCTTCAGTCTGCTGCCATCAGGGAGGAGACTGCGCAGTCTCCAGGCCAGGACCAACAGACTGAAAGACAGCTTCATCCATCAGGCTGTCAGGAAGCTGAACTCTCTCCCAGCTCTGCTCCCCGCTCCCTCCCCACGCACCTCCTCCCCTCGCACCTCTGGACTCTGACACACACACACACACACACACACTCATCTGCACTGGTCACTTTATGCAGACACATATACTACCTCCCAATATGTCACTGTCACTTTATCACAATGATCATGTTTACAAGTTCTTTTGCACTATACTGTTTTTTATCTGCACAACTCTGGTTTACTTTGCACTCATTGCTATATGCCCTTAATGTCACTGTATTGTTTACAATTTTTTTATTACATATGTATATTTCTTAGACTACATTTATGTGCAATGTGTATATACTGTAAATTTTCTAAATTTTCTTTTTTTCTTAAACCCTACTATTTTTTATATATATATTTTATATTAATGTTAAGCACCTTGGGTCTGAGAGTAACGCAATTTCGATTCTCTGTATGTCTTGTACATGTGGCTGAATTGACAATAAAGCTGACTTTGACTTTGACTTTGACTATATACAGTATACTGTAGACCATTTCAATGTGATCATGTCATTGGTCCATGAACATTCCCTGCTTGTTATCAAACTATTCCTAACTTTAACAAGAGGCAATTCAATTATAACTTAATCTTAAAACAGCTATCATTACATTATTTATCAATATGTGTTTTTTTTGGATTCACAGAAGCTATAGGAATTAAAAACGTAAAACAGGAAATACGAATGGGCCATTGTTTTTGTTTACACCCCTCAAAATGGTCTATACATTTCAATGTTTATTTACGATTCATTGCTAGATAGTAAATGTATTTTTGTAAATACTGTATTTACACATGTCAGATTTTGGTAACAGTATTGCAAAAATTGCAAACCTCATATAAATAAAAAAAGAAAATCCACCTCATATAATATTTATTTTAACCTCCCGAAGTTGAAGATCAATTTTATTCCTGATGTTTAAAAAAGAGAAAAGATTTTGGACTATCTTTTGTGCTGTATTCAAAGAATGCTAGCTTCCAAAGCCGTGCACATTCATTAATATTTCAAGGAACAAATATGTTAATTTCAGCAGGTAAAAGCACCTACTTACTAAAATCATTATCTGATGCAGAGCAGATTTAGCCTTCAGAAACTCTAAAGCACACAGCGTACTATACACCTCCAGCTGGAGTCTTCAATCGCTGTCCTGCTGACAATCAAATGGAGCCTCTCCATGCCATTACTGCACAACTTCAAAAGATGAAAAGCCAAACAAACTATTTCTAAAGTAGCTGTACTTTTAGATTGCTATGATGTTATCAACCATTTTAAAATACAAGGCCAACATGAGTCCGAATGATTACCACAGCACAGCATCAAGGTGTGTCCATGTTTTCTTATTGATCTCAACCAGCTCATGTAATCATTGCTCGAGATAAAATCAGTACGCTCACTGTAACATTTCAATGTTGTGATTATTTTTCCAGAATCAAGGAACATATCCTTTCAAGCAATATACAATTTTCTTCCGTTCAAGTCCCTGGAAGGTGTCATATTTCTTGAAGAAGTGCCGATTCTGGTGCAAGTGACAGAAGTGGAGCGATTCACATCTTCAAGGGTAATAAAAATATATTTAAAAATGAATATTTTGACTGAAGGAAAAGTTTTTTTAATAAACTATTTTTATACCGTTGAAGTCTTAGGACTCTATTATACACCTGGCACAATAAGGCACAAGACTTGTTTGGTGCAATTTGTTGCTATTCAGACCAGCGCAACATTAATTTTCACGTATTATTGGCACAATGCTATTTTTGAGATAAAAACAACTACAGTACCTCCATGTCTCATCTCTGGGGACATTTTAGGTATATTCATAGCAGTTTGCTATTTACTATTAATTTATAGAAGTAGTTGAAACAAATCTTTGGTTAACAAACTATAAATTAAATATGTAGGCTAATGGATATCTTCATTAGAATGTGTACATCACCATTTTCTTTCCACAAAGTAAAGGAGTAAAGTAAAGAGTAAAAGTAAAGTAAAGAGAAATTAAAGAGGCAGACTGGAGGAGGCTCCTGAATTATTAGACCAACCCCCCCCCCCCCCCCCCCCACCCCCCACTTGCTCTATTTTTTTCCCAATCTCTGTTTAACTAGGTTAATTTGACAAGTTAGGGTAATTAGGCAAGTTCTTTTTAGCAAGTTTTATTTTTTATTTTTTGAAAACTGCTTTTATTGTAGCCGACATAAAAAAAGACGTTTTTTCCTGAAGAAAAATTATTATAGGAAATACTGTTAAAAAAAATCCTTGCTCTGTTAATCACTGATTTGTAAACATTTAAAAAAATAATTTTGGTCTGTCAATTGTGATTTCAACTGAATTTGCAATCATATTGAGTAAGTTCTTGTTTGTTGAAATGATCCTCCCAAGGTGCTGAATCCCAACTTGTACACTGTGGAGCTGAGCCATGGAGACTTCAAGTGGAAAATAAAGCGTCGTTTTAAGCACTTTCAGGCACTTCACCAGGAGCTACTAAAATTCCGAGCCCTGTTAAAAATCCCTCTACCAAGCCGAATGTAAGATGCACTGTACTAGTTTCATCTCTATATGCACACATTCATTCACAAATACAAAACTTGTGTTGAAAACACAGTCCGGCCCATTGGTTTTTGGGCCGCTAAATGTTTTCATTTTTCAGTTGGGTGTACTCAATTTGTCCCAGATGTATTCTCGTTAGCGCCCCTGAACCCTGCGAAAAACTGTTTTCTCAGCCTCGCTGCACTGTTAACTCACAGTTAATCAAATCAGAGGTGCTCTTATGAACGCACAACTCAAATCTGGTAAAATATTGACAGTCAGCTTTCCTGTTTTTGACAGTCACTCTGTCAATAGGAGGTCATTCAAAGGCCGCAAGAGGTTTCACGGAGAACGCATCCCAACATTACCAAGAAGACCTGATGCCCTCGTCAGAGAGGAACAGCTCATCAGCAGAAAAGTGACTTTTTTTTTAATTTTAATTTATTGTTTAATTATTTGAACACATATATACAGTATGCATGTATATTAAATGTGCATGTTTACACAATGTACCTCTTGTTTTCAGACATGTTTATATTTATTTTTAGAAAACGCAATGCCACAATTTTAAACTTCAGAGTTAATAACTCAATATTTGGTTGGTTATTGATTTTTACCAGCTATCATTTTTGCTTTATTTGCTCTACATGACAATATTTTATAGAATAATACAAATCATAAAATTTTACTAAAAACTCAAACCTTTCTATTTTAATTAGATTCTTAGAGTATTCTAGTTCTCTGTTTACAATAATAGATTACATTAGATTAAGTTGCCTAAAATTAAAAATGATAAAACATTTGTATATTTTACCTTTCTTTCTCTGATGTTGCAGTTTTTTAATTTCAACAGATGCAGCTGGAAGACTATCTGAGGAATGTCTTGAAAAAGCCTTTATACAGAACACATCCTGCAACAGTAAGTCATATATGAAATATTTTTTCTTGCCAGTTTCAGTGGAGTCAAATGTTAGAGCATTTAGTCTAATCTTAATATTAAACAATAAAATCGCTTAAATTTTGTTGGTCCCTTTAACACATTTTGTAGACTATTAGGTTGAGTTTAGGTTAGGTTAGTTATATCAGTTTGTATTACAGTATGTATTGCCATGTAGTTGTAATGCTAATGTAACTTTTAGTCAACAAAATGTGCAATAGGGACCATCAAAATAGGGTCTTACCAACATAATATTAAATAAATGAACATTTACATATTTCTGTTTTTGATAATATGTTTTTCCATCTCTGAAATGGGTCGTTCCTTCAACATTACCTGAGCAGCGGTGTTACAGTAAATACACATTAAAACCTCACTCATGCATTTATAAAATGAACGAAGCAAGAACAATGTAATTTCACCTACACGTTTGTTTGAATGATACATTGTACTTGATTCAAAGCTTTTAAACTGAATGTACAAAAATAAGTGTGTGCTGAAATATTCACACCCTTACTACATCACTCAGATAAAAGCAGTTTATCTGTACATCAATTGCATGTGAAAATAGCATTCAGTAATGTAACAGAAGGCTCTGACACATTTTCATTCAAAAAAATTCAACAAAGATAACTTTCTATTAAAAAAATTAACATAAAACAAAATCAATTTGCATACTAGCAGCATATACTATTGTACTTTTTGTTAGTGTATAATGCAAGCATAATGATATACAGAATAACAACATTTGACCTAAAAATGGTACTAATCTCATCTGTAGGCGCAGTGCTATTGTCTAGCATGAAAATGAGAATTGTTCAGTTACCACTGTGTCACATGATGTCAGGATGAAGGTTCTGGAAGGAACTCTACCTGCTGTGTCCCCACTCATTAAAACAAGCTCTTTTGTAGAGAAGGCCTCTGAGAGGTGATTCCACACTTAGCTCAGCGCTTCACAGGCTAATTTTCTGACAGTCACATAATTAGCATTCGTTTGCAGGGCTAATTAAAGAGTACCTGTACCCGGAAACATTCGCCCCCACTTCAGTTTTCACCTTACACTTTCCTGACTAATTATTAAGGTAGAACTGGACTGTACAAATGAGATGCCAATTTGTGCTTAATTTTAGTCTCCATAGCTGAAATGTTTCAAAGAAGCATGTTTAAACGGGAAAAGGATGAGCAAATGTGATAGTTACTGGTGTATAGTTCATATGCATGTTTGCCCTAAAGCCGGTTTGGTGTTAATAAGGCTAATTTAATTTAATTTCAGCTTGAATTTCTGGAAGTGAGCCAGATTTCATTCATCCAGGATTTAGGACCTAAAGGAATGTAAGAATGCACATATAGTACAATAACACTTTAGCAATACATCAACAATTTCTTGGCTTGATTTGTAATTGTTGATTTGCATTGACAAAAGTGAAGGTCTAATCTTCAAGAAATCAGGAGGAAACACATTCCCTGTGTGTTACTGGTGCGGATCCAACAGCGTCTGTTACCGCTGGTCCAAAAGGTGAGAGCAGTTCCTGAAAATCCTCTATTTAGGAACTTATGCAGTTGAAGTCAGAATTATTAGTCCCCCTGAATTAGTAGCCCCGCTGTTTATTTTTTCTTCCATTTTCTTTTTAACGGAGAGATGATTTCTTCAACACATTTATAAACATAATAGATTTAATAACTAATTTGTAATAACTGATTTATTTTATCTTTACCATGAGTAAATAATATTTGACTATAGATATTTTTAAGAGACTTCTATACAGCTTAAAGTAACATTTAAAGGCTTAACTAGGTTAATTATGTAACTAGGCAGGTTAGGGTAATTAGGCAAGTTATTGTATAACGATGGTTTGTTCTATAGACTATCAAGAAATGTATAGCTTAAAGGGGTTAATAATTTTGACTTTAAATGTGTTTAAAAAAAATAAAAATGCTTTTATTCTAGCCAAAACAAAACAAAAAATACTTTCACCAGAAGAAAAAATATTATCAGACATACTGTGAAAATTTCCTTACTCTGTTAAACATCATTTGGAAAATATTTGTTAAAGAAAAAAAGCAAAGGGGGCTAATAATTCTGACTTCAACTGTATGTTGAAAACTAAACTTTTATTTTTCAACCATGTTCACACTGTAAGGCCATAACACTATCTTTCTGAGAAAAAACTTCAATCAGAAGTGTGCGATTTCACAAGTGAAGACACCAAGCCCTGAAATCAATATAGCTGAATAACAGATGCTGATGTCAAACTATCTTCATCTGTGTTATTGTTTTTTCTTTGACAAGCAGCTACAGTAACATTACACTTACATAATTCACATGGCTCTTAAAAGCAAACACTGGAAGATTTGAGCCCAATTGAATTTTGCTCCTCGGATTGCGGCCTTGCTGAGCTTTTGGGTCATGGCATGTCTTCTGTTGCGCTTGTTTACTTATTTAGGTTATTATGATGTTTTCCCACAGCTGATAGAATGGCTCTCCCCCTTGTTTCAGCTCTCATGTGGTGACTGCTTCATGTTTCAGATGGCTGGTGGTAAAAGACTCCTTTGTTCTCTACATGAGGCCAGAGGATGGCCAAGTAGGCACTGTGATTCTATACGATAAGGGATTTCACATCAAAATAGGGGCCCTGGAGACCGGAGTCAGGCATGGAGTCACGATTGAGAATCTTTGCAGGCAGGTTGAAATAAATGTGATTTATATTGCTGATATTTGGTCATGCGATGCAATATCGAGTACAAAAAGTGTGCTGTATTGTATAAATAGTCAACATGCTTTCAGAAATGTTTATATTTATATACTTTTTGGTGTTTTGCTTAAATCTTTCGAAGCCATTTTTAATTTCACAATTCTGACCTTTTTTCATCAGGGATCTAGGTTTATATTTTACAATTTTAACTTTTTAAAAATGTTTTATTTTATCTTAATGTTCCAAAATATAAACTCAGAATTTGATATATTTTTCTATGTCACATTTGTAAATGTACAGTGCATCTCGCAATTCTTAGTTTACATCTCAAAAATATGGCTTTATTTTAATTTTTTTAGAAATCCCAATTGACCCTTTTTTGCAGATATCAGTCTGACAATCAGGGATTGATATTAACTTTTTAGATCACCAGCCACTATGGCTAATAGTTTTTCAAAATTACTAGCCACTCCCCATTTCACTAGCCACAATTTTGTTGACAGGAAAATATATACTTACATGCATACATTTGATTTTGGCATGCTGAAATTAATTAATTTAGATTTTGCAATATGTCCACAAATCCTCATTCATTTCACTTTTTGTATGTTGTGTATAACCTTGCTCAATCAACATGAGCAAATATGTTGTGGTTTCATAGCATTGCATTGCATTAGCTCTTGTTTTTACAAGACTTGTCAGAGCTCCCTAAGGATTTACATTTTTTTTTTCTAGCCACACCAAAAATAAAGGAAATATAGTTATATACATACACTTTTTATTCAACAAAACTTTTCGTAAAAAAAAAAAAAAAAATTGAAAAAAAAAAGATAAAAAATTATATATATATAAATTACACAGTAGTCTGTCCTTGCAAAAGGTCCCAGATCACCAGTTCACTATATAATTCAATGGGAATCCAATTTATTTCAAAGGGAACTGATTGCATCAGTTGCGTTTCCAGGCACAGTTGCTAGATTCCCACAAGAAATGAAAGTGTGCAAGCATCAACACGTGATACTAAAGCCCTCATCAGTGACTGAGAGTCTCTCCATGCTTGTAATCATCCTCTCATTCCTCATTCATCTGCCTTCTTTTGCTCACGTGAACACAGTTGTCAGACGTGCTGCTTTTCGATGGGCATCTTTATTGTTGAACTTTGCTTTTAAGAAAATATCATTTAAAAAATATTTTTAACCAGCAAAAGTGTTGCTGTTTGGGGCGAATGGCTTTGACAGAAATGGTCACTTTGAGTTTTGAATTTAACGTAATCTTATGTTTCTTAGTTTTATTGCTGAGCTACAAAAACCGAACTGAAGTTAAATGATTCAGTTAAATGTAAATGAATCAGACTTTTAAAATATAAATACTGTCACTTGACGTACAGTACATCTGACATCCACGAGCATATCAAAGTAAAGGCAGGTGCAGCTGTGTTCAGCATTGAACTCCATTGTGTTATAAATGGAATTGTTTATGTTTTTGCTTAAAACTTTATTGTTGTTTTTTGGCCCTTTATAGGAAAAAAGTTTGGGCATCCCTGCACTAGACAATAAATTAATCAGTTTGTTATTTACAAGAAAATAATAGTTATTATTACAATATATAGTGTATATTTATGCATGTATTCCTATTTATTTGTTTGCTGACAAAAGTATCAACCAACATTTTTCTTCACAGGGCGCTTACTATCAAGTGCTCCACATATAGACAGGCTCGTTGGTGGGGACACTCCATAGATGACTTTTCTCAGATGTTTGGACAGGATTTTCTAAGGGAAAACCGCCATGGGTCTTTCACACCTGTTAGAGAAAACACTACAGCAAAATGGTGAGAAGTTTTGCTGTCATAGTAATCATTAAGCCATGTTCTAACTAGCTCCAGTTAAAACTATTCACCTTATTCTTCACATATGAGCAGACGCCGGCGTTTGAATCTTTTTGGCTCAAGATTTCCCACCTCATTCACTTCCATTAGTTTTTAGATGTTAAAAATAGCTCGTTTTGCTGCTTGATGTTGTAAACTGATGTTTTCTTATCATATTATTCTACTTTGTCTGTATAGTCATGCAAGCACTTGCTTGTAGAACAATTAGTTTGACCGTTTTCTACCGTTTATAATCATTTCTCCCATAGGCAACTGAATCGGAAGCTCTAAAAAAACCACAAAAACAAGCACACCTCTGCATTAAAGGATAAGGTCAATAAAGGAAATAACTTACTTTTTTGTTAATATATTTGAAAGTGTACTATTTTAAATTTCAAGTATTACTTCTATCTCAGAAGTTCAGCTTGGTCCTTATCCTTTTTTTATGTCGACATGTGCGCAACACTTACCAGAACATTTTCTGTTAAATCTCTGTGATGTGCCCTGACACAGTTCTTAAATGAAGCGCCCTGTGCTCCTTTTGAAGGTTTGTCAACGCAGCGGGATACTTCGATGCCATAGCTGATGCCCTGGAAGGAGCAAAGGAGGAAATCTTCATCACAGCCTGGTGGTACAGATAAGAATCAGCATCAATTACTCCACATGTACCTAGATTTCATTCTGTGATTGCTCATTTCTTTTTATGTAACAATGTATTTTTTTCTGTTATTGCAATGTGATAGCTGTTTCTTTTCAATAGGAGAAGGTTCAGAAAGAATACATAATTGATTGTTTTTAGCTAATAATTTTAACTCTTTCCCTACCAACCACTTCCAGAATATTTTTTTTAGCTAGAAATATAGGACCATATTATATATCAAAATAAACTCAGCAGGCACACAACATCATCAAGACGTTTATATTAGGGTAGATTTAGATCATGACGTCAGGTGACCAAAATTCACTGTCTAGCCAGCATCCAAGCGATTAATTTAATGTCCTATTACGACGTCAAATTATGTTGATATTTGGTTGATTTTAGGTTGTGTTGGAAAGTGACCAAAACCCAGCGTCTGAAAGATGTCATAGTGATTACATCCACACAACATGAAGGTGTCAAGGTAACATGATTAGACGTTGATTTTAAGTTGATTTTAGGTTGGGCATTGAACATTGACATCGGCTTGACTTTGGGTTCTGACATCAACCCGATTTTGGTTGGATTTGTTGGATTTCAACAAAATCCAACGTCCCCACGACTTTGTGGTACATTTTGGTACAACATCAATATGATGTCATGTTGACGTCCTGTGCCTGCAGGGAAGCTACTAAACCAAGCCTCTGAAAAGAGTTGCGAGAATGTTGTCCAAAAATATCATCTTTTGTGTTTGAGATAGTAAAAAAAGCCATATGTTTGGTACAAAACAAGGCAGAATTAATTACAGAAGTTTTAAATGAACTATTTCCTCATACAACAGAAATAAAGAATGAACATTGACTAGAAGTTGTCAAAGCATGACGTGTTTTGATAATGCTTTTAGGTTAAGCCCAGAAATCTTCCTCAAACGGCCGGTGGTAGATGGTAACATGTGGAGATTAGACCACGTCCTCAAGCGTAAAGCAGTGAGTCTGAACACCTGCTCAAGTCTGGACTTCTGCCAGCTTCATTCTACTTCTCGCACATCTGTTTTTTTATGTTAAACCTCATGGTTCATCCAGTTAAAATGTTTTGTGTAAACTCAGGAACAAGGAGTGAAGATCTTTGTCCAGCTCTACAAAGAAGTGGAGGTGGTGATGGGACTCAACAGCGAGTACACAAAGAAGACCCTGATGGGACTTCACTCTAACATCAGGGTGAGCTGATCAGAATGTCAAACATTATCACAAGCAGATTCTTGTCCAGAAATGACAGTATTACAGAGGGGATCCGTCCCTTCGTATCAGCTTCTCACTCTTGCGTCTATCCACATCTCTCCAAGAACTAAGGTTCAATCAAAACAAATCATAGAAAACCTGAGAGCACTCAGCTTGCACACTACCTCAGGACACAGGAGTAGCATGTTACTTAGATCATGTTTGGACATTGCCAAAATCCTCGCTCATAGAATAAGGGGGATCACTCTGTTGGGAACCCTACGGATTGTGTCTGGAGATGGTCGGGTTCTTCCTTGCAGATTGTCTCCCGGAGAGCCTGAGGCTGCTTCCCTGGAGCTCGCGTGGCACCATAGCGTTGTGGTATTCATCATCGCAGCGCCCCTGGCCGGTGCGTGATTGACGCGCCGTCACATTATCTTATTGGAGAGCTGGTTGAGTCTGGGCAGAGGAGTGACACTGGGAAGTGGCTTGGGATCTACACCCCAAGGACGTGTGCGGTGAAGCAGCTGGGTGGAGGTATTCCTGGGCCCTGCTGGTGTAGAAACACCTGCCAGGGGCGGTGTCCTCTGGAGGGTTTGCCAAAGCTGGTGAAGACGCAGCTGTTTTGCACAAAGGTTGACACCATCTACATCATGGTTTTATTTTTGGCAGAGGGCCCGCTGTATTTTTTTTTAGATGATTTTGAGGAAATTTGGACAAATGAGAAAAGAAGTTACGTTTATCAATTTCGTCAGGGTTTATATGAAATGTTCCTCACATTTGTCAAGATGTAAACCAAACTTAAAAAAAAATCTATTAACACTTTTCCCAAAAATGGTTTCCATCATTGGAATGATATGGATATATAATGTCCATCTATTTTTATAGTCTATGGTTTATATAATGAAAGGATGTGATAGGAATGATTGATTAAATAGTAAAGAATTGATTGATTGATTTAGTAATCATTATAGTAATAATACAATTTAAATACTAATCCTACTGACCAGAATTTCCCTGTGTCTCGTGCAGTTGAGAAAAGACACCTGACAAGCTGGCCATCTGTATTGATTAACAGGTCATCCGACACCCTGATCACATGCCCTCCACTGCATTGCTTTGGGCTCACCATGAGAAGTCGGTGGTGATTGACCAGTCACTAGCCTTCCTGGGAGGGATTGATTTGGCTTACGGAAGATGGGACGACTACCAACACAGACTGGCTGATGTGGGAAGTGTGAGAAGAAGCCCTCAGCAAAGTCCTGCTATTTCCCCCAGCCTCACTCATGTAAGACCACTATTACCTGTTGCACTTTCTAAGGTAACATCATCATTAATGTAATCCGTACAATTATAAATCTCAGTCATTCTGATCTATTATTGTACTACTGTTTAGAAGGTACTTATTATATGGTCACACTTTATTTTGATGGTCCGTTTGTTGAATTTAAGTTACATCTCTTCTACATGCCGACTAATTCTCATTAGATTATAAGTAGACTGTTAGGTTAGGGTTAGTTAGTGTAAGGTGATATGTTCTTGCAAAGTTTCTTATAGTCAGTTAAATGTCTGTTAGAGTAGCAGTATCAACAGATATTAAGCAAATAGTCTGATAATACTAAAATGGACCATCAAAATAAAGTGTTACCCATTATATTCCTTTGATAGCAAAGCTAAATTTTCACAGTACTAATGCAGTTCCACCAATCTTCAGTGTCACATGATTATTCAGAAATCTTTCTAATATGATACTAAAGGATTCATGAGACATTTCTTATCATAGTCAGTTCTAAGAGTGTTAGTGCTGATTAATAATTGTGGATATTATGGTGCATTTCCTAAATTAATGGAGAGTTCAAAAGACCATCCTTTATTTGAAATAGAAATTTGAAGATTTTATCAATACCTTTTTATCAATTAATTGCATACCTGCTGTATAAAAGTATTCATTTATTTGTAAAGCTAAATTATAATATTACACAGAAGTGTGTTGTACAGGAATAAACCTAGTAAACGTGAGTGGCTTTGAATGTTTCTTAAAATGCCCTGCTATTGACAACTGGGTGTTTCTGAAATCTGTCAAAGACCTCAATGGGGGACTCAATGGGGGCGCAAGAACATCTTCTATTTCAATCTACTCTTCAAAGCCATGTAAATTCATCTGTATAAGTCCAACATAGAGGTGGCTCAGTGGTTAGCACTGGTACCTGACAGCAAGAAGGTCACTGGTTCGAGTCCGGGCTGGCTTAGTCAGCATTTTCTGTGGAGTTTGCATGTTCTCCACGTTAGTGTGGGTTTTCTCTGGGTACTCCATTTCCCCCCACAGTACAAAGACATGCGCTAGGTGAATTGGATGAACCAAATTGGTCTTAGTGTGTGTGTGTGTGTGTGTGTGTGTGTGTGTGTGTGTGTGTGTGTGTGTGTGTGTGTGTGTGTGTGAATATGACAGTGTATGAGTGTTTCCCAGTACTGAGTTGCAGCTAGAAAGGCATCTGCTGTGTAAAACACAAGCTGGAATTGGCAGTTCATTCCGCTGTGGCAACCCATGATAAATAATGGACTAAGCCAAAGGAAAATGAATGAATGAACTGCAATGTGTTTATTTGATTCTGTCATGTTAGGAAATAATCACATTGGTCTGCGATCCTTACTTGAAAGCATTGGGAGCAAAGCTAAATTACAATTGTAGCAATTTATATTTTGTGGCCATTCTAACAATGCTGTGGTCCAGACAGCATTTCAGTTGTACACTTACTAGGATTGATTTTGTGGCTGGCGATTCAGGGCCTCGGCCTTCTTATTCTTTTCTTTTTTTCCAACGAGCCAACGTAAAATTGCAATTACGGAGCATCTGGGGCACCCTTGAAGGGCCTGCGGTTGATAATTCCAGTCCTTCTCGCTGGGCCTTTCCTTCCCCCCAGAGAGCTGCATTAAACATAAAGGCCCTGCATGGATGAGTGAGTCAACAAATGACTGGGGCCACTAAATGGGAGCTTGATTTCGTCTATATGCCACCTCTCCCGGCCTGCTGCCTACCTGCCTGCCATTGTGTCATTAAATATGGGTCTGAGCTTTTAAATAAACATGATTTGAACCCAGATGACGGCACTTATTGCATTTACTAAGGGGCTTCTCTTAGCATGCTTGAGTGACTGTATCTATCAATGCGGGGCTCCTCAACTGTAAAATCTTTGCTAATATACATGAAACTGTTACAGCTGTTGGTCTAACCTTTCAAAACGTCTCCTAAGGAGCACAGTGATATTTGCACTTAATAAAATTATGCCCACCAGGAGAATAGTGCTCTGACATTTGCCATTTGTCAAGTCGAGGGCACTATGATCCCCCATGAGCCATTAACTCGCACACATCAGAGGGCATTTTACCATCGCTCAGACTGGAGTCACTTACACTATCGTTTAAGTCATAGCTTCCCTGGGCCGATGCTGCACGGGTGGCCATTACCGCTCTCTACAGTACGAATCACAGGCTGACAGCTAGCCAGATGTGGCAGCCATGTAGATAACGGAAGTTTTCACTGTTCAATGGATTGGTGTGAAAAGTTTGTCTTTGTTCTTTGTCCCTGGATTGTGCAACAGTTATTTTTCTTGTATTTTTTGTAGACTTTATAAATGTGTAAAATCTAAGAGCAAAGAAGTCATGGAAATAAAATCAGCGTCCAAGTACGCTTTAAAACCTTAGCCAAGTTTTTATTTTTCATTTGCTAACCCTCACGTTGTATCTCTGTGACTGATTGTGTGTGCAGTTGTACAAAATTTGCTACTCTTCATAGAAAAGTCACATGAGTTTATCATGTGATCACGAGTTTCACATGTGAATGTACAAATGGTTGGTCGTGATGACTATGAGTTGCTGGCATGGGAGGAGTCAAGTTGGACATTAATGTGCTGAACCAAATAACCAAATGTTTTTGCTGTATTTGATTTCTGAAGAAAAAATAAAGTATCTCAAGTTCAGTATTGTTTGTTTTTAATATTATGTATTTAATTTAAAATGCTTTGATCTAATTTATTATATTAAATAAAATAATATTTTTAACTTAGAACATTTTAAGAGTTTAAATAAAAAAAAACATCTGAAAATGTACAATTAAATTATAAAAAAAATATAAAAATTAATTATATAAAATTTAATTTAGATTATTCGAAGAGTTCAAATCGTCTGAAATTTCCATCGAAAATTTACGTTTCTCTCAGGTTCCTTTGTTTATGTTGAGATGTTTTACTTTAAAGACCTGGAAAAGGTCTTATTCTTTGCCATAAAAGTGATATTTCTGAATATACACACGGGATTTTGTATCTAAATTCTTAATTTCTTCTTATACAAACATACTTTTATATATAAATAATAGTAATAAGAACAAATTTAAACAACCTATTTCTATTACATGGGTTTTCCATGTGATTATACTGTGTTTTCAGAAGTGAAATTTTACATGTGCTAATTTACATCTTAATGAGATCACGTGATCACATCAAATTAACGTCGAAATTGTGGGACATCTCTGTAAGGGATTGCCTTAAATTTAGAATTTAATTAAATTTAATTCAAATTTAATTTAGAAATTGATTAAATGTAACTTTATGAGTCATTTCACTCACTCACTATCCTTCAGATAGTGTCAAAGCAATATCAACCGCCAATTACTCTGGCATATGTTTTGTAGCTGCAACCCAGCTCAATCGCTAAGGCTAATTTTATTTACTCAATTCACCTATACTAATATGTCTATTAATATGTATAATATGTCTTTGGAGTGTGGGGGAAACCCCGAAACCCACACAGACACTGGGAGAACATGTAAAGTCCACACAAAAATGCCTCCTGGCCCAGCTGGGACCTGAACCAGCAACCTTCTTGCTGTAAGGCAACAGTGCTAACCACTGAGCCTCTGTGCTGCCCTATGAGTCATTTTAAACGTAAAGTTAAATAATTTACAGTTGAAGTCAGAATTATTACCCACCCTTTAAAATTATCTTTTTTAAATATTTAGTGGGTTATGACCAATTTGGACCTTAAGAAGATATGAAACTGAAGTTTAATTTTGCTGCACACAAAGATCACTAGGATGCTAAATAAGATGAATAGGATAGATGAAGACATAAAACATGTCTTTTCTGTCTTATATGTGTTTCATTCATGGGCTGTATTGTTTTGTAGCAGTCAGTTGCCACCGTGGAGGAGGGCGAGGAGGTAAAACTAAATGTGGTGGTTGAAGAAATTCATATTGGAGAAGGAGGAGCAGGCAGAGCTGGAGATGCAGGCTCGATGGAGGATCCAAGTGAGATCTGTACGAGTTTTATGATGACTATGCCTAAAGAGGATCAGAGAGAAAACAGCCTCACCCTACCCACAGAAAGGCTGCTAAGAACACCGTCTGAGAAAAGTCACCACAGCTTTGATGCTGCAGAGTCCAGTAAGAAGAATTTAGTAAGAACTAAATAAACCCTTAAACATTAACTTTGGTGTGCTGGTTGTGGTGCAATTGTTAAACATTAGATCTTACATTACCCTGTATAAATTAGAATTAATTGTCTAATTTATTAATTTATTAATTGTCTAATAGGTCTAACAGAGACTGTGTGTATGCGTGTTCTGTTTGTAGAGCGTTACAGCAGGACTAGTCTTAATTCCAGGACACCTCTCACTCTTGAATGTTACACCAAGAGCTTGTCTCTGCATTCCAGTGATTCCTACTCTCTCGGCCTGCATCATTGTCTCCCTCTGCCTTATGGTTAGTATACACTAGCTGTCGCTGTACCAAAATTCCAGTAGTCAGATCCAGTAGCAGTATAATTTCCTTTTAGATGAAGCCGATTTCACTTTAGATCAGCCACATCACTTTATTTATTGTTTTTTTTATAACAGTCTTGTTATGATAAAAACTTAAACCACCATTTATTGGCTACAGATTAAATAAGTTCCATAAGTAAAATGAACATTTATATTATTCTTAAGAAAATCGATTGTCAATAATAACTGATAAACCTTTTAAGATCTGAGGTTGCTGGTTGATTTTTCATTCGCACCCTCTGGTAACCCCTCTGGTAAGTGTTAGTTTCATACTGATTAGTTTATCAAACAATGTTTGATTCCTACATGATTACTGCATTTAAATTTAGACACTTTAAGCTTTCTATAGATATATGTCTCATGTCTGTGTGTCTTGTTTTCACATAGTTTCAGTTCATTTTAGTGATGTGTTTCTAAAAACAGTTCGCGGAGAGACAAAAGAAACAACCACAGTGTTTATTTTATTTATTTTGCAAAAGCACACACTTTTGTTGTTATTGTGTGTATACACAAAAAAGTAGACACCTAAGAGATTGGTGTATAACACATATTTGTGTGACTAAAATCAACAGAGTATTCTTCGGATAGCATAGTGTGAGTACGGCGTTAGTGTCTTTTGCAGTGATTAAGAAAAAAAAAAAAAGATGCTGGTCACGCCGGCGTGATCTGGCGACCTCAGAGGGTTAATTACTCTTGTTTTATACTGCATTAGCCACAATGTACAGAAAAGTATACACTGCTCAATATTATTGATACATGTAAACATTTTGTGCTGTCCACATTTACAAGCATATGGATTCCAGACTGACCAAGCACAATGAACTGCTGGTACTGCAGAGAGACAGATAATAAAAACACTGTTTTAAATATTATGTATCCACCTGATACTAAAGAACTGGTATTTTTGACAACTCTAGCAAACACATACATTCACAAGATTGTTATAACACATTTAATGGTCATCATAATCTTAAATCTGTAATATTTAGATAAAAAAACTATGTACATTTATATGTATTTACTTACGGACCAACATTTTTGCATCTGCAAGCATCTAATTACATCGAGTTGTTTCGAATGCAGCGTCTATAGCACTGAACAGTAAATTTGACATTGTTCTCTCTTCTAGCTGCCGTTATCAGTCTCACACATTATGTTTCTTTTTCTGAAAGTCATGACACCATCATGAAGTTTTTCTTTCATTATTTCAGCAAATGTGATTGTAAAAAATGATAATTGTTGTATTCTCCCATTCACTGCGCTCTAAGTTTACCCAACTATGACTTCCACTACAGAGAAACCAAGAAATGTGAAAAGAGTCCATTATGTTTATAATACAACACACTAAGCAAACAATCTTTAATAGCTGATATATCATATACAGTGCTCAATATATATAATTACACCCCTCACAAGTCTCTCTTTTAAATTATTATTTTCTATAGGAAGCTTTACAATATTATATTTGTGCATATACATTAGATTAGTCAGTACTAAAGCCAAATCTGGAGCTTATCTAACAAAATAACTTGCAATAATGGTTCAATAATTGGTAACCCAAATTTATATGTTTGACAAAAATATTAAATAACATTTTTAAAAATAGCAAAATCAAGAGAAACTGAAAGATATACAATTTTGTTAAAACGTTGTAGTTTGTAATATTTTGCTTGAATTTAATTGTATTATCTTTCTATCTCTAAACATGTTTGGTGACTAAAATATAGTTTTAATAAATATATCTGTTTAATAAATCTGTTTTGTTTAAATTTTCACTGAGAAATGGATAAAAATATTCATTTTCAAAATGGGGGTTACTCAATTATGCTGAGCACTGTATATGAATTGATACAACATTGTATCTATGAAATGTTTTTGTGTGTCTGTCAATGTGTTTTAGAGACCAGTTCCCTTAGAAGTTACATTGGCAGTACTGAACTCTGCGGAGAGACTCGCTTCTGGCACGGCAAAGACTACTGCAACTTCATCCTCAAAGACTGGGTCAAACTCAACAAGCCTTTTGATGGTATGTCTACAAAATCACAACCAACAACCTCAGCATCTTCTTTTTAGACCTCAGCTGATTATTTTGCATTACAAAAAGTGGAAAAAAATCAAGATGCGTTCATATTTCTGTGTTTCTCGAAACAGTGAATCTTTAGGCCTTTAGACCAAAAAAAAAACAAAACAAACAAACTAGCAAACAAGAAAGACAAAAATGACAACTGCACTATACATTCTTTGATATCTTAAGTCAGATTCATCAAATAAAGCAATCTCTCCAGCCCAGGAGTGAGGGAAAGAAGGCATAGAAGTTGTTTCCAATAATCCCATTCTGTAGCCGGTATGGGGTTATTTTCCCAGCTCTATTCTCTTGCCAGAGGGAGATAACTTCATTTTTGCATCTCTGCTTTGTGAATGTGAAGTCCTGGTTTCGCACATAGTGCCAACTGGGTAGGACACAGCAGGAGAATGGAGGAGTCTGATAGATGAATGTAGTGAAATACTCGAAGACGGTTGCGCACTGACAAAGACGGTGAAAGAGAAAGACCACACTGTGATTCCTTCAAAAGGCCTGTCTGTCATCTCTGCATAATGGTTTGGCTAATGTTGTTATGAATTATAGAGGCTGTTTGGTGTTTATTTTGCTCTGCTTAAGATTTTATTGACAGGTATAAAACGCCACGGATGCCCTGGCATGATATTGGTGTGATGGTTCATGGAAAGGCTGCGAGAGATATTGCACGACATTTCATTCAGAGGTGGAATTTTACAAAGGTAGGAAAAATCAAGAATGTTTTTAGCAATCTCTGCCTTTGATCGTTGAATAATAAGGAAAAGATGATTGGTTCTCTATTTTTTCATCTGCAAAAAGCTAGAATTTTAAAAATGATGCGCTGTAAAAATCAGCTGTTTGTCTATATATTGTAGCACAAATTAGCTGTACACTTACAAAATATTTTAGTTTACAATTGTTTGTAGCTTTTTTTGTACTGTAATTTACATGACCAACCAGACAATATACAATTAAATAAAAATAATTAAATAAAAGAGGGTGGCATGGTGGCTGGGTCAGTTGCCATTTCTGTGTTGAGTTTGCATGTTCTCCCTGTTGGCGTGAGTTTCCTCTGGGTGCTACGGTTTCCCCCACAAGTCCAAACACATGCAGTGTAGGTGAATTTTATGAACCTAATTAGCTGTAGTGTATTTGTGTGTGAATGTAAGAGTGTATGTGTGTTTTCCAATACTGGGTTGCAGCTGGAACATCTGCTGCATAAAACATATGCTAGATAAGTTGGCAGTTAATTGCGATCAATGTTACATTTGAAATCAGACATATACAGAAAACACTCATTAAAACTGTTGCATTTTCCATAGAGTAGCTTCTAGTTTCTTTTAGTGTTTTCAGTTTTTTTTACACTTTGAAAACAATGATCTGTTCTCTGACATTATTTGAAGAAAATGAAGAAAAATAAGGTGACTTTAATTAATATTTTATAATACATTATATTTTTTTTTGTGATGAGATAGCACAATGAGCTGCAAATACAATATATATTGTAATAATAAATATATATTAAATGAATGCATTCAGGCGATGCAGTGGCACAGTAGGTAGTGCTGTCGCCTTACAGCAAGAAGGTCGCTGGTACGAGCCTCGGCTGGGTCAGTTGCCGTTTCTATGTGGAGTTTGCATGTTCTCCATGTGTTCGCGTGGTCCAGTGTGTGTAATTGAGAGTGTGTGTGTGTGTGTGTGTGTGTGTGTGTGTGTGTGTGTGTGTGTGTGGATGTTTCCCAGAGATTGGTTGCAACTGGAAGGGCAAAATGTGCTGGATAAGTTGGCTGTCCATTCCGCTGTGGCGATCCCTAGATTAATAAAAGGACTAAGCCGAAAAGAAAATGAATGAATGAATGAATTAATTAATTATTGAATACATTTATTTCACAGGGTCCCAAACTGTGCTTACTGAAATGAAAATCGAACAATGTGAAATTATTAAATGAAAAAATGAATGCATTTAATTAACAAGTGCTGGTATTTTAACGACTAATTGCAAGGGTTTATATTTTTAGGTCCTGAAATTAAACATAGCCATTGTTTAAGCTGAGAATATTAATATTAACTAAAAATATTTCTCTTAAATACTTAAATTTAGTACTTCATAGTCATCTTCCAGGATTCATTTTAAAATATTCAGTTCTGTTTAAAAATACAATCTATTATATTCTAAAGGCAATTTTCAGGTCATTTTATTTTTGTTCTGCTGCCATAAATTCAGCTATTAAAATTCAATCTTTCAATATTAAACAACACTTAGCTTTCCAACTCTTTCAATGTGTGAGCCGTAAGATTAGTAGGGGAGTGCAGGGCACAAAGTAACATGGGGTAAAATGTAACAGAGTTTTAAGATATCTGATCAGGGTTAACCATGGCATGCTTCTGAGGTTTTTACCACAGAGTCGGCAGACGTCTTCCTGCCAATTATTGAAAAAGTTTTGCGAAATTCGGATGAGAAGCACAAGATAAATCATTTTTGCAGCATAAATTTATTTTTTCATTCATTCATTTATTTTCTTTTCGGCTTTAGTCCCTTTATTAATCCAGGGTCGCCACAGCGGAATGAACCACCAACTTATCCAGCACATTTTTACGCAGCGGATGACTTTCCAGCCGCAACCCATCTCTGGGAAAGTATTTTTTTATTATACTCAATATATATATATATATATATATATATATTTTTTTTTTTTTTTTTAAATCTGTAAAAGTATGTAAGTGAAGTCTTATATTGTTGTGATTGCTATCTTCTAGGCTAAAAGATGGAACCATTTTGAAAGATTTAAAAAAAAAACACACAGAGGGAAAACACAACACAGCAGTTGTAACAGGGTGTCAATAAGCCACAAACTGTCGGACACCAACTAAACTAACAAAATATTTTTGTAATTTTGAGTGTTATGTTGGTAACATCCAACACAATCTCACGGCAATTCGTAACTTTTTCATTTAGTGGCTAATTCGTATGAATTCGTACGATCTAATTCGTACAATTTAGTATGATTTGCTTATCCCCCAATGACGGTTGGGGTTAGGGGTGGGGTCAGGTGTACGACTGAACTCGTACGAATTTGTACGAATTAGCCACTAAACTGGCAAAACGTAAAATACTTACGTTTTCTCGTGAGATCAGGCTGTAACATCTATAAAAATGTTTTTTAGTAGAAAATATTTTTTAATAGAACAAAATATATATTTTATCAAAGATGGGGGTCTCGAGTCACACCACTTGACTTAAGTTGCAAAATTTAGGACTTCAGACTTGCTTGACAAATATCCAAAAAAGACTCGACTTGACTTGAACTTGACTGTCATGACTTGAGACTTGACTTGGACTTAAGTTAAATGACTCAAAATTATGTTATTATGCATTACATACAAAAACAAAAGTTCTAAATGTAAATATAAAATGCTAAAGAAATTGCAACAGTAAAAATAAAATTGGCAAAAATTTGATTGACTTGAAAGTGACTTTATAGAACAAACAACGACTTGACTTGAGATAAGCAGTGACTAGACTTGACTTGAGTCTGACAAAAATTGACAACTTGCTTGAGACTTGAAGGTTATGACTCAAGACTTGCTTGTGACCTGCACATGTGTGACTTACTCCCATCTCTGTATTTTATTGCTAATATTGCAAGTAAATTCATTGTATAATAATGGACAATAATGCAAATAAATCCATATGTGTTCATCCAATAGATAAACAAATAAACATGCTGTGCTATGTAGAATTAAAAAAACAATGAGTTAAGTACTGAGGAAATATACTATTTAAAGTAAACTGAATTTACATTAATTGTGTGAAATTTGACTTTATAAGCATATGTTACAACTAACCCTTAGTTGTAACAACCCTTAGTTGTCTGTTACAACTTGCCCTGCAGGTTGGGTAAATAATAATAATCTTACTGCTGGCACTTTTGGCAATACTGCACAGAAACCATAGATTCAGCGATCATACTTTCAGTGCTCATTTGTAGAAAAGGCTTGTGTGTTGTTGGTAAAAACAAATGGTTTGTCTAACCCCATATCTTTGTTCATTATTGGGCCAAAACCAAAAAGTGTTACTTTGTGCCCTGCTCACCCTTACATTTGTTTTATAGCATTACTTTTACAGTGAAGGTTTTGTAGCATTTTTAAACCCTTTTTAAAGTTACAAGAGTTTCATATAAAAGATAACTTCCTGAGCTATACTGTAACCTATAAGCAACATACTTTTCTTCTTGAGGAGTTTTGCATTTGTCAGAAAGCATATTGCATTGTATTGTTTGGTATACAGTTTATGTATAAACCAAATCCTTGAATGTACATAAAAATGAGCTTTTAAATTGTTAGGGGGTGCACAAACACCACCTCCATTCAGAAGTCTTAATTGTAAGAAGTACAGATCAGAGAGCATGCAAGAAGCCGTCGTTTCCAAGTCTTTTTGTAAATCCATCTTTATTAGCTTGAGCTTAGCACCCCCTGCAGTTGCTCATTGTGTCCTGTTCTGAATGCCGTCAGCATTCAATGGCCGCCTGCTCTCTCAGCCCCCTTTTAGAGCAATTAGAGGCCTTTTTACTTTGATTGTTCAGTAATTGAATTGGTTTGAGGCCTGTATGATTTCCTTTGGATTATGCCAGTCATATTTCAGGCTTGGCTAGCGATCAGACACTCTGCTGGTGAATAATTAAAGGAGAGGAAGCCAGGTGTGTGTGTGCGGCAAACAAAAGCCAGTTGAATGCTTCTGATGAGGTGTTTAGTGGAAATGAGAATTTACAGCTCAAAGACAGACTAGTCTCATTTATATCTTTTGCTGTTGATTAGGGAAAACCGTTCATCACGTTTCACAACAAAGAAAGTATTGCGAAGTGGAAACAATACTGTCAGTGATTTGTGAGGAAGGTGCTATCAGTAATATATGAGGACTTTGCTTATACAGTTCTCAACATATATGAGTACACCCCTCACAAATCTCTTTTCAGTTCATATTGTTAATAGGAAGCTATACAATATTATAGTTGTGCATACTGTACATTAGATTAGTCAGTATTAAAGCCAAATCTGGAGCTTATCTAACAAAATAACTTAGGATAAGGTGCAAAAACTAGTACACCCAAATTTATATGTTATAGAAAAATATTAAATACAAATTTATAAAAGAGAAAAAATCTAGAGAAGCAAACATTTTGTTTGAAATTCTGTATGCTGTAATAATTTTCTGCGATATTTTGCTTGAATTTAATTGTATTATCCTTTAATTTCTCAATATGTTTGATGACTAAAATATTATTTGAATAAATATATCTGCTTAATAAATCTGTTTTGTTTAAGTGCACCAAAATACATTGCCTATATTCACTGAGAAATGGAGAAAAATATTAATTTTTAAAATGGGGTGAACTCACTTATGCTGAGCACTGTATATGCACATACACATAGATCATATTATCAAAAGTTACTATGTTTTAAAACTACATTAAAAATGGATTTGTTGTCATTGCTAAATTGTAACTATTAATACTAATACTGTTTGACATGTATTGCTCATTGTGAGTGAATGTTAGTTATTGTTAACTTAGGGAACTCTACTGTATTTTTAAACTTTTTATTATAAAATATTGCATTTATAAAATAACAAATAATATTTAAAAAATCAATAAACAAATTGAACTAAATAACTGTTTTATATTTTAATATATTGTCTTGTTTTTTCAGCAAGCTTTTTTCCAGTCATCATTGTTATGGACTCTTTCAGAAATCACTCTAATATTCTGATTGGTTTATTAATGTTAAAATCTTTTTCATGACTCTTTTGACTCACCCCGGCCTATAAATCTGAACTTTTAAGTTTTCATTCTTCATAAAGATCCCTTAAGTCCTCTGCTCAGCTTCTGCTAATTGTTCCTAAATTCTGGTTAAATAAAACTAAATGAAACAGAGCTTTCTTTGGAGCACATTACCTTCAGCTATATATATATATATATATATATATATATATATATATATATATATATATATATATATGTGTGTGTGTGTGTGTGTGTGTGTGTGTGTGTGTGTGTGTGTGTGTGTGTGTGTGTGTGTGTGTGTGTGTGTGTGTGTGTGTGTGTGTGTGTGTGTGTGTGTGTGTGTGTGTGTGTGTGTGTGTGTATGTATGTATGTATGTATGTATATGTGTGTATATGTGTGTATCTTTTAAAATTTTAACTCTTCTCTTTAGCCTATTGATACATGTAATACCCAACAGTGAACTTTATCAAACAAGATGGGTGTAGTTAACTCAAAATATACTAAAAGTTAAAGGTTTGTAATTAAATACCTCATTACTTCAACTTAAATGAAGTAAGTACTCATATAGATTAGTTTTTTTTTTACTCAAATGGTTTGTAGCAATCGATTTCCTCAAACAGTTTGAGTTGCCTTAACTTATTGGGTTGTAGAGTACTCAGTTGGTTTGAGTTCTCTTCATTTATTGGGTTTTACTCTGCTCAAATTGCTTTTTTAACTCAAATGGATTAAGTTCACAGTACTCATTAGGATTAATTAGTTTTTGCACTTAAATGGCTTGTTGCAATTGGTTTCCTCAAATGGTTAAAGTTGCTTTAACTTTTGGGGTTTTACAGTGTATAAAAGAATGTATTTTTAGCACTCATTAACTGTATAGATTTTAAATATTTATTTAAAATTTTTATTGTAGCACACAGTATTGTCCTGTCGATCTAATTGTTAATTTTTTTAGCCATGTATGTGAAGCAAGTAAAATGTGATGTGCATACAGTATAGAAATGTAAATATTTACCGAATAAACCCAGCATTACCCTCAGAAACAATTTTGCAGTGTCTCATTGTTTTTAACTAAATATAATTTTTATTAAACAGTGACTTCTGTACAAGTGATGCATTAATGCACCTGTGCTAAACTAACTGCTATTATAATCAGAACTAGAATCAGAATCTATTATTTACTGTCTAAACATATGCTCAGTGATTTACTGAGCTTCATGCGTATAGTCTGTACCTGCGATACGAAGAAGAACAAAAAACAAATTAGTTTAAGTCAAATCTTTTTTTAGAACTGTGGTGAATCAGACATGTGATTCACTATCAAGGTCACTGGAGTTATGAGTATGGTTTGGGCAGCTGCCAACAGCCCGTGAGCACAGTTAATGTTAGTTCTCCCTCATCAGGGCTCAATGGATTTTAATCAACACATTATGCCAGTTGTTAATTGCCTGAGAACCATCTGTTTATAACCACACAGCCCAGATTACTGCTTGCCCACAGTGTAAGCTGACACGGTGTACAGCTCGCTAATTTGCACCACGAGCTCTTCCTTCAACAGAGGTGAAAACGTCAAGTCAAATAAAACTTCCAAAGAAACTCTGGTGCAAGTGAATAAATCATAATTTAGGGCTTTGTTTTAGTAACACTGTTTCATACAGAACAAAACTGAAAGTGTGGATCTGAGGTGTCAAACATACAACCCACAAAGGCCTGAAAGATGTTCGGAAGAATGATGGAAATAAATTAATAAATAAAACATTCGTTTAAAAATTAGATCAAGTGTTTTTGCTAAATTTTTTTTATCTGAAATGCAGCAGACAGCTTAAAGTAAGGGAGCTAGGATTATGTGACATAAAGTGCAATATAATATAATTGTTTTAACCGTGTGTGAGAAAGATGGATGCAGCATTTTAAAATTTACAATACCTAACAAAGGTCTTGTTGCCTATCCAGGTTTTAGGAATAACAAATAATAATTTGAACTTCTAGTTGATCATGGATCAGAGGCGGCTTACTGTATATGAAAGACAAACGCCTCTAGATTACACTTATTTTACCAAAATAAAATATGATCATGCCTTGATCATTAATTTTTTAATTAGGACAGTAAGGTCTGACTGTGCTCGGACAAAAGTCTTGTCACTTAACAGAAACATTCATTCATTCATTCATTCATTCATTTTCTTTTCGGCTCAGTCACTTTATTAATCTGGGGTCGCCACAGCGGAATGAACCGCCAACTTATCCAGCATATGTTTTACGCAGCGGATGCCCTTCCAACTGCAACCCATCTCTGGGAAACATCCATACACACTCATTCACACTCATACACTATGGACAATTTAGCCTACCCAATTCACCTACACCAAATTTCTTTGGACAGTGGGGGAAACCAAAGCACCCAGAGGAAACCCACACGAACACGAGGAGAACATACAAACTCTACACAGAGACGCTAACTGACCCAGTCGAGCACCACCTACTGCGCCACCGCGTCGCTTAACAGAAACAATGAATGTACAGTATGTAATATAAAGTCATGGTGCAGTGGAAAAAGAATGGCTATTGTGTATGAGCTTGGAGGACTGCATCCATACATCTCTGCAATGGCTCAAATACTTATTAATAAATTCATCTGCAATGGCAAAGATGGTGTTCTTGCAGGACTCCCAAAGTTCATCAAAATTCTTTGGATGCATCTTCAAATGCTTCTTCCTTCATCTCACCCCAGACATGCTCAATAATGTTCATGTCTGGTGACTGGGCTGGCAAATCCTGGAGCATCTTGACCTTCTTTGCTTTCAGGAACTTTGATGTGGAAGCTGAAGTATGATAAGAAGCGCTATCCTGCTGAAGAATTTGCCCTCTCCTGTGGTTTGTAATGTAATGGGCAGCACTAATGCAATGTAATTTAATGTAATGCATTTATATAGTGCATTTATTGTGTATGGCCATACACCTTAAGCACTTTACAATCATGAAGGGGGGGGGGGGGTCTCTCCACACCACCACTAGTGTGCAGCATCCACTTGGATGTTGCGATGGCTGCCACAGGACAACGGGACCAGTGCACTCACCACACACCAGCTATTGGTGGAGTGGAGAGACAGTGATAGAGCCAATTCGGTGGATGGGGATGATTGGGAGGCCTTGATCGTAAGGGCTGATAGAGGGAATTTGGCCAGGACACCGGGGTTACAACCCTACTCTTACACGAGAAGTGCCATGGAATTTTACATGACCACATAGAGTCAGGACCTCGGTTTAACGTCTCATCTGAAAGACGGCGCCCACTGACAGTGTAGTGTCCCCTTCACTTTTACTGGGGCATTAGGACTCATGCAGACCACAGGTTGAGCATCCCCTGCTGGCCTCACTAACACCACTACCAACAGCAACCTAGTTTTCCCAAGTGGTCTCCCATCCAGGTACTGACCAGGCTCAACCCAATTAGCTTCAGTGAGTAACCAGTCTTGGGCTGTGTCTCATATGGCTGTGGTGATAATGTCTTGAAACCTCAGGCTGTTGATGCAGCCATTCACTCTGCAGATCTCTCGCATGCTCTCATACTAAATGTAACCCCAAACCATGATTTTTCCTTCATCAAACTTGATTTACTTTTACTACTGTAAATGAGATGTTGTAAATATTTATGTCAGATGTCCAGAGTGCATGTTACCCTTTTTATCAGTGTGATAAACAAATAAATTATCCAAAAGGTAAACAAAAATGAAATTAGTATTTGTAGACTTACGTTTTAAACACAATATCCATGTTACTGCTCTGTTCTGCTATCAGACATAATGTAGATACAAATCTCAGTGCACAATTATGGTCTGTTTAATTATATATTTGAGCCAATAATTCAATGATCAATTCATAATGACAGTTATTTGCTACACTGAATTGCTACATATTAATTTAGCCATTTGAATTAATCATTTGAATGAAATAATAAGACTAAATTATAAATTAAATTAAATAAGATTAATTTGTAAATTCAATTTTAGTTAGTAAGGCAAACAATGATTTAACAAAGTCAGTTTTTTTTTGTTTTTTTTTTATCTAGCCACTAACCTAATGTCAGTGTGACACCACTAGCCTAGATGAATCTAATATCATGGAAAGCAAAAAGATTTTTCTCCCATATGCAGATCACTGGTATAGGGTGGTGACATTTCTTTGTTTGCCAAAAACAAAGCTTGTCTGGTGTTCAACCGACCTTTGAACCATGTGCCGAACCCGATTGAAAACAGTCTGAGTGTAGTCTAGTTAGCACAATAGCCATTAAAATCCTAGTTTCTGAAAACCTTCACACACACCGCCATCAATTTACTGTAATCAGCTGCACTGTCTAAGACTAAACAGAGGAACAGAGACTTTTGTTCAGCCTCAAACGAGCACTGCGTCTCTGGGGAACCGAAGGTTGATGGTCAGCCCAACAGGCTATCTGGATGTGGCACAGTAATTAGCGCTCTTTAGGGGTGTGATTTTGGAGTCAGCGTCGGGCGTTCTGTCTGATCCCAATCAACTCTCCTTTTATTTGCTAGCTGGTGAAGAAGCGGTCGGGGGCGACGTGTTACCCCTGCCTCATGCCCAAGTCTCTCTGTGCACCCATGATGCCAGCTGAGTACACCGACAGATCCACACAGGCTAACGTTCAGGTGAGATATCAACACCAAACCACATGGGTGCCTGCTTTCAACTGAACTTTTTGTGTGTTATACGATTTGGATTTAGAAATGTGTGTTTGTGTGATGAAAGCATATATTGTGATTGCATTTATTCCTCTTTTTTTCTTCCCTTACATACTAAAACAAGGTTTTACGGTCTGTGTGCCAGTGGTCTACTGGGTCAAAGGTTCATGAGGAGTCCATTCATTTAGCCTATGTATCGGCCATCCAGAACAGTAAACACTTTATCTACATAGAGGTAATGCCAGTATTAATTCACACAGGTATATATTTGCCAATAGCCAATTGTATAATTGTATGGCTCAAAACCATTGATTTTTACTTCATGTTAAAAACTGCCCACAAAGAATTGCATTTCTTTACTCCTAATGTTGCTAGTTTAACACACTCAATGTATTTTTTTAACACATCCCATCATTTTTAAAATATCAAACTCTACCAAATGGTTGATAAGTTGGTTTATGGTAAAAGTATCTTAATTAATACATATAGTATGAAAAATCTGAAATTATGAAGTGTAAGACTACTTTATGTAAAACATACTCAAAATGAAACATTTTTAAATGCTCAATCATCTTTATTTTTTGAAGTATCCCGACAAAAAAATTCAGATTCTCATTCAACATGTTTTCTTTTACATTTTTTTTTACAATAAACCCAAAAATCAAGTTTAGTAGCGCTACAGATAATGTTTGATTGATTTTTTTTGTAAACCAACAGCGCTGTGTGTGTAAGCCATTATTTAACGCAGTCATTCTTTAAATGGCTTTAACAATCATTATTTGAAACAGTCAAAACATGGTCAACCATTCTTAGAGCCGACAGTTAAAGTGTTAATTAAAGATTCATTCATTTATTCATTTTCTTTTCGGCTTAGTCCCTTCATTAATTAGGGGTCGCCACAGCGGTATGAACCCCCAACTTATCCAGCACATGTTTTACACAGCGGATACCCTTCCAGCTGCAACCCAGCACCAGGAAACATAGACGCACACATATTCACACACATACACTAGGAACGATTTAGCTTACCCAATTCACCTGTACCGCATATTTTTTGGGCTTATGGAGGAAACCAGAGCACCTGAAGGAAATCCACGCAAACACATGGAGAACATGCAAACTCCACACAGAAATGCCAATTGGCCCAGCCGAGGCTCAAACCAGCGACCTTCTTGCTGTGAGGCAACAGCATTACCTACTGCGCCACTGCATCACCTTTAAGTGAAGATCATGTTCTGTATTTCATGGTCCTTCTGTGTATACATGGAGAATGCAAAAATCCTTCATGGAACTTGCAGGACTCCTGCAGGATTCCTCAAGGTAACATACAGGAATTCTACAGGTATTATCAAAGACACCTGCAGGTATCCTGCATGGGACATGCAGGAATCCTGCAGAAATCCTACAAGGAAGGACAAGTCACTTCTCTATCCCAGAGAATATGTTACTTTAATATGTTATGTTAATATAACATGATAATTATTTAACAAAATGTTGAGTAGTAACATTTACTATAAAAAAAAATCTTTCTTCCACACATTTCATTTTTATTCATTCATTTTCTTTTCAGCTTAGTCCCTTTATTAATCTGGGGTTGCCACAGCGGAATGAACCGCCAACTCATCCAGTACGTTTTTATGCAGCGGATGCCCTTTTAGCCGCAGCCCATCTCTAGGAAACATCCAAAAACACTTATTCACACTCATAAACTACAGACAATTTAGCCTACCCAACCACATATCTTTGGTCTGCGGGGGTAACCAGAGCACCCTGAGGAAACCCAAGCGAACTCAGGGAGAACATGCAAACTCCACACAGAAACGACAACTGACCCAGCTGAGGCTCGAACCAGCAACCTTCTTGCTGTGAGGCAAGTGCAGTAGCACTACCTACTGCGCCACTGTGCCGCCACACATTTCTTTTTAATAAATCAAAATCTTATCTAGCTGTCTCAGCTTACATCAGTCAAACTGACTGAACGTTGTATAACTTAAATTGTTTGTTGACACTTGATTAACTTGTGAAAGTTTAAGTAACAAAAGTACCTTTTTTTCCCTGACTTTTTATCATATCATGTTTTACAGTGTAGTATCTTACGGTAATAACCCATGTTCTGTTGACGACTGTTTCAGATTTCCTAGCTGCCATTCAAGTAGAACATTTTGATGATGAAATATGCTACCCATCAGATTGCGCCACCAGCATACATTTTGATGTGGAATGGTGTGATTTAAGGCTGTAATACCACCCTAAACCAACCCAATCCCTAACTCCAACCTCAGAACTATTCAAACACAGTGCTGGTAGCATAATCTGATGGGTAAATAAAATGTCAGGACACTGGCACTGTGAGGGCAGCCGTAATGCTGAATGGGCCCCCTGTGAAAATGAGTTTAAAACCCCCACAGACTGCATGTTGTAACACGTAAAGGTGAACCATACCTGAGAGAGATATTTACAGCTAAAAGTAATAATATAAAATAGATAAACAAATCAAAGAATGAATGAATGATTAAATGAAATAGCTAGGCCCTCTAAGCCAATATGTTTGTCTGCTATTTTAAAATAAACATTTTAAATATAAATTCAGACCATCAACAGAAATGTAACAGGTTTTGCTGGTAAATCATTTAGCAACATTTCCATTGAAAATAAAGGATCTTTAATTGGTGTCTTCTGGAAATTATGTTTGATAAAAAAAACAATCTAAATTCACACAGAACAACTAATATATATATATATATTAATAAGGTTTGAGCACCAATTCCTGGCTCTTACATTGTTTTACTTTAACTTAAATGCCTTAACTGCATCTCTTTTTCAGCTACCTTTCTCTTTCTCTCTGTGTCATCTTTTTACCTTTCAGAATCAGTTCTTCATCAGTTGTGCCGACAAAACCATCCACAACAGCATTGGCGATGCTCTAACTGAGAGGATCCTGCGGGCGTACAGGTGCATCACTACAATAGACACACTTGTAAACAAACATGAACACAAAAAAAAATCCCATTGCTGTGCACTGTCATCTAACTCCTCTTCTGACTGGCCACAGGGAGAAGAAGAGATTTCGGGTATATGTGGTGATGCCCCTGCTGCCCGGCTTTGAAGGTGACATCTCTTCAGGAGGAGGCCAAGCCATCAAAGCAATCATGCACTTTAATTACAGGTAATATCCCTCCAAAACATGCGTCTTCTGTAATCACCAAATTGGCACAATTAAGGGCAAAAATGCAGACTGAACGGGCACTCGCAGCAAATTACATGTCTGTGATGTGGAAACAACAGACCCCGCTTTTTGTGGGCTACAAAGAGATGATTAGAGCCCCGGCTTGAGCTGGACTATAGATAACAGGAGTGCACTGCAGAGTCACTGGGGTTCAGCAAGCAATGTGATTGGTCAGGAAAAGGAGAATTCAGATGTGATTTGTTCAAGACAGGATATATACTGTATACATAGCTTTTATTTTGGATGTGATTTGTTGCGATTATTTTTTTGACAGCACTAATATTTGTATATTATATATTATTATATTATATTATATATATATTTTTTTTCCCCATTGCAGGACAATGTGTCGAGGGGAGCACTCCATTATTGAGAGGCTCAAATGTGTGAGTAAGTAGACTAGCATGTGGAAGTTTAAACCTACAGGATCCACTTTTTTTCTACACAACTAAATGTTTAGCTTGAATAATGGAATAAACTTTCGTTAAACTGTAAATTGCAAAATTCCTCAAGTGCACTGAAATGTATGCTTCCTGAAAGGTCCCACTGTGCACCTTAAAACCAGGGAGCATTATTTTTTTTAACATTTCAGCATTTAAACAAGGGGTCTTAAAGTATTATAGTTAAGAGTAAAAAGTCTTAAATGCTATTTTGCAAGGTATTTTATATCATTTTTGATTATGCAATGTATGGCTGTATGCTAAAGTTTGCCTGAATTAAATCTGCGAATATCAGGATGCTGTATAGTTCATGAAATCAATGAAATCCTTCTAGATTTGACATCACGCTGCTTTGTTTAATGCAGTAACCAAATCAACACCATTATTTCTGCTGTTCTATAGGCGCCAACCTACTGAATTGAGATTTCATAGATTTGTATTCAGTTTATAAATAATGTTTTAGTTTTGGATCAGTTTCTTACATGAATATTTAGTAAATACACTGTAAGGTAAAATCTCGCCAGTATTTCTGGTTGAAACCTAAAGTAAGTAAAATTTCTTAAAATGTACGGAAAGAGTCTTAAAAAAGATCTTAAAAGGTATTGAATTTCACTTTCTGATTCCTGCATATACTCTGTTAATTATACAGTAAATTTCAATCTACATATCTTTATATATAAATTTTTTTTTTTTTGCTTTGTTCAGTACATTTCGTATAATATTACAATAAAAAATGCTGTCATTTAGAAAATAAGATTTTGCCATGTTTTCAGACATGTTTATATTGATTATTTAGACAACGAAGAAGAGTTAAGAAATCAGTATTTGGTCACAGCAAACAAAAATATTTGTTATTAGACCAATTTAATAAGAGGAACATAAATAACTAACTTAGCTAAAAAGGTTATCAGACAGTAGGTAATGTATATGAATTGGGGCACTGATGAGAGCAGTAAGGTACTTGGTTGATCGGTACGTGGATGATTACATGAGACACAACATCAAATCAGAATTTGGAATATTTTTTTATGAACAGCAGAACTGATACTTTTCATATTCATTCATTCATTCATTCATTCATTTTCTTGTCGGCTTAGTCCCTTTATAAATCTGGGGTCGCCACAGCGGAATGAACCGGCAACTTATGCAGCACGTTTTTTATGCAGTGGATGGCCTTCCAGCCACAATCGATCTCTGGGAAACATCCACACACACTCATTAACACACACACAAACACTATCGACAATTTAGTCTACTCAATTCACCACATGTCTTTGGACTGTGGGGGAAACCGAAGCACCCGGTGAAAACCCATGCGAACGCAGGGAGAACATGCAAACTCTACACAGAAATGAAATCATAATTATGCATTACGAAATCATAACCATCGACACATTACCTACCCCTAAAGCACTTTTGGTTTGGTTTTAGTCTTTAATTTATAGATAAATGATTTATTTGTTTGATAAACCAACAAGATTTTAACCATTAACCATTTTAACCAGTTAAATATAAGTAAACAACTGTTTCTTAAAATTGATTTCTTCCTTGTTGATGAAGTTGGTTCAAGTGATTTATGTTTTGTGATTCAGAACTAATATTGAGCATTGATGTTCCCTGATGTTTCAACACACTGGGAGAATTTTGCGATTGAGACAGAGGTTAAAATGTTTAATCAGTGCTCTCACTAGTGAACAAGGAAGCTGATTGAGAAGCATCCTAAATGATTCCCCTCATAGTTCATTGAACATTAAAAAGCAGATTATTAGCATTAGCAAATCAATTTCAGCAGACCATGACCCCCACAGTCCAAAGACATGCGGTTTGGGTAAGCTAATATGATCATAGTGTATGTGTGTGAATGTGTATGAATGTTTCCCAGTGATGGGTTGCAGCTGGAAGGGCATTCGCTGTGTAAAACATATGCTGTATAAGTTGGCGGTTCATTTCGCTGTGGCAAGCCCTGAATAATAAAGGGACTAAGCCGAAACAAAAATGAATGAATGAATGTATGAATATTATTTGAAGTAAATAGTTTTAGATTTTTTAAATGTAAATTCCCCTAAAATTAAAGTTCAACCTATAATTCTAAATGCAAAAGTCATGTGTGGAGAAATGGCGTACAGCTCTTGCATCTGCAAATATCAGTTCCAAGAAATGTGCATTCTTTATAACCTCACTAGCATGTGCATGTGTATGTCTGTGCAGTGTCAGATTGCTGGATCAAGTACATCTCATTCTGTGGTCTGCGGACTCATGCTGATCTGGATGGCCGTCTGGTCACTGAACTCATTTACGTGCACAGCAAGCTCATGATCGTGGACGACTGCACTGTCATTATTGGTCAGACTCTCTGCACACACACTGAAAATAAGATTGGGTCGTTCTGTAAAAGTGAGGCCATTTGTGACAGATAATATCAGGGATATTATATTTTTATGGTTTCAGTTGAACACATTACGGCTAAGAAGTAACGATGCAATTTTTTAAAGCCCCACCAAACCTAGAGTAGCAGGGCTATTACTGAACCATAGATATTTAAACTAGTGGTTGACAATTTGTTTTTTAGCTCAAAAGGCAATATTCTGTAAAATAGAATGAAATATAACATCTTTATATAGCTATTTAATTTTAGTTGTACATTTTTTGGGGGAAATAAAATTTCAGTCCACATTCAATTTCTATAAAAAAATATTTAAATACTTTTCTGTAAAAAACAGTTGTAACAAATTGGATGCAGATAAAAATTATATATATATATATATATATATATATATATATATATATATATATATATATATATATATATATATATATATATATATATAAATGGATCGATGGAAGGACAGACGGACGGACGGACAGAAAGGCAGGCAGGCAGGCAGGCAGACAGACAGACAGACAGACAGACAGACAGACAGACATATAGACAGACATATAGACAGACAGATAGATAGATAGATAGATAGATAGATAGATAGATAGATAGATAGATAGATAGATAGATAGATAGATAGATAGATAGATAGAATGTTTCAATATTTAAATATTGTATCCTTTTCAAATTCAGTTGGTCAGAATTATTAACCCCCTGAATTATTAGCCCCCAACACTGATTTATTTAAAAAAAATCTTACCCGACATTAACAGAATAAAACAAACTAAAAGATTAACACTTTAAGTTTCATATTCTGTAGTCTGTTAAATTAAATAATTATATGAAAAATTATACTTATACAATAGGCTATTTTTGGCTAATCTTTTTACTTTAATATTCTTAGTTTGAAAGTTACATATGTATAAATGAAGTCAGATTTAAGTCAGAATTTGCCGGTGATATGAATACTTTTTTTCGTGTTCATATATGGCCACATATTAATATATAAGTACATCTAATAACACATTTGAACATATATGTACATGTTTTGTTTTGTGTTGTTTTTATTTTTAACAATTGTAGTTCGGTTTTCCGAATTGACAGAGCTGTGATCTGTCTTAAAACTGTAATCGCGTGTTTCTCCACTGGGGGTCGCTGCACGCACACAAAACGCTTCCGCCGTAAACCTGCGCAGAATAACAAACATCAACAGATGTTTATGAAAAGCCCAGTCACGCCTGTCTCCTCAATCAGCACAAATGCATTATTAAAATCCCATTAACTGCGCTCAAATCCTGTTTGTCTTTATCAATCCCAATTATCCTCTTATGCTTATGAATGGGCTTTGAAGAAAAGAAAGAAGAAATGTCAGTATTTTCCTCCGTCGTGTCCTTGAGGCTCTCGGTAGAGGTCAAACACAAACCCTGATCCTCCCCGCAGGCCTTCAGCAGAGAGATGTGTGTGTGATGATGCTGTCTGTGATGTGCTCAGGCTCCGCCAACATCAATGACAGGAGCATGCTGGGAAAGAGAGACAGTGAGATGGCTGTGGTTGTGGAGGACACTGAGCTGCAGTCGTCTGTCATGGATGGAGAGAGTTTTCAGGCTGGCAGATTTGCTCGGTCTCTGCGCAAAGAGTGCTTCAGGTCTGCCTTAAACAACTTCACAAACACTCATCATGATTCAATACTGTAGAAGCTTCCTGAATAAATGGTGGAAAAAGAAAGTGCTGGAAAGTTTCTCTGAAATTAGCTGCGGTGGAATTTGGATTTTATTTTGCCTACACTATAAAAATAAAATAAAAAACACTCACACAGTCTAAATGTGTTGGGACAATATGAAGTTATTTAGTTCAGTGTAACTTATTAATTTTTACCAATTTAGGTGAACTGAACATAAAAAATTAAGTTGTCGCAAAATAACATCAAGACTTGTGTTGTTACAGCTCATAAATATTTTGAACAAACAAGTCTTTTTTTTTTTGAGTATATAAATGTATGATTTTTTTTTATTTTATGATTGTATGATTATATATTTGGGTTGACATGGTGGCTCTGTAGTTAGCACTGCAAGAAGTCCAACTGGTTTGAGTACTGGCTGAGTCAGTTGGCATTTCTGTGTGGAGTTTGCATGTTCACCTAGTGTTTGCGTGGGTTTCCTCCGGGTGCTCCGGTTTCCCACACAGTCCAAAGAAAGGCACAATAGCTGAATTGAATAAGCTAAATTGGTCGTAGTGTAGGCTATGTGTGTAAATGAGTGTGTATGGATGTTTCCCAAAACTGGGTTGCAGATGGAAGAGCATTTGCTGTGTAAAACATATGCTGGATAAGTTGGCGGTTCATACCACCGTGCCAACACCTAATAAATAAACTGACTAAGCCGAAGGAAAATTCATCATTCATTCATTTTCTTGTCGGCTTAGTCCCTTTCTTAATCCGGGGTCACCACAGCGGAATGAACCGCCAACTTATCCAGCAAGTTGTTACGCAGCGGATGCCCTTCCGCCCGCAACCCATCTCTGGGAAACATCCACACACACATTCACACATACACTACGGACAATTTAGCCTACCCAATTCACCTGTACTGCATGTCTTTGGACTGTGGGGGAAACCGGAGCACTCGGAGGAAACCCACGCGAACGCAGGGAGAACATGCAAACTCCACACAGAAACGCCAACTGAGCCGAGGCTCGAACCAGCAACCTTCTTGCTGTGAGGCGACAGCACCACTGCTTCGTTTGCCGAAGAAAAATGATTGATATATTTTTTCTAAATGTGAAATGTGATTAAATTGTAATTTAGAAGTTAAATAAGAGATGATTCATGTGCTGTGATTGTAAATCAGGGTCATTCCACCTATTATTGATTTCTTAACTCTTCTGAAGGTAAAACAGATATTGTTTGGTGTAAAACTGATACAAAAAAGACAATAAAATTACAATAAAAAGCTGTAATTGACAACCTTTTTCGTATTAAATATGGATCAAATGTCAATATCAGTCAAAAGTTTGGGGTCAGGTTTTTAAAGAGAATTAATGTTTAACAAGGTGGCATTTATTAAATGTAAAAAAAGTAAACTGTTAAATATTTATAAAAAATTTAAATAACTGCTTTCTTATTGTATGTAATTTTCAAATGAAATAATTACTCCAGTCATTATTGCTTTAATACTATTACCATTAATAATAATATTAGTAATAATAATATTACAAATAATAATGATAATAAATTTATAATAGAGTGATTTCTGAAGGATCGTGAGACAGAAGACTGGAGTATTGAAGCTGAAAATGAATCTTTAAAATCACTGGAATAAATGGTTAAATTAAACGATGAACTATTTTTGAACAGTTATTTTATAGGGTAATGACATTTCACAATTTTACAATTTGTACTATAGTTTTACTGAAATAAATGCAGCCTCGGTGAGCAGAATAAGTGGATTTGCAAATGTTTTAAAACATTTGCAAATCCTACTGACCCCAAACTTGTGACCGGAAGTGTATATTATCATTTTACTCAAACACAGAAACGAGAGAGGGAAAAAGAAAAGCAAATCAAGCATGTTTTCAATGCTTTTTATTTATTTTCAGAAATAATTTTACTCACTAAAACTGTACAAAGGTCAAATTAAGAACTACTGTAAGTACTCAAATGTAAAAAAAAAAAAAAGAAAAAATAATGCTTAATTTTGATTGATTTAATATTTGCCAAAAATATGATACATTTGTTTTTTAATGAAAATATTTGGTAACACTTTAAAATAATTGTCCATTAGTTAATGTCTGTTATTGTATTTACTAACATGAAAAATTAGGCATTCGTTCATTTTCATTTCAGCTTAGTCCATTTATTAATTATTGGTCGCCACAGTGGAATGAACAGTCAACTTATCCAGTATATGTTTTACACAGTGGATGCTCTTCCAGCTGCAACCAAACACTGGGAAACACCCATACACTCTTGCATTCACACATACACTATGGCCAATTTAGCTTATTCAATTCACCTATACTGCATGTCTTTGGACTCTGGTGAAAAGCAGAGGAAATCCACACAAACACAGGGAGAACATTCAAACTTCAAAGAGAAATGCCAACTGGCCCAGCCATGGCTCAAACCAGCAAACTTCTTGCTGTGAGGCGAACGTGCCACCCATTGCTCCACCATGGAGCCTTTAGTAAAAAATATTTTAGTTTATTGTAAAAGTGACATCTTTTTTTCTGTATTATTAGTAATTTCTCACTCTCTTATTTCAGACTTGTTCTTGGCTTGCCGGAAGACAATACAGACATCAGCGATCCCGTCAGTGACCGATTCTACAAGGAAATCTGGATGGTGACCGCAGCCAGAAACGCCAGTGTGTATGACAAGGTAAATAAATCAGTCCAGTGAAAGAGCACAGCACTGACCTTCCTCTCCGCACGCTACAAATAGCCCCTGATTTATTCTTAGAAAAGAGCTTCCTTTTATCACTGATCTCAGAAATGTGATTAACCGGCTCAGTCAATACAGACGGATGTTTACCTGTGCTCTGATTCTGCCTCGTCATTCCAGTGCTTTAGTCTAATATTAAAGTAATTTGCTGCACTTTTGGCTTTTTAAAAAAATTGTTTAAAGGAATAGTTCACAATTTTTTTGTATTTATTTACGCAAAAATCTGACAAAACTGCATGACAATATATGCGAATATCATACACGTTCATATATGGCAGGGGTGGTCAACCCTGTTCCTGGAGATCTACCAACCTGCAGACTTCAGCTTTAAACACACCTGTCTTTAGTTACCAAGCGCTACTTCAGATTCTACTTATTTGGTTTAGTGGTGTTTGATCAGGGTTTGAGCTAAACTCTGCAGGAAGGTAGATCTCCAGGAGCAGGGTTGACCACCTCTGATCTATGGATTTGACATATAAAATATCATATTTGCAACATATATTTAGAAATATATCAAAAATAGCTGCTTAAATATTTGTTTTCAAACACTGGAATTGATAGTATGCACATATATAGTATGTTACAATGTATAAGCTATAAGTTTATAACTTTTTTTATATTATTTAATAATGATATATATATATATATATATATATATATATATATATATATATATATATATATATATATATATATATATATATATATATATTGTGGGTGGAGCCGAACCCGAATACGGTATTCGGAAAGGCACGAATAGCGTGTTTTTACGAATACTTGATTCGAACAAATACTTGAAAAATTATTTGTATTCGGGAGCAAGAAAAACACTATCAAAAAGCAGCGTTTCCTCATGAGACCACAGTGCATGCCCGCGTGAGTGAGTGAGAGAGAGAGAGAGAGAGAGAGAGAGAGAGAGAGAGAGAGAGAGAGAGAGAGAGAGAGAGAGAGAGATTTTTTTTGATTTTACAAATCCTTTTATTAACAAGCAATTATTTAACAATTGATTTACAGCTCAAAACAATTCATTTATAAAAAACAGCTCTTCATAAATGACAGAACACAAGCCATCATCACAACACCATTCAATTTTAAACACATTAATTGCTTTCATCATTTTATAGTAATTAAAATCAACAATAATTCTTGATTTTACTAGGTTTTTAAAAACTACTACAATGTTTTTACCATTCCTCTTTTCTATTTCATTTTTTCTTGTAATATAAATAGCTGATTTTGCTTGACCAAAAATAAAATTCAATAATTGACATTTATATTTGTTTTGTCTTTTATATTTAAAACCTAATATAAAACATTGTTTCGTAAATAAAAAACCAAGTAAAGAAACTAAAACATTTAAAAGATCAAACAGAGGAGCAAGTCTTTTACAATACATAAAACAGTGAAAAATTGTTTCCCTTTCTAAACAAAACGGACATTGATCACTCACACTAGAATTTATTTTAGTCACAAATGCATTAACAGCTATAGCACCGTGTAAAATTCTCCACTGCAAATCCCCCGATCTTTTATTCAATGGTGGTTTATACAATATTCTCCATTCTGGTTTTTCTTCTTCTACTAAACACAGTTTATCTCTCCACACAGTGTCAGTTCTCTCTTTTAAAGTACACTTATTATTTAGTTTCACAATATTTTTATAAAGCACTTTCCCTTTAACTGTACTAAAATCAACATTCCCATTTTCCTTAAAACATAACAATGGACTATTAATCCCAGAATTTTCAATCTTAGGTGTAAGTCTAATGTCTGGGAAACAATCTTTATCATTAGGGAAAATAATACCTTGACTGTAACCTTCAATTAAAATTTTTTCTTTTTCATTTAAAAAACTTTCCAAAACATTCAAAAATTTTGTAACAAACCTCACCGATCTAATTCCCATATATAAAGCAACATTTTCTGCATCTCTTAGTCCAAAACCCGCCTTGTCAACAATGTCTCTTAGTTTGGTCATTTTGTTGGAAATAAGCAATTCTTTTAGTCCTGGGGTATCATCTTTTGTTACATCAAGGCGACTGCCAAGAAGTACTGGTTCTTCAAGCAGCCAGAAAAGAGATGTTGTTGAATCTGCCTGCGAATGTTTAAAAAGTCCCCATACTTTAAAAATACTTTTGTAAAAAGAAGGTATTCCAGTCAGATCTAGATGCACATTATCTGTCAAAAAAAGTGACGCATGAAGATTCAAGCCATTTATTCCACGTAGGATGCATTGAGCTAAAGGCCTCCACACGAGATTTTCAGGCCCATACAACAACTTCTGAACGAATTGTAGTCTATATGTGGCTCCCCTGCTCACAAGATTCACCAACCCTTGGCCACCTTCATCTCTTGGCAGAAACAGAACACTTTGAGGTGTCCAGTGCAAATTGTCCCAAAAGAAGTTGACCAGTTCTCCTTGAATTTTTGGTAAGAGTCCAGCAGGTGGATCAACACAAGCAAGTTTATGCCACATAGAGGAACTCACCAAATTGTTAATAATGAGTGTTCGTCCTCTGTAAGAAAGTTGTGGAAGCAACCATTTCCACTTCTGTAAACGACTTTGAATTTTTTCAAGCAATCCGTTCCAGTTTTGTTGAACAAAGTCACTTTCACCTAGGTAAACTCCAAGGTATTTTAAAAAACCCCTCTTCCATTTTAATCCTCCAGGTAATAAGGGAGGTTCTCTTTTCCAGTCACCTATGAGAAGTGCTTCACTTTTTTCCCAATTAACTTTAGCAGAAGAAATCTTTTTAAAATTGCTAATAATACATTCCAGTCTTCTTACATCATCAGTGTTAGTTATAAAAACAATAACATCATCTGCATATGCTGAAAGTTGCACTTGAGCATTACAGTGGGGTATAGAAAAACCTTTTAATTCCGCTCTTATTCTGTGTAGAAGAGGTTCAATGGCAATGGAATATAACATTCCTGACATAGCACAACCCTGTCTAACACCTCTCTGTACATCAAAAGGAGCGCTTAAACCACCATTGATTTTGAGTACACTTTGAATGTTACTATACATTACCTCAATCATTTTTATAAAATGAGTACTAAAACCAAAAACCTTTAAAACTTTTTTCAAATACTCATGTTCAACACGATCAAAAGCTTTCTCTTGATCTAATGAGATCAATCCACAATTAATACCAAATAATTTAGCAACTTCTAACGCATCCCTAATTAAAAAAATATTATCAAAAATTGATCTATTTGGTATAGAGTAATTTTGATTAGGCTGTATAATTTGGTCCAGTACTTTACTTAGTCTTACAGCTAAAGCCTTTGATAAAATTTTATAATCTGAACACAAAAGTGACACAGGTCTCCAGTTACCTATTTTTTGAAGATCTCCTTTTTTGGGTAAAAGAGTAATAACTGCTCTTCTACAACTCAAAGGCAATGATCCTTTATTTAAACTGTCATTTAAAACTAAAAACAAATCTTCACCAATCACTGGCCATAAAACTTTATAAAAATCAACAGGAATTCCATCAATGCCAGGCGATTTGCCATTTTCCATGCTCATCATTACTGTATATAATTCATCTTGTGATATAGGCAGCTCAAGCATTGCATTGGATTCATCATCAACTTTAGAGAGATTTTCAAAAAAAACTGAGTTTTCAACATCCCTCTGTAATACTTCACATTTATATAAAGATGAATAAAAATTAACTGCATATTTGCGAATCTTACTAGAATCTGTAATATCTTCTCCTGTTTCAGACTTTAGTGAATGTATTAATCGGCTTTTTCCATTCTTTTTTTCCAAATTGAAGAAAAATTTTGAAGGTGCATCCATTTCTGAAATATTTTGAAACCGAGAACGTATTAAAGCACCCTTTGCTTTTACATTCAATAAATCTGCAAGTAAATCTTTTTTAGTTTTACTTTCTTCAAAATCAGTGCTATTATTTGTAGAAGCTGCTGTATTTAAAAGTTCTGTTATACTTTTTTCTAACTCTTTCATTGCTCGCATTGTTTCTTTAGTAACATTAAAAGTGTACTCTTTACATAACTGTTTAATTTGTATTTTCCCGCAATCCCACCATTGTTGCAGTGAAGAATACATTTGTTTTTGCTTTTTAAAATTTTCCCAAAAAACAGAAAAAAATTCTTTAAAATTTTCATCATTTAAAAGTGATGTATTAAAGTGCCAGTATGCACTTTTTACTTTCACCGAATTGACAAAAATCTTACAAATAACCGAACAGTGGTCAGAAAACCCAACAGGAATTATACGACAATCTTTGACATAATTTATTTGAAACTTAAACATATAGAACCTGTCAAGTCTTGCCATAGAAATTTGGTTATCTTTGCTATGTACCCAAGTATATTGTCTATCATTTAAATGTACATTTCTCCACACATCACATAAATCACAAACTTGTACTAAATTCTTCATTTCTTTCTGCGAAGCATTATGTGGTTCTAAATGATTTCTATCCATTTTATCATTTTCTGTGCAATTAAAATCTCCACCTAAAAACAATAAATCTTCTGAATCTACATTATTGATAACATCACAAAACTTCTTTAAAAAAATTATTCTTTCAGCTCCTTTATTAGGAGCATAAATATTTAAAAACACCATTGTTGCATGTTCAAACTTGACTTTGACTTTCAAAAAACGGCCTTTAACTATTTCTTCTGTTTCAACAGACAGTGGAGACACTGTCTTAGCAAACAAAACAGCTACTCCTCCACTGTTGTAAGCCAAATGGCTCATAAAAATCTGACCATCCCAATCTTTCTTCCAGTTTATTTCATTAAGATTGTCACTATGTGATTCTTGAATAAACGTGACATCTAGGCGTTTCATTTTTATGAATTCAAATAAACACATTCTTTTCTGACTGTCTCTAGCACCATTTAAATTCAGAGTTCCAATGTTAAACACCCTCATAGTAAATGATGTTTTAAAAATAAAAGAAACAATCAGAAATACTGCAACCTTAACCAAGAACAAATTACACCAAATCTGGTTTTTCATCATTAAGGAGGTTTTTTTTCTTTACTTTACCCACTAATTTCCTTAGACGATAAACCTCTGTGTCTATGAATGCACCTTCTCTAGTCAGAATCTTTACATCTTTCACGAAAGCAGAAACATCTTCAAAATAATCCTCAGCCTCCACGTTTGGTAAAAATTTTGTTTCCCTCAGAAATTTCTTGATTCCCTCAGCCGTATATCTTTGTGTTTGACTTTCACTTTCATTTTGCGATGAAAAGGAATAAACTGAAGAACTGGAATCAGAAGAATCAGCATCGTTATCTGATATTATATAATCAGCCTTACTCTTGTCTTTTTTTGCTTGTTTGATCATTTTGTTTTCACTGACTTTTTTTCTTTTAATAGGAACTTTAAAGATTTGCTCTGGTTCAATTTCCATTTCCACTATCCCTTCACCTGTACTTTCCTTAGCTGTTCCAGCTGTGGAAAAAGTTGCCTTTTGGCTACTTGTGTCATCCTTAGAATTAATTGAGGTTTGAACAGCAGACGAGCCTGCTACTACCTCTGCCATAGTAGGAGCCACCGCACCTCCCCCGCCTCTCTCCTCAGAGACCGCAGCATCAGCCGCAGGTGCAGCGGCATCTACCGCGACAGACGCAGCCGCAGAAGACTCGCCTTGTACGTCTCCCTGACCTGTCTCACCTCCACTTGTACACGATCGAATTAAATGCCCAATTTTTCCGCACCCGAAGCACTTCATTATGCTCTCGGATGTTGCGTAAATGGTGTAATTGAACCCATCTACTTTGACATTAAACGATAGGTTTAATTCGTCATTGTTGTCTTTCAGAATCATATAAACTTGTCTTCTAAAAGACATCACATGTTTAAGCATGGGTGATTTACACCCAAGAGCTATTTTCCTGATCGGTGAAACTAATTTGCCAAAAGAAGATAATTCTTTTGCAATGCATGCATCGAAACAAACGGAGGTATGTTTGACACAATAATTTTCCTGGATGGACTACTAAGAGGAAGTACAGGTATGAGTTCATCATTTATCACCACTCCTTTTTGCACAATCTCATTAGTTTTTTCTATCGTGTTCAAAAACAAAACAACCGCATTGTTCATCCTAGAAGCTGAAACCACCGATGAACATCCCACTACTTCGCCAACCGCTAGAATACAATCCTCCACACTGGCCTTACACATGATTTTAATTCCATGACGCCGAGTCAAACTTTCACAAACTGCGTCTCCTGACGACGCCATACCTCCCGGCAACAAAACACGCCGGGAGTAAACTCACTACACTCACAAACACTAACCAACAGCACACGTATACAAACAACAAACAAAGAAAGAAAAGTTAGAAAGAGAACCATTCAAACTCACCGCACTTTCCCAACACTCGCTCACAACACACTCGCTCAGGCACATGCGCACACGCACAGAGAGAGAGAGAGAGGGAGAGAGAGAGAGAGAGAGGCAAAACGCGCCAAAGCCCGAAACTGAAAGCGAGACGTGACTTTTAAGGGGTTGTTTCATATGGATTTATTAATCATTCTTACTGTTCAGTGATCGCAAACTGCCGTAGTTTATTAAAGACGCAAACCTCTCACTGCACGTCAGCTGCGCGCCTTCAGCAGATTCCTGCAGCACGAGAGCTTAATGATTGTTTATGAGCGCCAAAAATGGCGGATCTGTCCGGTAAAATATCTGACTGCGTGTCACCGCATCCCTAAGGACTGTTTGTCGAAATATTTGACTGCATGTCACTGCATAACAAACGACTGAAAGGATATAACTAGAGAACTCTCCACTGTGCTACTGGATGAGAGCGTATGGCAAGCCGTTTTAGCATTTAAACCTTGTTCAGACTATCCATAAATATATTTAGAGATATCTCTAATTATATTTTGACTTGTCATAATTATAATTCGACTAGTCAGATTGGAAATATCTGCAAATATATTATGATAGACTAGTCATATTCCTCTATTGACTTCCATTGAAAAATATTTGCAGATATCTCTAAATAAGTTGACTAGTCACAATTGTAATTAGATATATCTCCAAATGAATTTTGACTGGTCAAAAATCCAATTCAAGATATCTACAACTGTAATTAGACTTTTAGTAAATTAATTAGAGATATCTTCAAATATATTTGTAAATATCTCTAAATATGATGAATTAAAGATATCTCTAAATATATTATGACTAGTAAAAACTCAGAGATATCAATTACAATTGTTACTAGTCAAAATTCATCTGATTTCGTACTAGTACAATTGTAATTGCAGATATGTCTAATTGTCATTCTGAGTAGTGGAATTATAATTATGACTAGTCAAAATATAATTAGAGATATCTCTAATATATTTATGGAGTCAGAACAAAGATTTAAATGCTAAAAAGGCTTGCCATAGAGAGCGTTTCTCACTGAACAGAGCACCGCGCAACCTTCTATGTAATGTATTATCACATGCACTAAAAGCATCCTAAAAGCATCAACACAGCCACATTCTGCCCCAGCAAGTCAGTTTCAAACATAAAAAAAAACAAACAAACAAACTTTGTGTCTGTTTTGTGGCAGGCAGATGACAATAGCAGGGCTGTATCTTTTAGTATTATATAGAATACTTTTGTTCTGCCAGATCTCCCGGGCAGGGTTTTATTTAGATTTATTTAGTTAATATTAGTTTTTGGAATTCTGTCCATTGGAAAGAAGTTCTTTCAGAAGAAGAACAGTTTTTTGAAGTATTATTTGTTTTTATTCTGTCTATTCAGTGTCCTTCAACAAGAACGGTGGTGGTGGGGTTCATAATATTCACAATGGTATTTTATTAGTTGTTGGTTTAACCACGGATGAGATAATGGCTTCTATGTTATTTTCTTTTCAATGACATTTCTAGTCACATGTTCAAAAACAACAGCCAATATTGCATATCTATAATTTATATAATGGGTATAATTAAACAATACTTTCACTATAACGTAAATTAGAAGTGTAATAGAAAAAATATATATTTTTGCGCCATTTTGAATTTTACTCGAATACAAATACAAATACAAATACTTTTCCCCCTCAACAAATACAAATACAAATACAAATACCGGCTGCTCCGCACATCCCTAATATATACATATATATATATATATATATATATATATATATATATATATATATATATATATATATATATATATATATATATATATATATATATATATATATATATATATATATATATATATATATATATATATATATATATTTATTTTTATAATGATGCCTCTTGTATATTGTTGAATTATTAGACCCCCATTTGATTTTTTTTTTAATATATCCCAATTTATAAATGTATAAATATGTTTAACAGAGCAAGGAAATTTTCACTGTATGTCTTATCATATTTTTTCTTCTGGAGAAAGTCTTATTTGTTTTATTTTGGCTAGAATAAAAGCAGTTTTAAATTTTTTTAAACACCATTTTAAGGACAAAACTATAAGCCCCTTTAAGCTATTTTTTATAGTCTAAAAAACAAACTATCATTATACAATAACTTGCCTAATTACCCTAACCTGCCTAATTAATTAACCTAGTTAAGCCTTTAAATGTCACTTTAAGCTGTATAGAAGTGTCTTGAAAAATATTTAGTGAAATATTATTTACTGTCATCGTGGCAAAGATAAAATAAATCAATTAGAATTGAATTATTAAAACTATTGTGTTTAGAAATGTGTTGAAAAAAATCTCTCTGTTAAGCAGAAATTTAAACAGAAAAAAATAAACAAGGGCGCTAATAATTATGGGGGTATATATATATATATATATATATATATATATATATATATATATATATATATATATATATATATATATATATATCCACCGGCTTGCTTGGATCGGGACTTGTGGAGCTGTGCTTAGGTGGATTTGAACTTTCAGCAGTGAAACTTATAGCACACTTGTTGAACTTCAACTCTGAAATCTGGACTTTACTAGAACTATGTTAAAGTGCTTTGGCACAATCTACATCGTGAAAACCGCTTTATAAATAAACATGAAGTGAATATAATGACAGTAAGCAAAGTAAGAACGTAAATACTTTGGAAGACAAATGTTTGCTCACCATCTCTCTTTAAAAAAAAAAAATCTTCATTTGAGTTTAACAAAGGTTTGGAACAAATAGATCTTGAGTTTTTTGTTTGTAATTGGTGTTGAGAGTAGTCCTCATCTCATCTGTCTCTCTGCAGGTCTTCAGATGTCTGCCGACTGACGCAGTGCTGAACTATAAGATCCTGAGGGAGTACACGTGTCGTCCTTGCATGGCGACTGAAGACCCGGCACAGGCCTGCTCTGAACTCAAGAAGATAAGAGGTTTTCTGGTCCAGTTTCCCTTGCATTTCCTTTCTGAGGAGAACCTTTTCCCTTCCTTCAACTCTAAAGAGGGTATGATGCCCATCGAGCTGTGGACGTAGAATCTCTCAACCCTTTAATGGCTGTTCTCTCTTTTTAAGCATGTCATCTAATGACGCTTTATGTGCTGTCAGCAGCATTCATACTTCTGTAGAGCCCAGGCCCGGATTGGCTAATCGGGAGGACCGGGAGAATTCCCGGTGGGCCGGTCTGTTTTTTGGCCGCGAGGGCCGGTGTCCCTAGCTCCAGAATCTGTTGCTCTCAGCAATCACACTTTTTAAATTTATTTATTTACTTGACCACAGCCTTTTTATTCATTATTATACCGCAACTCTTCTCTTTTGATCTATTTTAATGATGATAAAACTCAGTTGTGTCATCATTCATAAAACAGTTGTTGTGGTCGAGCGGATAGCACGTTAGGTTAAGACGCCGCGGACCCGGGTTCGATCCTCGTTAGAGTAATTTAGTGTTTTCATTTTTATTGATAAGACATATAATACTGTTAGGATTGTTGAACATTTGAAGTTCTAAAGCAGCTGTTTTCTCAAAAAAAAAAAAAAAAGACGTGATAGTGTCATTAGAAACTGATTTGGAAATATTAATTTACTTACTTATTTTAATATAGTCAGTCGTGAACTGAGGTGGGCCGGTCTGAGGCTTGAAACTCCAGAGCTGAAAAGGTGTCCCACTCCGGCCCTGGTAGAGCCATACACTATCTCTTAGCTACCTGTAGATGCTAGCTTTAAAAGGATAGTTCTCATTTCCTCTGCTGGTTCCAGACCTGTTTTTCTCTCTTCTGTTGAACACAAAGGAAGATATACTGGTCATGTCAACCCTCCCGTTTTTCCCGGGATTGTCCCATATTTTACAGTTCTATCCCGCTATCATCCTATAATAGTATTTTCCCATATTTCTCCTGTATTTTCTCCCGTCTTTCTCTGAAGGGTGGCAAGAAACATTAAAGAGCCAATTCCTAAACCCAACCCATACTGCCGAACCACCAGGGAGGGGCTGCCCCTTGCTCTTAAATGTGAGTCTGTTCTGTCCTTTTGCTTTGTTTAGGCACAAAAACACTTTTAAATAAATATAAAACGGCTGGATTCTCCTTCTTTTTCATTACAGGTGCCGTCACCCCTCCTATTCAATGCTCAAAACAGTCATACAACGGTGCATGACTGTCAGCTGACACGCTCCATAGTAATAAACAGACGCTGTTAACCAAACGGTTTCTGTACACGCGATCTGAAGCAGAGCAAAAGTCTGGCTTTTTGGTGCTTGTTTGAACAGACATATACACATAATTAATAATAATAATATCTAAAGATGTCGATCTTGGTGTTTATTTTTATTTTTTTCAAACAACTAATTTCGTCTTAAATGAGCATAAGTCAGGAAAGCAAGTGAATGCTTTCATTATAATGTTAGATGTGTGCATTTTTAAAGTGACCTGTTATTTATAGTAATCAAACGAAAAAAAATCTAACAAATAAGAGATTCATATCCCTTATTATAGTGGGCATATCCCTTATTTTCAAATAAATAAGGGATATGCCCACTATAGCATTATATCCCCCAGCATTTATAAATATTTATTATTTTGAGTTCAACAGAAGAAAGAAATTTATAAAAGTTTACAACTACTAAAATGAGTAGATGATGATGAAATTTTCATTTTTGGCAGAACTTTCCCTTATAAAGGAATAATTGAGCCAAGCATGAACATTATCATATGTACCAGGTACTGTATTGAGTCAGTTTTGCCTGTTTATTATTATTTTAACATTGTATGACTCACCAGGGACCACAATTTTAGCAAACAAAAAAAAACTTTAATGTTCAACTGAAGACAAAAAAAGTCACCTGCATTTTGACTAGCCTGAGGGTAAGTCAATTAATTAGTCTTTTTTTTTATCTCATTAAATGTTGCTGTGAAGTCCCAAAGCTTCGCTCTTCTACTGTGTTCTGATGTCCCTGTAGGTTTATAACGAAACTCTTTTAATCAAATATACATGGCCGTCGCGGCTGATGATGTAAATAATTAACTTTGTTCTCTGTGTAGTCATTTCTTAATGTGTGCGAACGTCTTTTCTAAATGCTTCAAGAACAACACCAGCACTTCTGCTAATATCACACTTTTAATTTAAAAGCACGCAATAAACTGCTGCAATTGTCATTTTTACAAAATATATTAAGTAGAGTATTTCAATATATTATTTCAATTATAACTTATGCATCTTATAATATTTAAATCGTCTGGAAAAGTCACAATCACAAAGACACACATAATAGTACACTTACATTCACTGTCTTGCCACGCAGTAACGTCTGCAAGTGTTTGCATTTGATGAGCCGTAAGCCCACAGTGTACAACACAAGATAATCATGGAACTTACAAACTCCCATGTAATAAAGACAAATGACGTTGGCACAAAGACAAACAGAGAGAACGCTATGGCTTCGGTTAGGTGCGTCGCATGCCTAACCATTAAATCTAGATTATTAGACTCTTAAATTACGTTACATAAACTTCCTGAGGACGCATTTCAGCTGCTCGTTCATCACACATTTTTCTATGCTCACTGAGAAATTTCCAACACTGTAGAGTGAGCATTAGCATGGATGAAACCAGTAATTACTGTAAGTTTTTAATTAAGCAAAGTGGTTTGATTGGGTGCAGGAGATGCTGTAGTTCACCTCAACATGAAAATGTCCTCTCCATTTACTCATGCTCCAGTGATTGAAAACTTTTATGAATTTCTCTCTTCTGTTGAACACAAAACAGATATTCAGAAGAATGTTGGGGGTAAAAAGCAGCCATCAACATCCATTTTTCAGCATTCTTCAGTGTCTCTTCTTTTGGTTCAACAGAAGAAAGAAACTCAAACAGCTGGATGAGCAAACGTTCATTTTGGGTGAACTGTATCAGTTTAATGCAGAGTAGGAACACCTACATCGGTCTAATACAACAACATTAGAGCGGCTTTAAGCTTCAGATATCAATGAGGTCGTCTCCACTTTCATCACTTTCCACAGTCAGTTGACGCGTCCACCACTTCTTAACTTCAGAGCCTGAGGACGCCTCGTCAGTCACCGGGTTCATCTTACACACCATGGACTTCACGCTTGTGCGGCCTGAGAGACAAACACACACATACACACATCAACATGCAGAATGATTAACCATAAACAAGTTTTGTGTAATTTCCAACATTTTTTTTAAAACAAGGGAAATTTGCCATTCTGATTTATTAAATGGCAAACGATTCGCTTTACAATAAGGTTTACTTGTTAATGATGCCATAGAATGTGTCCTCACATAAAGGCCATTAGAGCAAAAGACCACAGGAAAAATACACAAATCAGAACATAAGACTGTCACTGATCATTAATGTGCCTAGTGAGATAACAAGTGATTCGTTGTTTCCTTTTGTTCTGATCTTAAAACATCTTTGTTTGGTTTCAAACCTTTAAAAAAACAAGAGGAATTCGGCATTTTGATTTATTATATGCTAAAATTGATATTTTAATTTATTTAAAAATATATATATATATTTTTTATTCATTCATTTTCTTTTCGGATTAGTCCCTATAATAATCAAGGGTCACCACAGTGGAATGAACCGCCAACTTATAGCACACATACACTGTGGCCAACTTACCTATAGCGCATGTCTTTGGACTTGTGGGCGAAACAGGAGCACCCAGAGGAAACCCTCACTAATAAACCATGGACTATAGGTGAACACAGGGAGAACATGCAAACTCCACACAGAAATGCCAACTGACCCTCTTGAGGCTTGAACCAGCAACCTTCTTGCTGTAAGGCGATTGTGCTACCAACTGCACCACCATGACGCCAATTTCGGAGTCAAAATTGATGGCTAAATCAGATCATGAACTCGCATTAACTTGGCAACATTTTGAATGACAAAAGACATCAAGTCATTCTGTAAAGCACACAAAGCTATTATTTGACTTTATAGACTTTATCTCATGTATGAGTCCTATGGATCTGTTAACTGAAAGCTTGTCAAATCAATAAGAGAATTCTGTCATTTTCCAAAGAAATTTTAAGAATAGCATGTTATTATAACAATTTAACATTCAAAATATGAGAACATTTATAAACAAGTTATTGGATACAATTTTGGTGGCACGCCTCACAGTAAGAAAGTCGCTGGTTCGAGTCCCGGCTGGACTAGTTGGCATTTTTGAGTGGAGTTTGCATGTTCTCCCCGTGTTCATGTGGGTTTTCTCCAGGTGCTCTAGATTCCCCCACAAGTCCAAAGACATGCACTACAGGTGTGTGTGTGTGTGTGTGTGTGTGTGTGTGTGTGTGTGTGTGTGTGTGTGTGTGTGTGTGTGTGTGTGTGTGTGTGTGAATGAGAGTGTATGGGTGTTTCCCAGTGATGGGTTGCAGCTTGAAGAGCATCTGCTGCGTTAAACATATGTTGGATAAGTTGGCGGTTCATTACACTGTGACAACTCCAAATTAATAAAGGGACTAAGCCAAAAAGAAACTGATGAAATGAATGCACTTTTTAAGAACTGCCTCATGCTTTTTCAGACTAGATGTTGAATTTTTTGACACTGATAAAAGTTTTGTTGCAGGTAGGAATAGTTTCCCTGTCCTGAGATAATTCATCCTTTTCCAGGTTTATAAGTAAAACTGTTGGTGTTTTCATGAGAATGGTTGTAATCGCAAATAATTTTCTGTGTCTTTCATTTTATGTCATGATTTTTGTGTCTACTATCTAAAGATTTTTTAATTTAGAACTGGTTGCCATATTCAATTACATAAGTCTTTTTATGTATTCATATTACTTTTGTAGTCATATTATGTAGTCATATTACTTTTGTCTACAATAATAATAATTTAATAATAATCAAAATTTAGGTCAAGTAAGTATCCTCAGCAGTAAATCAATGGAGAACTATTAAACAAATGTTAGGGTAAGAAAAGTAAATAAATGCTATTTTGAAATGAAAAGTTAAATGATTCATTGAGATGGATTGTTGGTAATTGTTTGGGTGTTAATGGCCAGATTGGTTAGCTTTACAAGAACAAAGGAAAATTCAGACCTGTGCCTACAACACAACATTTCAGTAGATTTAAGACTTTTTCAGGCCTAAAATTGTGATTTTGAGATTTAAGACATTTTAAGACTTTAAGACACCGCGGACACCCTGTATAATGGTCAAAATCCCCATGCTTACTTAAGTATTAAATGAAGAAACAACAATAAAATTTAAAGTATACACTTTGGGAATCTACAATACTAATATAAATAAATATATATATATATATATATATATATATATATATATATATATATATATGATGAAATACAGATATTTATATATTTTTATATTAAATAAATGCTTACTTCAGCCCTGAACCCTGTATCAGTAAATTCTATAGCACCTTTAATATTACTGTAATTACATAGATCAGAGCAACACTTCTATGGCATTCATTAGACAATGTTCATTTGAAAAATTGCAATATTTAATTTTGCAATCATACTGTTGTAGACAATTTTTGGAAAAATAAATGAGATATGGCTGTTACAAACAATCTTTATTTAGTATAGTACACTTTATACTGTACAGTCTATGCCTCATTTTTAAGAATAAAAGCTTTAGACCTGCAGGAAGTCTCCACTGTCCCAGCTTCCTCTGGGGTCGGTCAGCAGAGTCCTGTCTGTATCCACTGCGGTCTGACAGAGTGGGGCTCAGTAACGTCTGCAGGCCGCTGTTCTGCTGGGACACAACCAGAAACATGCGTTCAAAGCACTTCAGCACACTAAAGAGCACACAGAAGCATACGCACTGCTCTGTTTACCTCAGGCTGGGTGGGATTGTCCTGGTTGTGTGTGTTGGTGTCTTCGCTGGGGACGGTGGTCTCGATGCTGGGGGGGTTGAGCAGCCGCCGCAGGTCTTGCTGTTGACTCTCTCTCAGACTGAGGATGATGCTGCATGACTGCTGCTGTTTCTGGAAGAGAAGGATGTTTTTATTCAGCTCATCTGGCATGTCTAATATCAGCATCCAGTCTGATTCTACTGCAGTAAAAGCAAAGCGACTGCAGCTAAGCAATTCTATCCTATCTGTGCATCTGTTTTAGAGCTTTGACTTTGTTCACATCGGAGACTGAATGCACCTAATTGGGATTTCCTGCTCAAATCAGATTTGTTTGTGAGAAGAGATATCAAAGTTCCTTTCAAGGAAATCAGTTCACTCGCTGGCCAAATACAACAAAATACAAAGTTCACACTTAATTTTGATGGTCTATTTGAGTATTAGTAGACTGTCTGCTTAATAACTGTTGATAATGCTCCTTCAACAGACATTTAACTGACTAAAAGAAACATATCAACTTCAAGTACATATCAACTTACACTAAACCTAACCAGAACCCTAACCTAACAGTCTACATATAATCTAATGAGAATTAGTTGGCATGTAGATGCAATGTAACTTAAATACAACAAATGGACCATCAAAATAAAGTGTGATCAAAACAAATCTCTGATGTAATGAAATAATTTTTCAAACATATTTCAGTAACAAATTCTGTCCAATGAATGCCACTTATGCTCAAATAATGTTACACAGACACTAATTGTTTCTATGAGAATTCTAACAGGTAGCTTTACATTTCAGAAGAGACACATCAATTAGAATATAACGTTTCCAACCACTTTAAAGTCTTTCTATTTGTAAAGTGCATTGTTAGATGTTGGATTAAACTGAAAAGCAATCCAGAATAAACAAATCTGATCAACAGCAGACAATAAAACTTCTCAGCCTTTTACAGAAAATGTAATTTAACAAAAATGTCAAAATAATGCAATATTATACACATTTCATTTTGCATAATATTGGTGTCAAATTAAAAACATATACTCAGGAGATGTGTGGCTTTTGACCTATTACTTTTCTGTGTTGCTCCAGAATACATTTCACATATTTGTTTATGAAATAATAAAATGTTTAATAATAAATTTTTTAAAAATTACTTGAGCATTTTTAACTTTTTCATTTTGAGCATTATAAATTCTTAATGATGGATAACAAAGCCCAGAGTGTCTTCTTTCCAAAGATACATAAACTTTGAATGTAGACCAAATTATTCAGCAACTGTAAATGTTTTAGCTTGGAAAGATCATTTTTGATTTAGTGCCTCTGACGGTGAGGGAGAGAAGGACAATGACATAGCCTCGGGAAACTTTTACAGAAATCTCATTTTGCATGCTATCTTCATTAATTTTAAAATATAAACTCATGGAATACTTGGCTTTCAGGTCATATTTTTTCTAGGACATTACATTAATGTTTTCCCGTGTTTCTATATGGAAAACTAATATTAAACAGTACAATTTTTTTCCCTCATAATGTATAACTTTTAAAATACTTTTTACATGTAACTTCACCTTTTACCACAGTAAAGCTCAAAGTGTCTTCTTTCCAATGATACATAGTTTGTGTTAGTAGCTTACTGGAGTCAGGAACTGTTACTATTTAAAGTTAGGTAGGTGTAAATCCCCAAAACTGAGTGCTGAATAACAGGTTTTAAAGTAAAATGACAAAACTAAAAAAAAAAGATTAAAGTCAGATTAAAGTCATTGTGTTTTGAGAAAAAGTATTTAGGGGTTGAGGAAAATGTTGAAATATGTTGAGAATAAACCAAAAAATAAGTAGTAAAAAACACTGAGGCACTGTTCATGGTGGTGCTGCTGAATTGGTTGATGTGGATTGTACAACTGTGAGAACTGTTTATTTAATCCAGATCCCATGATTTTACACTCCGCTGATGCTAAATTTAAATGTTGTACATCATTTTCGTGTGTTGAACAGCTGCTGAATTTGTTTTTAAATGATCAGTGATGTTTCCGACTTTTCTTTTGGAATTTTGTCATCACAGGTTTTCTGTGTAAAGTAAGAATAGTTTAGATAAGATATTTTGCAATGAGCTCAGCATTCATTGAGCATGAAAGACCTTTTATTATTATGATGGCTTGAAAAAGCCAACATACTGTTATACTACATAAACTTCTTCTTCTGAGACTAATTTCTATATGCATCTCCTCCAAGACCGTTCATACTACAACCTCCAAACAAACTGGTCTGACTCAGGTTTACTATATCTTTTTCAACTGATCTGACTTGTGGTTTTTAAAAAATGACACGCAAAATTAAAAAAAGTCTCATTGACTTAACATTGGACCAAATGTTGAGACCACTTAACTTTGAGCCAGACTGTCATACAGACTTAAGGCTGGGCTCATTTAATACCAATCAGACTGCCAATCACTGATGACCTTTCAACTTACTAGCCACACCCTAGCAACTGTTCCATAGACTTCCGTTGTAAAACAAAAAACAAAAAAAACAACCATTGACTTTACATTGGACATGCTAATAACATACCACTTCATGCTAACAATATATTAATCCATACTAGAAACATACTAACAACACACCAGTCCATACTAGAAACATGCTAATATATATGTTATCTATTTGAGCCAACTGTTTCAAACTTATTTAAACTTTAAAACTACTTCAAACTTTCAGATGAGGCTTTCTCAGGCCACCATAAAGTTTATCCATGAACTTTACTTTTCTATTAAGTATTTATGATTATTATGGCATTTTCAGTCATGGTATCCAAATTACTAAAGTTTTCTCTGGTAAATATGCGCATACACTGGGTCTAGCCATCATTTGATTTAATACACTGCCCCACCAAATTTCGCCTGCAATTTATTTTACATAATTTTTTTTCAAAAATGAACACGATTCTTAGAATTTAAAGTTTATTCTCAACATTTTATCTAGTGAATTTTCTTCAAATCACACATTATAATGCCAATTAATCTTGAGAAGGTTGTTTATCATTATTATTGATAGGCGCTAATCCTCTTCTGTAGTCATCCAGCATCTGAATTGAACGATGAGTGTTTGTATGGACTCACGGCTCTGATGCGTTTCAGGCACTTCTTCAACCACATGCGGATGGTTTGTTTGGCCACTTCCTCCTCTATAGTGTATTCAAGCTGCTCTCTTGCCAACAGCTCCTCCAGCTGAAGACTCTTGCGGATATCAACTGAACGATACGACAGCATGCTGAAACACACACACATTCACACAATCATACATGACTTCATATGGGCCACAGAACATCAACAACACAGCAGTGAGGGTGGTACAATATGACCCTTTCAGTGCTAGCTGTTTTGTCTGGGTAAGAAGATCTTATCGCAGTAGATCTTATGTAGTCTGATTCGTTATAAAGGTAAAATTATGTGCTAGAATTAATAGCAGGCTTTTTCTTTTCTAACCTCAGTACATCATGAAAGGTGACGTCTCCTCCATTGTGCAGACGCTCCATCTCATAACACATGTGTTTAAAGAGAAGCTTGTCTTTGTCCAGATCCACTTCCAGACGACCTCTCAGCAGACGGAGCAGAAACTTCACCCGAGAGGTCGGAATCACTCCCTGTGTTACAAATTTTATTTTATTGTAATAGCAGATGCTGGATTAACAAACCTTATCCTAATAATAGTTTCTAGACTAAACACTAAAAGACAATTCTCAGATTATTGCTCTGTTTCTATATAAATACTGTAAATAATTACTATCATTAGCAACAGTTTAATCCCTTAAACTGATCCAAAACTAAAAATTCTCATCATTTACACAATGTTCACTCATTCCAAATCTGTTTGAGCTTCTTTATTCTGATGAACAAAAAAAGAAGATATTCTGAAAAATGCTGGAAACCTGTAACCATTGACCTATATAGTATTTGTTTATTCTAATATGGAATTCAATGGTTACAGGTTTCTAAAAAAAATTTAAATCAAGGTATTTTGTGTTCAAGAAAAAAAAAAAAACATTTTACAGGTTTGTAACCACTTAAGGGTGAGTAAAAAGAGAGTAAATTTTCATAACTGAGTCAACTCTTTTTTTTGATGAACATTACTGTCCCATTTGCTTAGCATTAGCAATATGCTCTTATTTTTGGTTTCATCCAAAATAGTTATGGAAGGCTGACACACTGATGTTTAATTAGTATTCTGATAAAATATGTTGTTACCAAAACTACAAATTATATATGCAGTATACACTCACCGGCCACTTTAATAGGTACACCTTACTAGAACTGGGTTTGACCCACTTTTGCCTTTAGAACTGCATTAATCCTTTATGGTATAGATTCAATAAGGTACTTGAAATATTCCACAGAGAGTTTTGGTTTATATTGACATGATAGCATCACACAGTTCCTGCAAATTTGTTGTTGCTGCACATCAATGATGTAAATCTCCTGTTTCAGCAGATCCCAAAAGTGCTCTATTGGATTGAAATCTGGTGACAGAGGAGGCCATTTGAGTACAGTGAACTCATTGTCATGTTCAAGAAACAAGTCCGAATTGATTTACGTATTATGACATGACGCGTTATCCTGCTGTAAGTAGCCATCAGAAGATGATTACACTGTGGTCATAAAGGGACATGGTCAGCAACAAAACTCAGGTAGGCTGTGCGTTGACATGATGCTCAATTGATACTAATGGGCCCAAGTGTGCCAAGAAAATACTCTTCTGCATACCTCGTTTCTAACAAGTGGTTATATGAGTTACTGTTGCCTTTCTATCAACTGGAACCAGTCTGGCCATTCTCTTCTGACCTCTGGCATCAATAATGCATTTGCGCCCACAGAACTGCTGCTCACTGGATATTGTTCTATTTCAGACCATTCTCTGTAAACCCTACAGATGGTTGTGCTTGAAAATCCAATTAGATCAGCAGTTTCTGAAATACTCAGACAAGCCTGTCTGGCGCCAACAACCATGCCATGTTCAAAGTCACTTAATTCATCTTTCTTCCCCATTCTGATGCTTGGTTTAAATTGCAAAAGATCGTCCTGACCATGTCTACATGCCTAAATGCACTGGGTTGCTGCCATGTGATTGGCTGATTAGAAATTTGAGTTAACAAGCAGTTGGACAGTTGTATCTAAAAAGGGGCCTTTGAGCGTACACTGCATATTTTTACCAGCACAGATCAGGATGTATAGTGCATAATTACCCAAAATATTTGATTAAAAGAAAATCACGGTTACTGCACTTTTACTATAATAAAGCCATGGTTAATTTCTGTTAGAGGTACAGTAATTAAGATTTTTACTACAATTATTTGTTGGCTCTGCAGAGTGTTCCAAATCAGCAGTTTGAGGTTCCTGTCTCAGAAGTCTAACAGGCGTCAAGGAAGCTCACTAGTTTTGAAAGCAGAGCTTGTGTCTCTAATTTTAGACACTGTATTTCCTGTGCTCAGCTGTTGCAGCCTCAAGTGTTTCTAACTGATCCCAGTACTAAGGTTTGATTCATTAGGGCCAGAAAATGACTGGTGTGCCTCATTGAACTCATCTAGATGAGCAGACATTACTGATCCTACGGGGGGAGGTCAAATCTGCACGCACTTCTCTCTGCTGCTCTCAATAAGGCTGTTTCTCCCTAATGAAGATGACAGCTCAACACCTCTCGCGATCTGTGACAGGCAGTAATAACCTCCAATTACTCTGGAGGTGAGAATGTGGATGCGTGTGATTCATTCATTTGCAGCTGCGGAGTGCATTAACTGAAAATCATCCCCACCGACAGGCGCTGATCACAGGCACGTCCCTCCTCCTCACCTCCCGCTTGTCATCCACCATGTTCCAGATGATCTGGAAGTGACGCAGGTCGTTGTAGCTTAGCAACTGGTCCTCTTCGGTGGAGTAGAACAAAGAGAAATTCTCCACAATGATGGCTGAGGGCGAGATGAAGTGATTAGGGTTGGCTTTACCTTTGGTTTGGCTTACTGTACTGAAGTGTGTGGCAGAAAACATGCTCTGAAGAGGAGTGACGATGATAATGCTTGGCTTGTATACACTTGCTGTGGTAGCAATGAACCTCACCTTCAAATGTGTCTGTTCATTTGTCAGATTTGCACAGCTAATACCTATTACAGCACTTCTTTCGGCGATGCTATGGATGTCTAGATGTGATTTGGTATTATATTTAGATTTGGTTACTACATACTATTCTGATTATATATATATATATATATATATATATATATATATATATATATATATATATATATATATATATTACAAACTAATTTTTCTGCATATAATGGCCTACTTGAAACTAAACCTGTCATTATCTGCGTCCCAAATGGCACACCATACACTATGCACTTATACACAATGCACTTACATACCCAACATCATAGTATATGTATGTAGTGTCGTACTAAATGGAACACTAACGTTTTTTTATTCAGTGAAAATTCTAACTGTTTTCCAGATGAAGTTTGATGGTTTCCAAATTAGTGAAATAAATGACCCAACTACCAAATAAAACCAGCCATGAGTTTAACCACATTTATCATCAGGAGGTGGTATAATCACTCTCGTTGGAAAATTCTCTCTTTCTTTTACAAAAAAAGTAATTTATCTTTTATTTATAATCATTATTAATAGCCTATTTAAGTTTAAGGTAGTCTATAGTTCTTTTTTCAGTGCATGATTGACTGCTTCTTCAAATACACAGAATATACTAATTTGTCATATTTGTGTTTAATTCGATGAAAATTCTGAAATTAGCCTAGCTATTTAATTTAAGTATGTTATATTTATTTAACCTATATAGGCTATTAAACTATATATTTATTTAAACTATATAAAATTTAATTACATCCAGTATTGTACCATTCATTTTGGCTTTAACAGTTTATTGATACCTAATTAAAGAACATTTAACTGAGTTCTGTGAAAAGTTTTGTATGTAGGCCTAAAGTCAAAAACGTAGTCCGCAATACTGTGTCTAAAATAAAACTATTTCTCTTATTAGAAAACAATAAATACAATTATTCCAGACGCAGCATTGTATTAGATTTTAGCAAAGATGAACAAAACATAAAGAAAACACCTCCACCTTTCTACGGAAAAACAGCCTGCCATGGGTGTCAAGTCCTGCGCCTTCAGAACTGGCCACTGCTGAGAATAAAGCTTAGCTGCCCCTACTGGTAACGTTTTTCCTGAGTCAGAGAATTTCTCAAGTGCTGCGGCTAACCGCAGTAAGTCATGGCATTCTGTTCCCTGAGACGTGCATTTCTAAAGGCCATATCTGCAGGTACTGTCACTGTTCAGGATTTGTTTACGTACATGAATGTGTGAAGTATGACAAGAAATGTATCAAAATTCAACTGATTTCCTGAAATAACTTTGCATTGTGGGTTTCCTCCAAAGGCTCCGGTTTCCCCCACAGCCCAACGACATGTGGTACAGGTGTTTATATATATATATATATATATATTGCATGTTCTCTCTGCGTACATACATACATATATATTTGTATATATTAATTTTCAACATGTTAGACCTAAACCATAATTTAATTTATTTAAAAAGTGAAACTTTCATATACTATAATGTAATATACTATAATGTTTCATATACTGTAATGTTTCATATAATATCACTGTCACTTGTTACTAATTAAATGGCTAAAAAAATAAAAACAATGAAACTAAATCTTTTGAACAATAGTTCAAAGATAAACTGTAAAATTCACCAAACATAAATTCAGTGAAAGCATTTTTGTGTGCATAACCTCTTTAAACTTCAGAGCTGTCGAACAGAATTCCATTACTTTCAAATTTGAACAGCAATTCTGCGTTCCGTTTTCAAATTGGTATAAGGCATTCTAAAAAAATCCCTTCTGATTAGTCTACAACACAGAGCTGACCACAAAACGAGCGCTATCTCCACACAGCCCATGAACCAAAAGCAATAGAGACAGAGAATAAACTGGCTTTGACCCAAAGTGATTCAAAGCCTCATTCATATTCAGCAGTGACCAGTGCTGAGCTCACAGAGAACCTTCCAGAAGGAAGAATCGCTCTGCTCTGAGAAAAACACCCAGATAATAAACATGGAAGGACGTCAGGAAGAAGAATGAGCGGTGTGTTTTATGAGCTAGTTTTGTCTAGCTTTTGAAACAGGAGGAAATGAGATGGCAGCCTAAGAGATGGAACAGGATATTGTGTTGGCGCTGAAAGAAGCCAAAGATCTGCTTACCTACGAGCAGGTTGAGCATGATGTAAGCGATGATGACATAGAAGGAGCAGAAGTAAATGAGGGCTCCAGCGTAGTTGCCGCAGTCCGTCTCCCAGTAGCGATGTTTGTCTGGGGTGCAGAACGGCGGCTGCACCTGAGCGACCCATAAACAAACAGTGTCAGCACATGATGGATAAAATAAAACATTTAGAAGAGTGTCTTAATACTAAAACCAGATACTGTACATATTTCTGAATCCATTTGATACATTTAACTGGAGGCAGCACAGTGGCTCAGTGGCAATGTCGCCTCACAGCAAAAAGGTTACTGGTTCAAGTCTTAGCTAAGCCAGTTGGCATTTCTGTGTGGAGTTTGCATGTTCTCCCCATGTTCGTAGGGGTTTCCTCTAAGTTCCCCCAAAGTCCAAAGACATGCGCTATACAGTAAGTAAACTGGATGAACTAAAGTGGCTGTAGTGTATGAGTGTGTGTGTGTGAATGTAAGAGTATTGTACATTGGTGCTTCCTAGTTCTGTGCTGCAGCTGAAAGGGCATCCACTGCGTAAAACATATGTTGGAATAATTGGCAGTTCATTCCGCTGTGGCGTCCCCTGATAATTAAGAGACTAAGCAGAAAGAAAAATGAATAAATGAACATTTAACATTTGTTTACTGTTCAAACAGTTCTATTTTTCTCCAGAAACACATTGACTGAGATCTTCCTGTTGTACACATCATCGGATAGGAAAAATCCTGCCCATTATTGGTGACATCTCCCTCAATGGCATGGAAACAGAATAAGAAGCAGTATTCAGCAGGTGTTTGTATCGGCTTATAAATGGGTCAGGAGCATAATCTTGGTCGCATTTATAGCAACAAACACCAAAATAACCAATTTTGAAACAAGTCCCATTTTCACAAGCTATTAAAATAATCTGCCAGAATTATTGATGATAGTTTACCTTGTTTGTTACATTATTTGAGTTTTGTTGAGATATTTAAATGAGTCATGTGACCATAGTACTCAAAAGAGACTCTAGGCGCACCTGATCACTGTTACCCTGATGAAGGCAGTTTCTTGCCAAAACACATAGTTTTTTTTAGGTTTAGCCATGTGAATTAAGGCTTTTTAAATAAGTGCCTTGGACTGATTTTTGTTGTATTTATTGTCATTATTTAGAATTTTTATGACAAACAAGCATATGTTTTAATACATTCATAACAGCATTTGTATTTTATCCTCATGCAAAAAAAAAAAAAAATGTTATCCATAATCCCTAATAATAACTCCTGTACAGTAGTCCAAAAATTTAACATATGGCATTTGTTGACACTAAAATACCCTGTCAGAAAAGTCTAGTGGCTGTGACTGACCTATTAGTGTCAGCTATAAAGTTAATGTTGTTTTTGTGTGTTCAAAGAGATGAATATGGCCACGGTGTAAATGCACAGTACAGTTACAAGCTTATTGACACATTACATCATATAATAACGTTATATTGTTGCCTTCTGTAATTTCCTGAAGATAAATACCAAAAAAAATATGCAATTAAACTCTTATAATTTATACATTTTCATTTCAATAAACTGCTGAACATAAATATTAATTTCTTAATAAATACAAAATCATATGACCCCCAACTTTTGACCACTAATTAAAAAAAAAAAAACTTAAATTGCAATATTGCAGACTTCACTTAACAATTCAGAAGCATGTCAAATGAAAAACTAGATGATGTATAATTATGCAATTCTGTTCTAACTGATCTGTTTTTTAGTTATGATTATCACAGCAATGACACTTGCTAGCAGGCAAAACGGTGCTGACATCCAATCTCTTACCATGCAGTCATGCATGATCTTATTCCAGTCTTCACCTGTGACTATTCGAATAAGTACGGTGATGGCTTTCCCTGCGGTGGAGAAGTTTGCGTGTCTGTTGGCGAAAGAGGAAAAGGTAAGATCTCACGCAGAGTCGCTTCTTCTCAAGCTGTCAGCTGTACCTGAAAATTGATTCCCCCAAACGCAAGCAAGGGCACTGTAGCAAAACATTTAGACGGCGCCAATTATATCAGCGCCGCAGGTTGTAGTAGAGTGTGTTACAAATCTGAGTTCTGGCACGCAAACACAATCTAAACATCACCTCCATGCGTAAGAAAAGCTCACCTGTTAATGTTCTCTCCGTATTTGACGGTGCCAAAAAGAACGACGCCGGCGAAAGCGTAGCACAGCAGCAGCAAAAACATGCCCACGATAATGAAGAAACTCTTGTACATACTGACGACCACAGTAAGCAGAAGCATCTTTAACGTCACCTGTAAATAAAAATGCACAGTCAGGTTTGTAGTGGATAAGGTGTGATTTTTATGTTGTGTTTAGCATAAAAGCTTTTTTTTATTGAAGCATATGAATTTATGCGTACTTACATGCTTTCCGCATATGGTGAAAAATCTGAATACTATCACACAGGTGCCCATCATGTATGTGTAAGCATTCTGAAGAAAGAGATCAGAGTAGTAATTACAGAGTAATAACAATCTCTAATAACCTTTGTTTTAACTTTGAACAGTCATGTATTGTTTAATAAATACAAATTCTTTGAATAAATGTAAATTAAAAAAACAGATTTTTTTGTGATCATATGGTGTATGGCTTAAAATACTATATTGCAAATTTAGTGTAGTAGTTGAATATGCATATATTCTGTTTTTATTTAAATTCACATTGTTTTTAACTGGTCTTTTTTAAATTATGGTGATAAACAAAAAAACAGAAAAGATTAACTTTTTAAAGTAATTTCTGAGGAGATGACAATATATTGATGTTGCTTTTGTTTTTACATTCATGTCAGTCTTAATTATTTTAACATTGCTCTATTCTTTACATTGCTTTTAAAATAAGGGAAAGTAATTAGAGAATGAGATATACTTTGCTGCTGAGCAAGGAGAGGAATCCATACAAGTACTGTAATCACAGAATTACAGATTTTTTTAAAATCTTAAAAAAAGAATGAAGTGTAAGTGTAACAGTGGAAGTGACACTGACAACAGGGGTGCGGTTCCACAAGCAGGTTTATTAGAATGGTCTGGCAAGCAGTGGTCAATACAGGGGCAAACAGATGTATAAGGACAATGCAGAGTCATAGTCAAAATAACAGGCAGATGGTCACAAGGCAGGCAGCAAAAAGGATTAAACAAATAAACAAGGTAAGGATCAAAAACACGGAAAAACAAGACTCAGCAACAGTGTTTGTGCTCCTTATGTAGTGCATTAATCAGTCCTTGAGCAGCTTCAGCTGTGAGAGTGTAATCAGTTTTGATCTGGAACCGGTTGTGTGTGTGTGTTGTAGTCCAGAAATGGCGGATTTGTAGTCCTTAAGCGATCTGCAGCTACTAGATCGCTGGTGAACATGACAATAAGATGTTTTCAGTTTTGTCAGTATTTCAAAAGACCACAGCACACACATTATTCTAGTTACAGTAAAAACACTACCATAATGATTAGAAAGACTGCCAAAAAAGACTTTAAAATATATATGCTGTCCATCAAACTGATGTAAGATTCAGAATATTTTAAACATATTTTAAAATAACAACATTACATAATGTTGTAAAGTATTAACCCCTCAAAAATATATTAAGGAAATATTGAAAATGTACAGTCATGTACAGTCAATTAATTTGTTAATAAGCAAATTATTAATCACATTAAATATTTTTTTTCTAGTTAAGATGGTTGGACGCTTATTTAGTTTTTTTCTATGATTTCTGTGTGCACTTTGCATGTGTTCGTGTGGGTTTCCTCCGGGTGCTCCGGTTTCCCCCACAAGTCCAAAGACATGTGCTATAGGTGAATTGGGTGAGCTAAATTGTTCGAAGTGTATGTGTGTAAATGAGAGTGTTTGTAAGTAGGCGGTTCATTCTGCTGTGGCAACTCCTGATTAATAAAGGGACTAAGCCAAAAAGAAAATGATTAAATGTTACTTTGCATAATTTTGGTCTATTTTTAAACTTACATTTAAATTTTCTATGCTAAGTTAAAATTACCTCAAAATAATTCTATTATTAGAATCAAGTGTGCTATTGACACATTTAACCAATGTTAACTGAAAACAACTAGTCTTTTTGGCCTTTTTTTTTTTTACAAAATACTTTAATTACCTTATCTTAATTGTACAATATAAAAATCAACCAATTCAGCTAAAACTCCCTTTGTTTAAAATCTAAAATATATTAGACTGTACCTGTAAAGCGAAGTGCAGAATGATCCATATGAGCCCGAGGGATGTGACGAGTAGGTCATATCTGTTCCTCCTGCTCTGCCAGTATCCAGCTGGTGACATGGCTATCAGCTTCATAGTCACCTGCGGCACAGCAAATTTCATTATGTCATGACCACACAATATTTCCAAAAGACCTTGTGAACTGTGAGGCCTCTGGTGAATTTAATTTGTGTGTGTGTGTGTGTGTGTGTTTGTAAAAAATATATATAGCTTGGTCTGACTCATGAAAGAACAAGAAACAGAACATGAGACTGTACTATACACAAAATGTATTATATATTTACCTCCAAAACAAAAATGAAAGTGAAAACCACTGACATTGTGGCCAAGGGAAACGTAACTGCGCCAAGCTCATCCCACTGAAACACAGGGAAAACAATTACATTTATTATTTTAATGCTAAAATACAACACAAATTCTAGAAAAAGTTACACCATTTTATAAAATGCAACTGGCTAATTCAATTTAACATTTATTTAACTGGCAAAAATACAAAGAAATTATCTTCAGTGTTTTTATTGACAAACTAAAATGTATTTTGTCAATATGAACACTTTAACAACCCCCTCAGATAATAATAACTATATTGAAAAGTTAACATAATGTCAATATTAAAAAGAGTGTTTTCAGACCAGCGCAACCCTAATTTATTTAAAATAAATTGACTTTTTTCAATTTATTCATGACAATTTGCATTTTTATTATAATGTCATTATTATTAGTTGTAGTATTTATTATATGCATATTTATATTTGTTTTAATAAAAGGTTAGATTTGTCCACCTGTCGGGTTTTGGAGTTGTATGCGTCACTACAGTGTATGGGGTATCAGAATATGACTTGTGTTTGGATATAATTTTGTTATTATTGTTTATTTGTTAATTTGCTGGAAATTAGAACTGAATTTAAAATTTGTTTTGAAACAAATCTTTGCGCTAACAAACAAATGTAAAATATATAGGCTAATGGATGTCTTCAGTGGAGTGAGTTTTCACCGTTGCCAAAGAATAAGCACAAGCTACAGCGCAAAGCGTATTTTTCATCCCTAAAACAGCAAAAGTGGATTCGGACACGACCTTAATGCTTTTGCTTCATGAGCTTTAGATTTTGCGCTTAGATCATTAAAAAAGAGCTCTTTAAGTGTGTGCTGCAGCCACCAAAATCAGAATTTGTTTATATTTAAAGAATGCTATTTATTTGGGTCTGTATAACATCTGACATATTTTCTTTGTACTTTTGTCAGTTAAATTAAGGATAAAGCACGTGAACAAATATTTAATGTAATAAATTTTGCAAGTTTTTCAGAACTGATGTTGTACAACATAATGGTGTTTAGTAGCAGCAGGCCTCCTCACCTTAACCGACAGGAGGACAGACTGTGCTAAAACCAGCACAGCAATCCCTCGCTTGAAAAAGGGATGTTGGGTGATGTCATACATCTTTGCACGAAATCCACCATTTTCTGCAAATGCAAGAACAAGTATTCAGATTTGGAAGAGCAGAAAATTAGGGCTTTCCAGAACAATCCGCTGCTTTGGTCGTAAAACAAAGACCTGGTTAAAATTTCCTGACCTTCAGAATAATTTCTGCGCTATCTTCTATCATCAATTAAAACACTTGCCGATAGAAAATCATCTCAACTGTTCATTCAACACACTCGGTAGAAGCTTTACCCTTGGTATTGCTTCAAGATCTGCCACATCATCGTTTTGCTGTCTTTCCGCTAAAGGTCGTGAGGGTCTGACTGGCATTCATCATGTACTGTAATCACAAGTTCATTTCAACAGCCACAGAGCGCAGACAGATTATTTGAAGCTAGTTTCAATGGAGTTGGAATTGATGTGGTTGCTCTGCCGAGTGCTGACTAAGGTATTGATTTTTGTGTTATTTCAGAGTACAGAATACCTGCCAGGAAGCACAAAAGAAACTCCGCCTCCTGCCGTCCACAGCTCTCTAGAACCATCCCTCATTTCAGGTCCTCCATTGCAACAGCTTAACATTGTTGCAGCAGTCTTATTTTTAGTCTTATTTTTTAACTATTATAGTATCAACAGGTGTTTTGAATTAGGCTTTCATTTCTGTATTATCAGTGTTCATTTACATTTTTAGGGATTCTGTTATACAGCTGAAACTGTTGCCACAAATGTGAGAAGCTTTTAATGAAGCTGCAATTCACTTTTTGGCTTAAAGGCACAATACTTCAGTCTGAAATACTTAAAAAAAAAAAACTCAAAATACACTATTTTACTTATGCACTTACATTATCCCAAATGTTTAGAAGAATGTCCAAAGAAGCAATTTTAGCAAAGTTTCGAACCATCATACGCAACTCCTAAACATGTATTTATTATGAAAAAACAGAACTGTATCTACACTACCTGACAAAAATCTGTCGTCATTCCCAGTTGTAAGAGCAACAAATAATAACTTAACTAGTTGATCATTTGAAAAAGTGGCAGAAGTCAAGTTTGGTGAAGGAAAAATCATGGTTTGGGGTTACATTCAGTATGGGGGTTTGCAAGAGAACTGCAAAGTGGATGGTAACTTCAACAGCCTGAGGTATCAAGACATTTGTGCTGCCCCTTACATTACAAACCACAGGAGAGGTCAAATTCTTCAGCAGGATAGCGCTCCTTCTCATACTTCAGCCTCCACATCAAAGCTCCTGAAAGCAAAGAAGTTCAAGGTGCTCCAGGATTGGCCAGCCCAGTCACCAGACATGAACATTATTAAGCATGTCTGGGGTAAGATGATGGAGGAGGCATTTGAAGATGTATCCAAAGAATTTTGATGAACTCTGGGAGTCCTGCAAGAACGCTTTCTTTGCCATTCCAGATGACTTTATTAATAAGTTATTTGAGTCATTACAGGCATGCATGGATGTAGGGGTCCAAACTCATAGAAGTGATACACAACATTAATTCTTTTTCCACTGCTCTCTGACCTTATATCCTATACTGTACATTATTTCTGTTAAGTGACTTTATCTAAGAAAAGTCAGATCTTACTTTTCTAATTAAATAATTAAAAATCAAAGCATGATCATATTTTGTTTTGGTAAAATAAGCGTAATCTAGAGGCCTTTGCCTTTCATATAAGCCATTTATGATACCAAATGATTAACTAGAAGTAAAGTTATTATTTGTTGTTCCTAAAACTTGGATAGGCGACAACACTTTTGTCAGGTATGACCATAAGCAGTGGATTGTGGCATAATAAAATCTTTGCTGCTTTCGTGCGGCATCACAGTCGTCTCTCACCCGTAATTGCTTCAACACTCTTATTTCGGCTTTCAGCTTTACTCTGATTCAAACTGCCATGAAGTTTTAAATACTTTAGCTTATGCATGAACATGAGCTCTCCATAGATTGTAATGAAGACCACAACTCCCATGATTCCACAACCAGTCACAGTGTCTTCAAACTACACCTTTGTTTTTTGTGAACATGTGCCCTCTGGCAGCAATACATATATATTGTGTCTTTAAAATGACCAAATAATACCAGATGTTTAAATAAGTCTAGTGATGTTTATTTTAAAAAAATCATCTATAATTTATATCTTATATTTTTTAAATCACTAATATAAGATAATAATTATAGATTTAGTTACAATGAACAGCAATTTTTATTAAAATTAAAAATTTTATTATTAATTTAATAGTTTTATTAAAACTTCCTCACTAACTGATGAATACATTTGGTAACTGATTCTAATAAGGCTACTTTGTTAAATAACATGAAGTAATAAGGAGCAATACATTTTTACAGTATTTATTAATTGTTAATGTAATAAGATGAAAATTGCTTGTTTGTGCAATAACTAACATTAATAAATACAACTCTGGATTTGTTTCATGTCATGCTAGTAAAACCTATTGTAAAGTGTTGCCAAAGTGCAATATACAGTGCTCAGCATAATTGAGTACACCACATTTTGAAAAAGAATATTTTGATCTATTTCTCAGTGAATATAGGCAATGTATTTGGGTGCATTTAAACAAAACAGATTTTTAAAACAGATAAATTTATTAAAATAATGTTTAAGTTACCAAAAATATTTAGAAATTGAACGAAAATACAGTTAAATTCAAGCAATTTATTGCAAAATAAAATTACAACCTACAAAAACCTTTTTTCAGTTTTTCAGTTTTTTTTATTTATTTATTTTTTTTGTTTCTCGTTTTTTATTTTATTTTTTTTTTATTTGTATTTAATATTTTTCTTTAACATAAATTTGGGTGTACCAGTTATTGGACCATTATCTTAAGTTATTTTGTTAGATAAGCTCCAGATTTGGCTTCAGTACTGACTAATCGAATGTATATGCACAAATATAAGATTGTATAGCTTCCTATTAAAAATATGAATTTAAAAGATAAATTTGTGAGAGGTGTACTTATATATGCTGAGCACTGTATCACTCTTACCATTTTATTGCTATTGTTACATTTATTAGTAGTAGTGGTAGTAGCAGAAATAGTGGTTGTGGAAGCAATAACACAACCTCAATGTTACAATGAATGGTCAAACATGTGGATGTTAATTATGCTTCAAAGATTATAAACCATTATTCATATTTGATCGCTGTATGAGGGTAATTTAATTAGGAAACTTGCGTAACTTGCAGTATAGCCCACAAAATGCTTTTTTTTTTTTGTTTCGTTTGAATTTGTTATCAGCACTGGAGGAAGAGCAGACTGTCTTCATGCTGATAGCGAGAAACCATTGGTTCAGCCCATTGTTTATAGGAGGAGGCACAGATGAACAATTCTATTGTGATTTACAAAGAGTGCTGCGTGTTTCTCCATTGGTTAAAATGATACTTGGGAGATTTACACAATGCTTAATGACTAGAACAGAACAGAAAAATACTGAAAACTGGTCCATTGCAGCTTTTGGAGTTTGGTTCAAAACATATCAATCAAATATGCACGCTTGTCAGTAGATTGGAGCATTTTTGGTGTCTAATTGCCACATAAAATATGCCTGGATAATTGCCTACTATGATAATTGTGTTTATTCTTGCCTGCTGTTATGAAACATGTCTTTGAAGTGTCTGTTTCCAGGCGAGCCGACGGCAGTCAAACATAAAAATATAACGAGGCCCCGGCATCACCGCAGAGCCAAATCAATCAGTCAGTCAATCTATGGGAGACACGGGCAGAATCACTCCTCTTTTTTCGGCTCTAGGGTGCCCATGGTGCCCAAAGTCATTCATACTGCAGGCAGCGCAAACTCTTCTGATTCAAAAGTGAAGTGGTTATTATCAAGTGTGTGATTGCCTTGGGGCTGCACCCACTGCTGAAAGCTTAAATTTAGTTTGTTCTCTACTACAGCAGAGGAGAGCTGATTAAATGCTTCAGGAAACACATGCAAAGCAGGGACGCCTCATTAGCCAGGAGAGGAAGAGAGGAAGATGGAGGTAAGGGGAAAAAAAGAGATGAGAGACTGAGAGAATGCTGCTGGATATTACACTCGCTGTTCTGGTGATGTTCATCCATGTGACACTGAAATGTCGATTTGTGGCTGTCTGATCAGAGAAAAACAAAAGCATATTTTAAAGATGTAAAATAAAATGTATTTACACTTATAGTGCTCAACATATATGAATACACCCGTCCAAATCTTTCTTTTAAATTAATATTTTCTAAATGAAGCTTTACAATATTATATTTGAGCATATACAGTGTATCCGGTAATTATGTGTTAAATGTGCTATCTTTGCTTTATCTTTGTAATGTATTATGTTCGGTGACTAAAATATTATTTTAATAAATATATTTGTTTAATAAATCTGTTTTGTTCAAATGCATGAAAATATAATACCTACATTCACTGACAAATGGATAAAAGCATTAATTTTCAAAATAAGGTGTACTAATTTATGTTGAGCACTATAAGAAATGTTCTCAGATAGAATAAAAAAAAATTTATTATAATAATATTATTTGACTATGGAAGTCAATGGTTATAGGTTGCCAACATTCTTCAATATATATTTATCTTTTTGTGTTCATTATCAAAAATTCATCATTATCAAATAATCATCATTTTTTTAACTGGTTTGGATTAAATCAAATGTTGAGTAAATGATGACAGAATTTTCATTTTTGGGTGAACTATTGCTTTGTGAGGATGTCATGAAAAATAAAAACAATTGCATTTGCTGTCTTTAAATGCTACCATCAAAGTCACTATGATGCTTGTAATTGTATATTGTACAATTCTGTCAGCTACACCAGTATATAAAACAAAAAATAAATAAATCAGGAACCGTACAGTTTTAAAGACTATCACAAAGCAGACATGAAGAGCTGCACCTCATCTTTTAGAATCCTACACATGGTAAAACGTCATATGGGGTCCGTCCATGATGCTTATCAATGTTTAGAAAACAATGTAAAGAAATGACACAGTGGGCTTTAGTCTCTCTGCCTCTCCCATTTTCAAATTGTAAGTCTAGTTAGTTTAATAAACGCTTAGATAAACTTAAAAATAAGGGGGTTGGATGATGGTTGTTGTAATCTCACTAGGAAACATTGTTCGCCAATCAAATGCAGCTAGGGGTGTGTGCAATAATCATCCTGTGTGCAATATAACAGTGTTTTGTTATGATTGACCTGTTTTTCATCTAGATTTTACATGAGAACAAGGAAACAATGGTGTCTGAGGCTCACGGTATGTCATTTCCATATATTGAATTGTTATTATTATTTAATCACTTTCCTTTGGCTTAGTCCCTTATTTATCAGAGGTTGTCACAGCGGTATGAACTGCCAACTATTCTAGCAAAAGTTTTACTCTGCGGATGCCCTTACAGTCGCAACCCAGTAATGGAAAACACCCATACACTCTTACATTGACTCATACACTCATATACTACAGCCAATTTAGTCCATCCAATTCACCTGTACCACAGTCAAAAAGCAATTAGAGGAAACCCATGCAAACACAGGAGAACATGCAAACTCCACATAGAAATGCCAACTGGCCCAGTTGGGACTTGAACCAGCAACCTTCTTACTGTGAAGTGACAGTGCTAAACAGTGAACCTTATTATTATTCTCTTATTAATATTATATCCATATATTTTCATTATATGACACCTTTAGATACATAAGTAAAGAACATAAAATAGAATGTGTTAGTAATAGCAACATTATGATGACCATTTTAATTTTGGACCCTGACCTGGACGTGGAGGGAGGTGGAGGGGCTGAGCAATCTTGAGTCGACTCTTTAAATCTTCCCATCTCCTCTGATCCACAGTCAACAGAGCAGTGCCCTAAGCAAATACAAACAACATATCTGATCAGTTACCAGCCATCGAACCAGATATCTAATCAACAAACAGCAAGAAATCCCCATACCTTATTTTCATTAAAGTTGGCAATGACAACGCCAACAAAAAGGGTGAGTCCGATCATACATCCCAAGAACACAAAGACATGGATGTAGATACCATGAATCTGACACAAATAAAGAGCCCAATCAGTACAGTCCAGAATTAATGTTATAAATGACACTGGGAATAAAAGTGACTTACCGGTCCTACTCTGTGAATGATGACATCTCTCACCTCCACCCAACCCTTCAGCGACAACACTTCAAACAGAGCCAGCATGGCATTGCCCACATTATCAAAATTGAAGTTTCGAGGGTTTGCCCTAAAAACAGCAGCACAGGAGATACTGAGTGTTTGTTTGAGGTTTTTATTAGAAAGAAAAAAAAAATACAGTGAATCATTTCACCTTTAGTCAAAAGAACGGTACAAAAGAATAAAAATAAAAATAAGTTCATTAACAAAATTAAGCCTTTTTATTTTCATAAGCATGCTGTGAGATTATTGTGATTATAAATTTACTCTTTGCCATCTAATAAAAGCTTTGATGGCATGGGATTTCCGATGAATGTCCACTCCAAGATGGAGTAACACATATCTTTTTCTATGTCTTTATGATTATTAATAAAGTTAAATGTTTAAGAGCCTAGATTATTTAGAGCTAAACTGGAATTATATGTGTGTGATTGCTATTCTGTATGCCAAATGATTTGCTTCCTCAGGATCTACCCATGCAGGTCAGGGCTCATGGAGACCTCTCAAGTAGACCTGGACCCTTGAAGAATTGGAGTTATTTCCCATTTTACATGTTAAATCTTTTAGAGGTAATTCCTTTGTAGGTAAGCTGAAAGTTTGGATGTAGATTGTACCAGTTTTTAATCAGTTTTGATAAGATGGCTAAGAGTACACTCAGCCTTGGGAAATAAACATATTGTTTTTGAGTGTGTGTGTTCTATTCCTTTGTGGACCATTTCACAGGTCTGGGGTCAGCACTGAACAGCCTAGTGGCTGTCTGATGTTTGTACACTTGAGATTTTAAAGTGGTCCTTTGTTTATCATGAGAGTTATGTTCTAAAAATAACCCCTGAAAATAGTCACAGTAGACGATATCCCGCAAAGAAGTCAACTTCATTTTATATAGTTATTAAAGATGTTTTAAGGCTGTAAAACCCCTCACTACATACGATTTCCTCAGACAGACATTAACATTTTCACATTTTTCTCTCGTTTAAACACTCTCAAAGTTCAAACTTTTGTACAAAAATGAGTTCAGTGTTATGGAATGAAACCAAAGATCAAAATCTGTTGTCAGGAGCAAACATTCATCGCTGTCAGCAAAAGGTTCATAAAGCTATTTAGCTTTTCTTTGGATAATGTTGGCATGCAGCGTAACATTCTTTTTTCCTGCAGTCACTGATCCACAAAGCGAAAGCATCGCTAAGGAGGTCGTACACCGGATGAGACGCACACATGACAATTAAAAGTAACACACAACGGATGTGCAAATTCGTATGTTATTTAAAATGAAATTATTCAGATGGCGCTCTGTGGTGCGACAGAAATATGAACAGTGTCCCGAGTTGTAGCTGGGCACCACAGACAGCTGTCGACTTGCAGTATAAACCTTTGTTTTCATGGTGCTGCGTGGGGCATCCAGAGTGCAACCCCCTTTACGATGGTCTTGCTGCAGACAGTTACAACCACTGTTGAAACTCACACTGCTAGTGATGAAGATTTATATTAATTTTAAAGCTGAACAAATTCTGTACTGTACATGGGCCATAGAAAAGATTGATTGACAATAGTCTACAGAAAATCAGGACGCAGAACACAATGCATGAAAAATCCATGTCAAAGCAAATGTCAAATTGCACAAGAAAAATCCACAAACTTGAAATTTGAACCTAGTTAAAGCGAGGTATTGTTCAGAACTGGACGCACACACGCACATAGGATTTGTTTTTTTGTCAATCTATGTGTGTTTTAAACAATCAGGGTAAAACACCTATATGTATGATGCAGTTAATGATGTTGCGTAAAAGTTTAATTGCTGTTGTTTTGAGATTGTAAGCGGAGTGGCCCACAAAGTCGTTGTGAGAGTGTTGAAGCTGGCTTCTGCTGATGAAACTACAAACTATCTTCAGTAAATTCCGACTCTTCTTCATCTGACAGACTGGTCATTTTTGGATTAAAATTGTATATTTCCCATACAGCTTAGTAAACCTCTGTACTAATAAAATTAATATATGTGTAAAGTAATATTGTGAGGCAGCTTTAAGCAAACAGAACATCATTACTGCGTTGTTGTCTCAACATCAATGTATGCTGTTTTTCAAAAAAAAAAAAGCACTTTCTGAAATAGTTATTTTCAATATTATTTGTAATTTTCACAATCAAACTAATTTAAAAAACTCACAGTTTTATTTTATTAATTTTTTTCTTGTTGTTGAATTATATTGTATTGTTTTGCTTTCTGGTTTGGTGATGATTAATCAGGCATTTATTTAATATATTCACCCTCAAAGCAATAATAGGAAAACAAGAAATGCATTTAGAAGGCAATTATAAAATCTGACCTCTCAGTTTAAGACCCAAAGCTCTTAATATATTACAAAACAAGTAAAAGAAACAATGATTCATGCTGCTCCTTTTTTATAATCTCTGGTATAAATTGTGTATGCCTGTGTGTGCGTACACATGTGTTTGTGTGTGTACCAGTGACTTTTTTTATTTGATGAACATGAACACAAGGATCAAACGCCTTGTTTTTTCCTGTTACCATGCAAAGCGCTCAAAGATAAAAGAGTGACAACCTTTCCCTCTCCCTCTCTCTCTCTCCCTGTTATTCCAGTTTAGGTGAAGCCTTGCTCCCTCTACATGTGCTATGGACCCATGTGTGTGTTTTTTGCTGGTCTTCATTATTTAACGTCTCACAAATAATTTGCCATTGTGTTACCAAACATCTCTAGAGCAATAACAGACTCATTGGTGTGTGGGTGTATGATTGTGTGTTGTTTGTGTTTATGCCGCAGGGAAAGATATATCAGCCCCCTGCTCTGTGCCCACGACTAACCGTACCACTGCACTGCAACACTGACTATTGCTTATGGGGAAAATACATATGAAAGATGATGAAAATGTGCTGCTGTTTACATGATGAGAGCATTCATCACACTGGTTTGTGCTGTCACAGATGAATTGTTACACTATAGGGATTTCACAAAGAGACTTCAGAACTAAAGGTTTGACAGGTGTGGTTTGTTGACTTTTAAAAGAAAATGAATTTCACTTGGTTGTGAAAAAATCATGCTCAAGAATTTTTTTTCAAGTTCCAACTACATGAAAAGTCAAAATGAAAGTCTGATAAATAAAGATAATATTTTGTGGTAACTGTACAGTATGTAGGATCTGAATGGTTGCATGCCAAATTTGCTGGCAGTGAATTACTGTACTTAATTGTTGCTTTACTCAAATACACTTTTAACTACTTGTACTTGACTGTGTTTCTAAAGAAAAATTTTTTTTTTCATCCTTTGCACACTAATTATAGTAAACAGACTCTTAAACATGCAAGAGCCAGTGGTGTTTGTTTTCTCACATCAAGCATACATTTTAATATTTTGCTGTAGAGTTTTAGGCAGCGAAAGGACTGTCCAACCCAATAAAATTTTTTATATATTTGTTAGCTGTCAGTTAGGTTTATTGACAAGAAGTACATGATATTGTTAATTATTTTTTTTTTATCTTATAAGAATTGGATAGGTAATAGATATGATAAATTTATATCAAAATAGCATTTTCTGCCTGTTTAAAAATATCACCCAAGAATCATTAGACATATGTGCACAGGACTACATTTTTGAGAACTGGGAAATGTAGGGTTCTTTTTTAACAATATAGGCACAAATCTAAAGCGCATGGCACAAAAGCATTAAGGGCGTGTCCGAATCCACTTTTGCTATTCAAAAGATGGAAAAATACGCTCAGCGCCCTGGTGCATGATCTAACAGGGTTGTGCTTATTCTCTTAATGGGTTATGGGTGTGTTTTGAGTATAAAGTGCATTAAACTAATTAGAGTCTCATCTACCATTCCTTTTAGGAGTCAGTTGCATCCTGCCATGGTGCATTTGCTATTAACATGGCGGACTTTGTAGGTGGAAAAACTGAACACCTGAATATCAGAAAACAGTTAAACAAACCATCTGCAGCATGACGATAAAGAATGAGCCTCCTCCATTCAGCCTCTTTATTTTGTCTTTTTCTTTTATTTTACTCTTTAATTTACTCCTTTACTTTAGTGGATAAGAAAACTGTGTTGTACGTACTCCACTGAAGACATCTATTAGCCTACATATTTAACTTTGTTTGTTAAGTGAAAAACAATAATAACAAAATGTGGTTAAAAACAGTTTTCATATTTATGTAGAAAATAATCATTTTTGTAACATTTGATCCTTTAATTCTTTTTTCATAAGTAAAGATATTTGTGAATGGGTGTACATACTATGTATTAAGCAATGTGTAAGCGTTTCAACCCACATAGATGCATAACTAACGTGTTCTACGTTGTACTTTAGACCTACTTTAAGATGGTCAATGATGCAATCTATTTCAGCTCTTCAATATAGCAACACCTCCACTTTAGACCAGCATACCCATGAGTACACAAAGTGGTATGAATGGATTTCCTATTTAAACAATGTGGTGCATAACGTGAAAATTAGGGTTACACTGGTCTGAAAATAGCAACAAGTCACACCAAACACATCTTGAGCTTATTTTGCCGAGTCTATGATCGGACCCATAGTGTGTACCATGGGGTACGTCTGTTTGTACTTATTTACATCTCAAATATGTTACTGAGGCACATTTTCTTGTAAATCTATTAGAGGCCGCTGTATATATCTCTAGAAATCCTTCTTGCATGCATCTGTGAGAGAGAACTGTCATTATGCATAATATTTTATCTTTATATTGACTGTCCCACCCATTACCTTCTCTAAACCCATCCGATAGTGTTTTCAATGAAAACTAGAAGAGAAAAGCTGTCAGAAAAAGTTGCAAGCCTTTACCACAATTTCACACTGCTATTTTTTCATGTCCATATGTTTATGCACAGTGAATTCAACAAGCATATTCAACAATTAAAGTGATGTTTGTTTTATTAATAAATATAAAGAATATTCTTTTTTTTCATACCAAACTCTTGGCACCCAAAATCCTGGTTTCTTCTCCCCATCCTTGAGCTTCAAATTCAGGTTCTTTGAAATGCTCACATTGATTCTAAAGATGCCGTGACAGTCATCCTGAAAAAAGTACAACATTTCAGTGAAGTACAGAAAATCCTCAACGCTGAGTAGTTTGAAAAGTCCAAGAATTGCTTCATACCTTGCTAGAAATATGAGGATCATTACATTTGGCAAGTTTTCCAGCAAAGAGTTGCACCCCGAAGGTTGCGAACACCAGCATTAGTGTCAGGAGAAGAATAGAGACCTGTTTGGGAAATCAATAATTCAGTCTACAGCAAAATGGCTTTCCCACAAAAACTGGCCAGTGCATTACTCTCATATACAGTAACACTATAATAAGCTCACAGAAAGTGCCCAAGGGGAACAAAGCTTAATAATGAAAGTCCATAAAGAAATCTCCAGGACAAATTCTGCTGAGTTAATGCATTACGTTACTGCAAAAAAAGAGAGCTTCTTGCCTTGCAATTTAAGGGCTCATCTTGCATTTGATGTATAATGTAAATGCATAAACAATTTTATCCTCAACTAAAACACTTCTAAAGCAATGTAAAAAGAAGTGCATTAATACAAAACTTAAAAATAATATGACCAATATAAGGAAGCAATAAAACTGAGCTAAACAAATCAAATCACCATGGAATTGTAAGGTTTTATCTTGCATTTTTGTCAAAATTATTATTCACATTTTCTTACTCTATGACAACATATTTATGTTATATAATTTTTAAAGAAGTATTTTCTATGTGTAAAATGAAAGGTAGTCTTACTATTAGTAAACCAATCAGCAATTTTAATGCACAAGAAAAAAAAAAGTACTTCCACATATAGTAAGTAAACAGCACATACTGTATGAATACATTTTTGATTAGATGGTCTAACATTTTAAATATGGAGCTAATAAATGCCATGGTTTTGGGGAAAATATAACATGATATTTGTAATTACATTACATAATCCGCAAAACGTTTTTTGTTTATTTAACTGTGAATACATTTTGCTGAAGAATTGTCTGCTTTCTTGCTTTTTTAAACTTTGAAATGTCTTAAAATTTAAACATCAAAATAGTTTTCATCTGTACTGATATCTACAGGGAGGCTGCTTTTTCTAAACCAAAAATATAAATAAAGACCAACCAATCCTACTAAAATTTACATATTTAATGGACAAAATATTTAGCATTACTAAAAGGTTACATAAATCAGCATAAAATAAATGTAATTCTTAGTGCTGCACAATATTGGAAACATCTAATATTGCAATATTTTTTTATTCTGCAATATACATTGAGATATAAATACAATTTTACAAGATGCACTAAAAATTGTTAGCTGTTTGTTTAAACTACTGATTTAAACTGAGCTGATTTAAACAACACAATTCTGAAGATTTCTTTAGACAATTTAATTGTTTTATTTTCAACCCACTTAATTTTGTGAAAAAGTTAACGTAATTCCTTAATGGTGTCCCAACTCAAATCGAAAACATTTTTAAAGTGTGAGTTGTTTGGAAATAATTTATCATTTTAGATTGATTGTGATGATTCTGTAGGGAAGTGCATATGCATAAAACATCATAAAAAATCATCTAAAAGCATATAGATAAATTCAATAGAGAAGTACAGAAAAGTACAAATAAAAAAACTGCATCCTATTGTTTTTAGAGGAAGTCGAAATGTATGCAGTAATTGAATAATTTAATGCAAAAAAACAATTCATAGTTGTAATTATATAAACAATTCAATAAAATTTATTGCTATAAATCTTTTACAAATGTTACAGTTTCTTAGGCCTTAATGGTTTAAAAACCCTCACAGTCACAGGCCTCAGAAGACACAGCAAAATGATCAATTATAATTCACTCTCAACATTGCGTAAACTTACGATGTGACTATTGCAGATGAACACATTGCGATATCAATGCTAAAACGATATATTGTGCAGCGCTAGTAACTGTCAACACAGATATATCACAAATTTAATGTTTTTAAAAAAATATATGAAATACATATTTTCATATACAAGTAAATGGTTTGAATTACTCAATAAGTATTGTGTCAATTAATGTTTTGAAAGATTCGTAAGAACATACTATAATTCCAGGCGAAAAGCTGAGAGGATTTTGATATTGTAGAATATGTTAAAAGTTTCTGCCATTTTTTGGTATGCGAGAGACTTATTTTTACTAGAAGATTTGATCTTAAAACTATTCAGAATGCTGATAGATCCATAAAATTTAAATGTATATATTCAATAATTAAAATCTTTTCAATAATTTCAAATTTCTATTTTCTAATTTCAATAATTAGAATCAAATCACCAATCATCTCTACAGGCTGGGAACTAGTAGGTCACCTTAGTCACTCACCAGAAAAATCTCTTTGAAACCCTTGAGGACCTCTCGAACCACCTTCCTCATTTGGGGCACCAGTTTAAAGATTCTCAGTGGCCGGAAGCAACGTAACATCATGAGGAGCTGGGCACCAGACTCAGGGGGCACATTATTTGGCAGCCAGCATAAAAAGATCAAACTTACCTACAAGGTGGGCAGAAAGATCATCTTAAAGAGCAGTTCTTCAAATTGTAAAATCACTTATTGTTAAATTAAAGGAAATTAACCATTCTTATCAACTTACAAATAAGTTTGAGAAATAGTCAGCTTAGTAGGCTGTTATATTAAATGCACACAATGTTTGTGTGAAAGTGACTAAATTCTTCAGAAATGAGTCAACAGGATGACATTACGTGCCTCATTTAAATGAAGCACGGTTTAGGGGTTATTAAAAGCGATTTTCAGAGCCTCATAAGAGAAGTGAGTAATCAGACAGAACGCCACTGTTCACATGCATTTAAATGCGAGTTTTTCACAAGCGAGCAGCTGAGAAAAAGAGTTTTACTAAGTAGATGAAGATGTCCATGACGCCGCCAAAGTCTCGGATGACTGCAGTGGGAGTGAAGAACAGGCCATCTGCCATAATCTTCAGGTTCAGCTCAATGCTCATAAAGATGACGAACACATATTCTCCAATCTGCAGGGAAAGGGCTGTTTTAGTGTTTCAACAATATAGTCATCGAGTGGTTTTTCCTAAAGCACTACTGTAAGTTATAAAGGTGCCTTTCAGTGATGTAACCACTAGTATGTGATGCTCTTGATCACAAAGTGCTTACACTATAGGATAGGGGCTCATAAAATCCATAATTCAACTAAATATAAACTCACACTCAAGTGGTTCTAAACTTTTATGAAATTCTTTGTTCTGTTATACACAAAACAAGATTTTTGGAAGAATGTTCAGAAAAAGCAGCCATTGACATTTTTAGTAGGATTAAAAGTACTGGTAGTCAATGGCTGTACAGCATCTTAATTTGTGGTCAACAAAAGAAAGAGACTCAAACTGATTTGGAACAAATAATGAATGAGTAAAAAGAGAACTTTCATTTTTGGGTGAACTATTTCTTTAAAAAAAAGCTTATAACTTTTATAAAAGGTTCCTTCTCATTAGCCATTCATCAACAATTCCTCAGAAAAAGTATTAATCTGTATTGAAATATATTTTGTAAGTCATTGAACAGAAATCATCCAATTGTTGAGATAGATTGAGATTTCTTTAAAATGACAAGTGAAACTTATTTCAGTTTTAGGCATCTTAAAATGTACTTTATGTTAAATTAAAAGGTAATAGTACAGTTAGGTCCATAAATATTTGAACATGAACACAATTTTAACATTTTGGGCTCTATACACAACACAATCGATTTGATTTATGATTATTATTCTGTCCAGTTACTTTTGAACCTTTAACAAATGGGAGGCACATATGCAAACTGTTGTAATTCCTACAGCATTCACCTGATTTGGATGTAAATACCAAAGCTATTAAATTAAAGTTGACAGTTTGCAGTTAAAGCATATCTTGTTTGTTTCATTTCAAATCGATTACACACACACGCACAGACGCACAGACGCACACACACACACACACACACACACACACACACACACACACACACACACACACACATATATATATATATATATATATATATATATATATATATATATTTTTTTTTTTTCATTTATTTCGGTTAAAGATTAATTTAATTCCAACTGAATCTTTGTTTTGTAGAAAAAAAAAAATTATTACCATAAATTATTATTAAAGCAAGAATGATATTATGGAATATAAACAAGATCAACATAAAATTTTTAGCCAGTAATGCCACAATTATTTAATCACAGAAAACATAACTGAAAAATTGACGGCTTTGGCAAAGCATTTTCTTTTCTTCTAGCAATTTATAGAAGGCTTTAAGACTGGATGTGTCAGAATACATTTAGGGCAAGACAATTTTTTTTCTATGCTTAGAACAGGAATTGATCTTTAAAATACCCATATCACGTATAGATCAGATCGTTTCAGACTGTCTGAAGTGGAGTTTAAATTAAATAATGTAGAAAGAGAGAGACAGAAAACTGTCAAGAGGGACAGGTCAATCTTTCTGTCTCATAAATAACAGTACAAAATCTTCGAAACAGAGGAACCCTAAACCTTTCATTTACACACTGCAGTTGAGATCATAATCAATGTGCTCTAAAGAGCTAAATTAATTGGATTTACAATCAAAGGTACTGGGCTGCAACAAAAACAAGACAAGATGACCGGCCTTCAGGAGAGAGATGAGGAACATTTACAGTCTAATATAGTTAGTTAGAGGTGTGTGTGACAAAGAATGGTGAGCAGTAAGGTTTAGAATACCTGCAGGGTTGGGACATGCATGACTCTAGTAAAAGGAGACTCAAACATCATGGAAATACAAGAGCAGATAGTGACCACGATCATCACCCAGTCCAGATAGGTTACCAAGCCCAGCAAATCACTGGAGAACACACACAGACACAGACACACATGCAAGGTTTAGTGCAGGCTGAATGTGTCAAAATAGGATTTTCCTACTCTGCATTCCTCCTGCTCTTCAGTCTGAGCTTATGTAACTTAATTTTTCAGATCTTTGAAACTGGTGAAATCCTTTTAGGACAATGTAGCCCAAAAGTTTCTTCTAATCCCACACTGGAATGTCATCCAGATTGAAACTTTTTTAAAGCCCTTTTCTCAAACTGCATTTCTAGAATCAAAATAGACATAACTAAGGGTAACATTCATAGAGCCAAATCACATTTTGACCCCCCAAAATATGAAACTAAGATATACTATATATTTTAGCATTATGTTCAAGGCAATTTTCATTAATATAATAGATCCAGATGATTTAACACTATTTATTAACATTTAAACAATACATTTTAAATTAATTTGTTACATTTAATTTAATCTGCACCATCTAACTTTTTCAAATACAGTATGTTGCCATCTCGGACTGAAATATAAAACTGTAACTTACTTGCTAAGTTATTAATCATAATCACCACATTAGACCTGTCATTCTACATTGACATGTCTGTATGTAACATTTCAGCCAGTTTTGTTCTCACCAATTGAGAACTTCTGAAGAAAACTGCATTACTGAGCATTTCAGCAAGCTAACATTTGAGCATGAAGCATAAACACAGAGCTTACTGTCAAGTGTGTCAGAAAAATTAAGTGAAAGTCAGACAGAGTACACTTGTTGACTTTTATACGGAACAATTCAATTTAATAGACGATTTTCACTTTTTATGTAGTTATGAGCATTAATAAATGCTTTTTGTTATTCTTTTGACTACAATTTACATACTGCAACTTTAAAAAAGTTATATTTTGAATGCACTGTTATATTAAAAGGAATATGCAGGTGTATGCTGCAATTACTCTATACAATTTATGAATTTCACAACAAAACAAAAACACAAAACATAATAATAATAAATAAATAAAAACTCTGTATATAATAACAGATTATCATAACGCATAAGCCCTAAACATTTTGGGACTTACTATAATTGATGGTATTTTGTGCTGTTCACTGCGCCTGTATTGGGATCCGTATTTGACCTATTCATAAAAAGCCCATTAACACAGTATCAGCAAACGTATGGAAAACAAACACACACACAGAGAACAGTTTGTGAAACAAATAACAGTGGCTATGGTGCAAAGGGATTAGTCATCGCCATGATGTGCATGAAAATACTACTGTCTCTATATAATGCAATGGATGTGAAATAGTTTTAGTCTTACGCATTAAAACGGGCTCTAACAATCATTCGGCAAAAGTTTCTGAATCGATGCTCTCTACCAACGATGAAGAGTGGCTTGTCAAAGTATGGATGGTTTTCCCGAAGTTCCTCCTCTTGGACTTTTCTGAGAATTAACAAACCAAACAAAAGCAACAAAACAACAAATAAGAATTCAGAATAAAATCAGAAACCTCATCTACTGCAAACTCTGCTCCCCAATACTGCTTTTATTATTAGGCTACATTCACACTGCAAGGCTTAGTGCTCAAATCTGATGTTTTTTCTCAGATCTGTTTTATTTTATTTATTTATTTATTTTTTGTTTAGCTGTTCACATTGTTGTTATAAATGTGGCCAGTATCCAATTTGCAGTGTGAACAGACCATGGTCCTAAACTGACCTGTATGCCCAAAAGTATACCCAAAATGTCTAATTATGCACACAATGAAGTAAGCACATTGTCAGATTAGGCTTAATATATTTATTACCCTTTTACAACATAACCATTGTATATTTTATGAACTGTACTTGTTCTGCTACTACTAATGTGTATTTCGGAAACCCAATCTATAAATCTTTTTTGATTGAAAACACTGATCATTTGTAATTTATGACAAGTGTGGTGTGCGTCCTTCTGTCCACCGATGTGGTAAACTTATCAAGGGTTAATGAGCAGCAGCCGCAGACTGAACTTTGAAGGCGGAGTACTGTAGGTTTATTTTCATATTCATATCAGTCTTTCATATTTGGTTCTGTTAATGTATTAATTATTAATTAATTATTAATTAATTAATTATTTATTAATTATTAATTATATTATAAGTAAAATATAGCTATTTTGTTAATGAATGGTTAACAAGTGCCAGTTTTGCATTAAATTATTATTTTTATGCTGCTGAGGAGCAGAGGACATTTGCAGCACAGAATGATGATTGGGCCACATATGCATGCAGTGTGAACGTAGTCCACTTTTGGATATTTACAGGGTTCTTAGACATTTTTACTACAAAAATTTCATGATTTTTCCAGGACTTTCAAGTCACTTTTCATGACCTAATGTTTCATGTAATGTCTAGATATACGTTGTATATCATAAGAAATGTTTAAACTTGATACAGCATATTATAAAACACAATAATTTCAATTTATTTTATATCTATGTAAAATAGATGATGTTTATACAGCACTAATAATGTGAGAGCATGTTTTCGGCCAAGAAAAGAAAAGATAATCTTAATAGTTTGTGAAACTAGTATTAGTAGGTAAAACTAATTCTATTATAAAGCCGTGATCACACTGCACTTTTTGCTCCAAAGACTTCCATTTATAGCCATGCGAATGCGGAAGACCAGAAACGCAAGCACGTGTTTCGCATTTCACTGCATTCGAAAGATCAAGCTTGTTGAATTCTTACCTGCGAAATCACATTAGGTGATTGCGTGAGACCAATAGAAGATCATTTAAAATAAGAAATGTAAAACATGGAGCAATCACTCACTTTTATAAATGTCTAATCATATTGTTTAACCCTGCCCTTCTTCGCAGCGCTGTACGACAGAATTTTGCAAGCACAAGCACTAGTGTGACTGCAGCTTAAGTCGCTTTGGACCAAAATGTCTGCTAAATGACTAAATGTAAATGTAATTGCCATGACTTTTCCAAAACTTTGTGGATTTTTCAGTTTTTTCCAAAACTTTTCCAGAAATAGAAAATGCGATGTCAAAAATTTAATGACTTTTCCAGGTATTCCATGACCGCATGAACCCTGTATTTAAAAAAAAACAAGCACATACATACTATAGTATAGTATACTATAGTAAAAATCTGTAAATCAGCTAAAATGAAATCTGATAACTCTTTTATAGTCTCTCCATGCCCTCTGAACATGGCAAATAAATACAGCCGACCTGAAATCAAAGCATTGTTTCTGTGCAATATGTCTTGTCATACACAATGGCGCAATGCCACCATCAGCGTACAGTACAAGAGAAAGATAAGGCGTAATAACTCACACATGGCATGTTTTGTTTGTGGGAAGGAGGGATAAAATCTGTTCGATTGACCGAGTTTGTGGAGTGACAGTATTACCGTTTCATCTCAGCCTGCTCCTTCTTCTCTTGTATCATCTTGATTTCACTGTCCTCCCGCTGGGCATTACGGTAGCGGACCGTGCTGGAGTGCTGCAGAGTTCACACGCGTGTCAGAGATCACAGATAGTGCTGTCAGCTATTGCTCGGTTACATTTGACTCTGTATGTGTATGTGTGTGTGCTCACGTCCTGAGTGAGTGTTTCCAAGGATTTCCCTCTGCTGATTCTCTGGCTGGTAGAGCCATGTCTGAGGGACCTGTGCCAAAAAGTGCAGGTTAAAGCACTAGCTTAATGTAGTGCACTTTAGCCACAAATCTATCCAGTGCTTGTTAAATAAATGAAATAGATGAGTATGAAATCACTGTAATGCTCTTTCCTAACCGGCGTTCTTGGCGGATGTGATGCTGGACACTGAGAATGGATCTCTCTTTAGTTGGCTGACCCTCAAATGAGCCACTCAGCATGCGCTGCCTGGTGCAGGCTCTGGAAAATACACACAGACACAGCAGAACTAGGTCAAAAGCACGTGAATAAATTATGATGTAACACAGTGTGCTATTCTTTTTTTAAAAATGAAGGCATTATTTCTGGTTCAAATTCTGGCTTAGTCATAAGCAGGTCACACGCTGGACACCCCGGGACCATCTGTGTTCGGTGTGCAACCTCTTTTACTATTTATGATTCATTACAGGATGTTATTCTTAGTTTTCAGAATCAAATTCTAATAACCATCTTCCATGTCATTATATTTGATGTTCTGTTCAACAAACAAATTACAAAAGCAAACTGTGTCTGCCCCTAAAAACAAAAGCATGTTTGTTCATTTTGGGTCTGTTCATCCTGTGAGAAAAACTGTCTTTGGTTTTGTATCAAAAATCACAATAGTACCTTTTCCTCTATTAAGGGAATGGTTCTCTATGCTAAACTGTTTTGTGCCAGTCTGCATGGCTATGGTTTCATTTTACATGGTGGGGCTGATAACAATAATGTGTGAATGTTGTTTTATGAACATAATCATGTACAATTTAAACCCTTTAACTGCCCACCAAGAAATTTTTGGATTGCATTTCTTAACCCCTATTGTCGCTAGTTAACACAATCAATGCGTTTTTTTTTCAACATATCCAATATTTTTTAATATCAACAACTACCAAATGGGTCAGTTTATTTTAAAAGTGCCATAATTAATATATGAAAAATCTGAAAATATGAAGTGTAAGACAACTTTATTTAAAAACATAATCAAAATAAAGATTTTTTGAATACTAAATCATCTTTATTTTTGAAGTATCCTGAAAAATTTTGTAGATTCTCATTTAACATGTTTTCTTGTTGTTGTTGTTTTTTTTAAACAATAAAACCAAAAAGTGTAGTAGTGCTACAGGATTAAGTTTGCTTGATTTTCTGTAAACCAGCAGTGCTGTGTGTAAGCCATTTTTTTTAAAACAGTCATTCTTTAAATGACTTTAACAGTCATTATTTAAAACAGTCAAAACATGATCAACCATTTGGTAGAGTAGGCATTTAAGGGGCTAAAATGGGTGGTCTAAGGTTTTCATCAGATGTGAACGAATTATAAATCACAAAAGCAAGAAATAACTGTGACACAGTTATAATAAACAGAAGATTATCATGCATTGGTGTGGACGATAATTGAGTTATCATTATAGTAATCACTTTTTTTGTGTGAGTGAACATGCTCTTAAACGCAAATGAGTTTTGCATACTGTAAATATTCAGGATTACAGTATGCGATGATCAACAGTGAATGCCTTTTAAGCTGTCCCACAATTGACTGTCATGTACTCTGTTGTTTGTCTGATGCAGCAGATGGTTCTTATTAGTTTACACTGTGTTTTGCAGGTGGAAACCCATAGAGAGGAAACTAACGCCCATGGAGAGGAAACTAATTGATCGCTCTTTTATCCAGAGTGGTCGAATTTGACCTGTGGTGCACAAAAATTTTTTTGCAAACAGTAAAGTGAAGAGGAAGGCATAACCTGACATTTAATATAGGTATGCAAGTTTACATATAAGCTTCATTTATAGTGCTGAAAAAAATGATATAATTTTTAACACATTTGCATTTGAATGTGGGCATTTAAATGTATATTTTTCATGAGTTATTCTAATTTATAAATTCTGAATTTAGTGGCATCATCTGCTAGATTAAATTTTAAAACTTTAAATTTATTAATTAAATGTTCAAACTTGAATTAAATAATTCATACTTTTTTCATTATTTTTTCTCATCATCAGATTACATTTCAGTTTTATAGTATCTAGACAAAAACAAATCTAACCTACATTTTGCTATTATTACAGTTAAAATGCCATACTTTTACTATGTAGTTTTTTCCTAACCTATTTATGCATTTCCTGGAAATAAACAGAAGTGAAAAATGCAGAATCACAACAAGTTTTGTTAAGTGGTATGAAAATGCAAAGCAGATGTTCCTACATTAAGGAACCAACATCAGTCAAAAACTCAAGGAAGTATTTCTGGGAAATAGAGTTCACCTTCCTTCTTTAAGATGACTTTAGATGCAGAGCTGTTAAAGAATCTGTCTGCTGAAAGTCCTATAGTATTCTACAAATATGCATTTCCCATGTTATGTACCTTATCCATGGCTGAATTTGAGACTAAATTTTGGGCCGAAATTATAATTTAAAGTCAAGAAGCAAAACAGCTTTTTTTATTATTATTTTATTTTTTTCATTATTGCATTTCTGTCATTCAAACGGCTCCCTCTGTTCTTTGAAGATGACCCATGAATAACAAGTATTTAAAGTATTTTAGTATTAACAAGTATTTAAAGTATTTAAATAGTTCATCAAAATATGAAAATAGTCCCATAATACAGAAATAAAGTTACAGAAGGATTGGTTTCCAGTGGTCTGCTAACACGTGACTAAAATATGTTTGTAAGGAACATTTTTTACCCAAGAGCTTTTCACATCTGGAAATGGTGAAATCTGGATTTGCATACAATGTTCCACAATGAAAGTGAAAGTGCCAAATAGCAGTTAAAGTTGACAAATTAAGAATGAAACACCCAAAATTACTTGAAACTCCAGAGAAAAAGTGGATAGCGTGGTGACACAATGACGTTAATCGTATTATGTGCTCTAACATGTGAAATGGGATCATGAAAGGAACAATAAAAAAGTAACTCATGAAAACACCTTAATCATACAGTATTATTGTTTTATTCAGATTTAGGCAAATAGTTTGATGACTGATGTCCATGTTTACTGTTTATTTCTCTAAGTCTGTGTTGTCGCTGTGAAATTAAGCATGTGCTCGTACTTTTCATGCAAACCCTTCCCTCTTTTGCCACTCAACAGTCCCACGTAAATAAAGCTGGACTCACACACTTTTCTGACTTTTTTCAAACTAGAGGTGTGAAAACACCCTGCTTAGACAGAGGAAACTACGTCTTTTTAAAAAAAAAAGAAGACGAGTGGCAAATCTGGACTTCACCATTTCCAGATTTGAAAAGCTCTTGGGTAAAAATGTTCCTCACAAACATATTTTTGTTGCGTGTTAGCAGACCACTGTAATCCACACATGTGGGTCAACACATGAGCTGTTCTCTCATTGTGAAGAAATGAAAAAAAAAAAAGCCTTCTTTGTAGCACATTTATAAACGCAACACTGATGACCTATGTCTCCAAACAATTCTTCTTTTTCTACTTGTTTGAAGTAGGGTTGGGAACAAAACATGGTGTCTCTCTTATATTATGCATAATGAAGTTGCATCTCGTCCACAATAGAGCTTGCTGATTGGTTCAAACCAAGTCTTTCTTATGACATAATAAACAGATGGGCTGAATACTCAATGACGCCACTTTGTACCAGCTGGTACAGACAGCCAATTTCCACGCTGGGATTTAAGCAATGATCTCATTGCTGTGACGTTGTTCAACAATTTCTTTTTAAACCGGAAGAACAAATTCACTCTAAACAACGCAAAACCAAAAAATTTTCACTTTTTAGTTAAATATATGAGTCCTATTAGTGTTTTTAGCAACGTGGGACACATATCAGACCTCATAGTTTTTTGCGATTTCTGGATTGCAGAATCCAACACAAAATCAACAAAAAGTCGCACATTTTTGTGATGCTGCAAAATTCTTAATTAAATGCAAAATAATTGCAAAAAATGTTAATAATCTCATAAAACATCCAAATCCAAACCATGTAATCAAATTAGATTTAATTCAGTTTACAATTAATTTGTTACGTGACTTATATATATTGCATACACAGAGCATGTGATGTATTTGTTTCTCGAAAAATGAACTCTCATCTGCGTCCTTACAATCATTACAATACATGGAAAGAGGGGGAATGTTTTTACAGCCTGTGCAGTAAGTAGATGCAGATGATGCACGAGTGATTTATATGTGAAGCCAATGCAAAGATGCGATTAGACATCCTGTGGCGCCAAAACTCTTTCCCTGCAGTTAACAAGAGAAAATGCTTCCCTGGATGAATTTTACGGCAATCCGTGTTTAAGGTGTTTTACAGTAGGGGAAGCCCTAATGCATTTTTCTATGTGTGAGGTACATGATGTCAGGGTACACAATGTCAGATGCTCTGGGGAGTAAAATCTGAGAAGAGAAAAAGTAAGTTGAAAATGAGAGTTATACCACCTTTCTTAAATCTTTCTTGAATCCATCTTGGCTGAATCCCTTCTGTTTTAGATCTGTTTCAGATCTTGTCTTGACAAAAGATCAAAATAAGCAAGCTTTATATTTATGATTTATAAAAGAGGCTACCTAATATGGTAAATAAGAAATATATTTTATAATCACAAAATTATCCGCAAATTTCAGGGAATTACCACCGCAAAATCATTATTTTTTATCACAAAAAAAAACATGAAAAACTAGGGTCTGATATATGATTGTCAACATCTCAAAAATGTGTTTTGGTGTTTCATGACCCTTTAACAATTATGGGACCATTCACCTCAATTCTGTGACCATTCACTACAATTACAAAGCTAAGAAGAGAAAATATAGTAAATGACTATTAAAAAGCATATACACATAAGACAGTTTGAGGGCGAGTAAATTATTAGTCATATTTATTATTTTTGCGTGAACGATACCTTATACACAGATATCAAAAAAGTGAGAATATCTATTTGGATAAGATAAACGCAGTGTTATTTGAAAGAATAATCCTTCTACAACCCTTCTGCAACCCTTGTGGTATTGTCTTACTGTTTTTAAAGACGAATATTTCAAAGTTATGTCTGGAAATGAATTGTAACTGGTGAAGCTTTAGCTGTAATTGGTATTGGGAAATTGTTCCACTGCTGAGATCCCATTGGCTGTTTATGCTCTAAATCAGTGCTGATCTATGTATGCTTTGAAAAGCCTGCTGCTCACCACCGCCTTTCTATTGTCCATTAATTGCAGAGTCATGTACCAGAACACAGCTAATGACTATTTCAGCTTCAAGAGAACATGTCGCCCTTATTTATGGCCACTCAGAGTGATGAGTGTCTGGCTGATGAAGGGTATGTGTGTGTCTGTGTGCGCTTGTGTGTATGCAGACAGACCGATCACCCCAGACGGCACAGACGACGTGGGATGGCTACTGATGTGCCGTCTGTCTGTTTAGCACAAGGAGGAGGGGGGGACAAGGTATGTGTGTCTGTGCGTGTGTGTAACATGAGGGAGGTAGAAACGGCGACGACGTGATCTGAAATTTAAGCACACAGACATGAACGGCTGAAGCAAATTGTGGGAATACGCGGTTGCATCGCTGCCAGATTTGAAAATTTGTTTATTCATGCTCACAGGTGACCCACTAACAGATATATTGATATGGAGACGCCATTATCTGCTCTGACTGCTGGCCTGGAAGCAAGACAAACATGGAGTCCAAATCATGAAAATGGAGGATTGCAATCAAAACACATCCAGCCTGTATTGGGATTAATGTGTTTTTGGCTTTGGTTGCTAGGGAAGCAATGCTCGAATGTACTTAATTTAAAAACACAGATCATCACATACTGTATCTGTAATATAACATTATATTTTTCATGCATTTTAATATTATAAATTTTAGACATATTTCTCTAATATTTCCCCTAATTATAAAAGTGTGTCATGAAATAAATTAAAATATTTTATTTATTTCTCTGAAATGAAGTCATATTTCCCAAATATTTCCCTTAATTATAAAATGGTTGGTCGTAATATAAAATAAAATAAAATATTTTATTTAATTTATTTCCCTGAAATTTTGTCATGTTTCCCTAATATTTCCCAAAATTATAAAATAAATAAATAAATAAATAATAAAATTAATAAAACACTAAAATAAATAAATAAATAAATAAATAAACTAAAATAATTCCCAGCTCGATGGTTGATTGCGGCTGAAAGATCATCTGCTGTGTAAAACAGTAGTAGTTGGCGGTTCATTTGACTGTGGCAAACCCTGATGGATCAGGGACAAAGACAATAAATAAATAAATAAATAATATAAAACAAAATATATTTTTCTATGAAATTTTGCCATATTCCCATAATATTTCCCTTAATTATAAAATTGTGGGTTGTGAAATAAAATAAAATAAAATATTTATTTCCCTGAAATTTTGCCATATTTCCTCTATATTTGCCTTAATTATAAACTAATTTTTATTTATTAGTTGGTAGTTAATTTCACTGTAAAATAAAATAAAATAAAATAAAATAAAATAAAATAAAATATTCCTGATGTCTACAAGATCTGTGATTAAAAGGAGAAAAACAAGCTCACCGCAAAATTTTGTTGACAGTGATTTCCTTTTCCATTAGGTTGCGAGCCCGGATGCTAAATACTGACTTTCGTAGCTGGGAAGAAGAAGAGGTTTACAGATATGTACACAGATCAATGCACAGATCATATACACATATTCACAATACACAGATCAATACACAGCACAATTCAAAAGTGTACATCTCCAAACAACTATTATTATGTGGGTAAATCTGACTTTGACACTAGCAAACAAAAACATCCCAATGTAATAAAGAAAATATTGTTATATAACTGCTGGTTATTTGAGTCTTGTTGCGTGGGAAATGGATCGGTTCCTTTCAGAACATTCATGAGATTATTGTTTGGTCCCTGTGTGTATTGAGGGGGCAGACTGTAGGAGTGATGGAATGTGCTACCTTCTGATCTATGTATTTATTATCCTCAATGGCAGAGCGTTTGGAATGGTCGCAAGACGAGGATGATGCTGAGGGAAGGCGACGGAACAGACAGCTAGGGTCCTGCTGCTGTCGGTCGATGAACTGCTTCATGAAACTCTCCCTGTGGCACACGCAAACACACAGGAGACTTCACGTCTAACAGGATTCTTAAAGATGAATTCGGAGACACACAGCATAAATGAAAGAGAGCCAATATTGAGAATGAATCTTTCATGTTAAAGCCAAATGTGAATCCACACTTCATTTGTGTGTTATACTTCTAGATTAAAGAAAACTCCAAAACTGGTTGCAACCATAGTAAAGTGTTGACTTTTGCTAAGTAGTTTGTTGCTATACAGTTGTAGGTGGTTAAGGTGGTTGCTAAGATCAGCATGATTTTGTAGGTCAATGGTTAGTAATCCAAAATGTTCAACCCAGGCTCTTTCTGAAAACTTACCTTTATATACATTTCTGGAGAGCTTGAAATATGACCCAGGAGATACATTTTTTTTAGTTTTTGTTTTTTGCGAACACACCAGAGGCCACTGTTGACTGACTGTTTGACTGACTGAATGGCTAAGTTAGTTAGTTAGTTAGTTAGTTTATATACAGATAGAGATGGAGCATGTCTGATGTGGGGTTGAAGCCCGTTCCAGAGTTCCTGGGGATATATGCTCATACTTGGGAGTCCCTGTTAGAAGTCTCGCAGCCGCATTTTGTACTAATTGCAATCTATTCAGGGCATTTTGACCAATACTCACATATAGAGAATTGCAATAGTCAAGTCTTATTAAAATAAAAGCATGGATTACCTTCTTAAGGCCATTAAAAGAGAAAAATGACTTCATTTTTGCCACAAGTCATAAATGGAAAAAACTCGATTTAACAACTGAATTTACTTGTTTGTTAAATTTCAGATCACTATCGAAATGAAACCCAAGGTTTATAACAACAGGTTTTTGATAAGTTGATAGCTCACCAAAACCTAATAAATGCAGAGGGTTAGCCAAGAGGGGTTAGCCAGAGGATTGCCAAACCAGACCAGCTCAGTTTTTTCTTAATTGAAATGTAAAAAATTTGATGAAAGCCAGGTCCTAACCTCAATTGGACATCTCACAAGGGAGTCAAGGCCATTTTATCATTATTTTTAAAAGGGACATAAATCTGAGTGTCGTCAGCATAAAAACGAAAAGCCACTCTATATTTACGAAAAATAGATCCTAAAAGTAAAATGTTTAAAGAAAATAAAATTAGGTCCAAGGATAGACCCTTGCTGAATTCCACATGAAAAGTTCCAACATTAACACAAAAGCTTCTAAGTGACTTACCGATCGACTGACCCGCCCTCCTCCTTCCCTAAACCCAACCAATAGTGTCTCCAAAAGCACAGATTGACCCGCTCATCCGCTTCCATAAAACCAACCAACAATTTTCAAAAGCAATGAAAAAAAGAACTCATCTAATTTTCATCACTTATTAGATTTAACACATTTTCACTCTGTTATTTACTTGTTTGCTAAACTTTTTGGCTTCTGTTTTTGTTTAACCCGCTTTCTGGAACCGTTCTTCACTGGACTTAAACCCCATGTTGATTCTCTCTGCATCGCAAGTCTGATAATGTACATGGCGAGCTAATTTGACAAATTGGTAACAGTGGGAAAGTCTTCCATTTGGAGGTAAGCTGTCAGCTGGTGAGAGCGAAAGGAATGGCGTCATACATACTTCTGGCTACATAGTTCCATTATTACATAATAATCTTCAGAAACCTATATAGGGTTACATTTTTTAGAACAAGGCTATGTTGAAAATGTTTCTGGCTGGTTACTATTGTAGAGTGATCAGGATGGCAGTAGGTGGTTGCTTGATGGTTGCCAGGGTGTTTTGGATATTTGCAGATGGCTGCCAAGGTGCTGAGGGTGTTATTTGGTTGGGTAATAATTGGTATGGCAATGAGAAAGGCTGCTAGAGTAATCTTGATGGATATTAGGCAGTTGCTAGAGTCTACAATGTGGTTAATATGCAGACATCCCACCTCTCTCGGAAGCTCCAGGAGTTTCCCACATATTCATAGTTGCTCCCTGAGCTCCGCAAATTAGATACAATATTCCAGAAACTGGTGGCAAGAGGGAGAACACTCATGCTAGCGAGCATGTGCAAGAGAGTATATCATATGTAGTGATATTGTAAGCCTTAAATTATATGAATATCGCAGTGTGTCTAGTGTGAATTGCTGTGGTCATTGGAACAGCTGTAGGAATGTAAATTATCATATGCATTTGTTTACGTGGCAAAATGTCTTTTTCACCAAGAAGGTTAATACAGATTCCAAAAGCAGATACTTATAAGATCATGGTCTGGTTAATGTGTGTGGACTTTGGGGGTTTTACGATGTGGTCACATGTTGATTGGTCAGTTTGTACACTATGGGCCCTGCTTTCGGTTTTAAAAGAATCAAGCAGCTTTAAAAAATATCTAATTTGCTGAAGAGAAATGACACGAAAAAAAAAATAAAATAAAAAGATTAAACATATCGGGACTGTTAAAAGAAAATTCCTCTTTGATATATTCTTTCGACTCCGATACATCAGCTAAGATTATGAATGACGGAGTGTCTCTCCTGCTTCAGCAGCGTGTCCCGCTGGTTAAACGATGAGGCGGAGAGAATGCGCTGCTTAGTGAACCTAACGCGCCATTATTTTAATTCTATATTCGTGAAGAATGAGCCAACCGCATATGCTTAGTCCTGTTGGTCGGGACTCTGCTTTATAACTTAGTTTATTACAATAATCACACTTAGCTTTGCCATCGTTCTTCACATGTTGCCACTCGGCACATCTTGCGCTCCATCTTTAAACAAATGTTTACATTATTGAGGTGCTCTCCGGCGGCGAAGTTTCTGGCAGAGTAGCGAGTGAAAAAATGTGCTTGCAGAAATTGGAATCAAAATTTAAATTATATATAACAAGCATCGTATTCTTTCTAATCCTCGCCCAGTTTTAATACAAGTTGTTTTTATATTTGTGGCTGTGAAGTTTATTAAGAATATATATATATAGCCTACTTTATTTTTTTATACTTTAAGTGATCTGCTTGAGGTAGGTCACGTTTATCAATGGTAAGTTTTAGCCTAAGTTTACATCAATAACATAATGTGTATTGTCCTTTACCATACAAAAAAAAAACAAGAAAAAAAAAACATTATTATACATAGTTGCCTGTAGCCTAAAGGCCGCAAATGCATTAAAAGGCAAGCGCATATCTTAGCCTTGAGTTTGTTCACACTCTGCCTGTATTAACATAAATGTTGTATTTTAATATAGCTTATTTTGATGAATTAGCTCTAACCTTCGACAGTTTTTTCTTCTTTTTCCGCGGTTATGCGGCATTATATTTCACACACATTTGCAAGGTGACTGAATATGAAGTTAAAATACAAAACATACTGAGCCATAAGTAAAAAAAAAACAAAAAAACAAAACAACAGTTATAGCTACTTTAAAGGAGAACATTGACGTTTTGAAAAAAAAAAATGAACAGAACTGAAACTAAATTATTAAAAATAAACCTGCAAGACTTAATTTATGTCCTGCGGCAAAAATAATTTTATTATACTTTTAGTGATCTGCTTAAGGTAGGTCAATTTATTTTTCTCAGTGTTTCACGTACTGTACGGCAATGTCTTTAAATAAATAATTTATTTAGGCCTATTTTCATTATTCATTTATTTTCATTATTCGTTTATTATTCGTTTATGTACAATTGTTGAGACATAAATAAGATAGTAAAATATAATCAACAACGAAAATGGAAATAAAAACAGAAATAAAACATAAATGAAAATGTCTTGTCTTAGTCCTATCAAAATAGCAAACACTGAACATCTTTCTATATTTAGGCTGCTTTATTTATTTATTTATTTATTTATTTATTTATTTATTTATTTATTTATTTATTTATTTAAGACTACTTATTTGTACTAAATGTTTGTGCTTTCATTTTAGTTGTCTTTTACTTCTTCAATTCTATTTTCCAAAACGAATCCTCTTTGCACTTAAAAAGTTTACAATAAAGCGTGTTAACAAATTTTAAATGATTAATGAAGGAATTATAATGCTTTGACTTATTGTTTAATATCATTTACAAGCACAGTAGCTGTATGATCTATTTCTGTCCGTTCGCATCCCGTCCCTTTGCGCCCCCTGGCGGCTCATTCACAAACTGCGGTCATACACTAAAAACAGAGCGGCACCTATTTCAAACGGCGGCGGTACCAGCCGCGGCGTTAATAGCCACTTTGAACTCTCACCTACTGTATGTCTCAGTATTTGGGCTTTGGTCACATGGTCAAGAAAGATACAAAATAGTTAATAAACTTTGCTCTGTGCTATTCCTGCTCTGTTTCTCTCCCACTCTCTCTCTCCCCCTCCCCGTCTCTCTCTCAGGTATTTTTTTTTTTTACATTTAAGAGAGATACAAATTATATGTTTTTATCATTTCATGATTAATCTTTTTATACAGTTATTTTGCAATTCTGTTGTGACCATTGCAAGTTATTGTCACTAAATCAATTCTTTTTCAAGTATTTTTGAATTGCTGTTGCTAGGATGATCTGGATGGTTGGATTTCTGTGGCTAGAGTGTTCAATGTAGTTTGAGAGGCAGTTGCAAGGGTGAGCTTGACTGTTGCTTGATGGCAGGTTGTTACTTAGGATAATGGTTGGTATGGAAGTCAGAAAGTAACGATAAGGTAATTGGAAAGCGGGTGAACTTGATTGTTTCAAGGTTATCGCTAAGTTATGCAGCATGGTACATAAAAAGGTTGCCCAGGTTGAAATTGAAAAAGGTTGAAATTCATGGTTGCTATGCTGATTTAGTTATTTTTGTAGATGGCATTTGGGGGAGTTCATTTTGGCTCCTAAACACCTTTGAGCTATCATTCGGTCTGTGGTGATTATGCAATCAATTCCGTATCGTGACGCAGTTTTTAGAGAAACTGAATTTTAAATGAGCAAACAGTAGGCGTGGCTTGTTTTTTCTATCGCAGGCTGAATGGACGTAGTAAAGTAGGCATTTCATTTAGAAAGATCTGGAAAGGGTATTTAAAAGAGTTATTACAACCTAGAAAACTCTTCCTCCACACCATTTCTGTTGGTTGGAGCAGTGTTAGCCACGCCCATTACCTCAAAATCACATAATCTTAGGAATTAACTGAAAACAAAAAGTGCATTTTCAGATTTCAATTAACCATTAGAAGGGCAAAAAAATTTTTCTTAATGACATGCACAGATGAATTATTCACCACAAAACTGGCAATGTGAGATAACAAAATCATATAGTTAGTTTTGATTTCTTGGGGACTTTAAAGTACAATTTCTTCCCCCAATTCGTTTCTCATTCCAGTGGGGTCAGACAGGAGAACAAAATCTAAAACAGCAACACTAGCCACAGGAATATACTGGACAGTCAAGTGACAAAGCTGGTAAAGATGTAACCGCAAATGTATGAACGCACATGGAGAAATTATAAAGACTCTAAAAGGGTCACCCACTGGATGAGACCACCTTATTGTGTCACATCTTTTTTAAGAGTTTGTGGCAAATAGAAAGCAATATAAAGCCTTTTCAAGCTTATTTTTGTTTCAAATGAAGAACAAAAAAACAAACAAAAAGAAACTTGGTTTGAAGCATACCTGGGCCTTAAGGTGCTGTGCATGGCTGTTATTTGATAGAATAATGGCTGGTAGGGTAAACAGAAAGGTTGCTGGGGTAATCCAGACAGATACTATTTGGTTGCTAATGTGTTCAGCATGGTTATTATTTGGTTGGATAATGATTGGTCACCAGGTTGGTTGCTTACTAGCCTAACATCACATTAAAAGAGCTCAGTGATACTCTGGCTGCCATTCTTAGTTTGGAAACCTCCTGTAATGCAAGTTTGAGATTTCTGTGCATGTTTAATCATCCATCAAATGAAAAAGACTGATAAGCTCTGATTACTACACGAAAAAGCCCACCTCTTTTCATTAACACTCGAGATCTCATTCAGCTCACCTGATTCTGGGCACAGTGAAGTCTGAAGGCAGCTTGGAGATTTTCACCATCTGCGGTCGATTGGGGAACTTCTCAAAGATTCGCAGTCGCAAAGGAAGTTTCTCTTTTGTATCAGCATTGGCTTCACTCTGCTTCAGCTGTGGAGAGAAGACAGGAGACTCAGTGGAAACAAATGTCTCGTTCTGTGACTCAGTCGAGAGACACTGATGGGGCCACATTGTGTTTTCACACGTCACCCTCAAAACATTTGCCGGGCGGTCCAAAACTGACATAAGCTGACTATCTCAACTCCACAATTGGCCATTTTGAAAACTCAGCTAGTCTTTAAGTGGAATGCAAAGACTGTGTTTTATATTCAGTTCCTCATGTCTGGCTGTGAGAGAGGAAGGGGTGAGTCCGTACGGTGCACTGCTCTGAATTAATGTGCCCCTCTGAGGCTTAACTGACTTTATGTGCCATAACCTTTTATCTTTGCCCATGTCCATCAAGCAACATAAAGGCCTCAGATGATTAGTCTAAAGCACGCTAGAGGATCACTTCTCATTCTCCTGTCAGAAAAGATACATAAATTAAAGAAGAAACTTAGATGACAGAATGGCTCATATGTTGTAAACATATCTATGAATGTGTATTTAAAAACAAATAAAAACCTTAACTATGACATAACAAACCTTATTTTATGTATTTATTTTAGGAGAGCAAAATGTTCCTTTCAGGATTATAAATCAAATCTTTCCATCCACAAGAGTGCTGTTCTGCTGGGCTGTCCAAAGATGGCAGCAGCGCACAGTCTCAGTAACAGTTATCCATCCATTACTACAAATGCTGTCAACTCATTTTGCTTCAGGACCCAGATTTTAAATGGACAAACATGTAGAAACCCAAGATGGAAAAACTCTAGAGTTGGACCACACAACACAATATATGACATGGGAGGTATTCTTTATCTTATTTATTTGACCATGTTCTAGGCATGGTTATAGAGTTGTTTTTTATTATTTTCTCAAAATAGACTCTTAAAATTAGAGCCACTGAGAGAGATTCAGCAGAAAAGTACTGCAATAGAGTGCTGCAGCTGCCAAAAACCCAGAATAATAATGCACCACTGGTTCTCTTGAGATTTTTCAATGAGATTTTATGATGGGTTTTTTATGAGTCTGACAATTTATGTGGTAAATATACACTACCGTTGAAAAGTTAGGAATCAGTAAGATTTTTAATTGTATATGAAATACTATTTCAATAAAAAATGGTGACAGCTTTTTAATTTTTTTTAATATGCTGTTTTGTTTTTTAGTTTTTTTTTTCATCAAAGAATCTTGAAGAAAAATGTATCAAATGTAAAATATGAGGAGCAAAAAAATAATTCAGGATCAATAATAAGAATCACAATTATTAATATAGCACCACTAACATTCTGCATAGTACAAAGAGTTTTGAAGCATCATGTGAAATCACAATATTAAATTACATTATAAAATACAATTACATAGAAGTGTTACTTTTATTTTTATTATAAAAATTTTTGATTTATTGATTTCATAAAATTGGACGCATTTGTGGGCCTAATAGATTTCTTAAAAATATATCACGAAACTGACTCCAAAGCTTTTATCAGTAAATTGACAATACTTCAAACAAGTATAAAAAACACACACTCAATGCAGACTTAAATAGAGTGTAACACCTTATAATTACACGATTAATCTATTAAGCATTAGCAAATAATGTTTACATTATGTAGACATTAGTAAGCAGCTTATAACTGCAGATACAAATGCTCCATTCATAATTTAGTATATACACATTTAAAATGTGCTTAATAACATACTTTGTTACTGATTCATTTTTCAAGATTAAATTAAGTATCACATTATCTACAAATCATTTGTCTTTAAGAGTAGTTGGGTTTTTCTAAGATCATTCAGAATGAGTTAGTAGTTAATTTGAATATAATAAATGCTTTATTAACGTCATCCAGTTTTGTGACCGAATCTAAAGTGAGGACAATTTATGCTTTATAAATCCTTAATAAATGACAATTAATTAATAAATTAATACTTATTTTTTATTTGATAGTTTCATTTGTGTATCTTCAAATGAATAGAATTGAACAAAGTCATTTAATTTATTTTTTTCCTGTTTGTAATATAACTAAGCCTCTAATTGTCATTTATAAGAGATTTATAAATAGTCCTCACTTTAGATTAGTTCACAAAACTGTATTAAGTTAATAAAGCATTTATTAAAATACAAATAAACTTTACCTGAATAACAAGATATATACAATGTTAATTTGAATAGTGTATTAATAATTTACTCACACATTCTGAATAATCTTTAAAAACCAGCAACTTCTCCAAAATAACTGGTTTGTAAATTATGCAATACCTAATTTAGTATTAAAAAATAATAATTACAAAGTATGAAAATACAATCATTAAGCACATTATATATGTGATTATAAGTCAAGAGCAGAGCATTTGTATCTGCAGTTATACTAACATCTGTTAATATAAAGTTAATGCTTAACAGATAATGAACTTTTTGCTAATGCTTAATAAACAACTATGCATGTAAGACTTCTGAGCTGTGAGTGTGTTCAGGCTGTTTGACATCATAATTGCAGCACTCTATACAATATAATTCAATACACCATTAGGGAAACAAAACAAAGCCAAAACGAGGACAAAAAGTAATTTCTGTAAACACGTTCACACAAACAGGCTGTGGTCAAACAAACGGGAATGCCATAAACAACAGAGAGCAATTAGTTTCATTAAATTGAATACTGTATGAAAAGAGACACACTGAAAGTCTTTCTATCTGGATGGCTGTAGATAAACCCAATGCATTTCTGATTAGAATTGAGAACTAACAAAATTAGGCTTTTTTTATGATCGCTTATGAATGGAACTGCATGTCTGACCTGAGCGCTTCAGGAAATGAAAGGCATTTGGCAAATGGCCATTACTGAATCACACTTTACTCTGACTCATGATTTAGTTCATTCATGAATTGAATTGGTCTTACATTCAGACTTTAGCATTGCAGCGCACATGCTGTTTTTATACAGAGTTATAGAAAGAAGGTCATGTTCTGTGCTGGAAGTGAAGCTGATGTTACTGAGAGCCTGCAGTGAGAACGATGCTGCTGGATGCTTGAGCCAAGAGGAAATGTGCTCAACATGGAGCTTGTCCATTTCAGTGCATTGAGGTGATGGTTTAGCCTGCTCAAACCAAATGTGATGCTGCTGTCAGAGAAGATTGCTTTAGCAGCGGCCAAAAACAGAACTAGGCTGTGCATTTTAACCAAGGCCCTGTTTACACCTGCTATTAAGATGTGTTTTGCTAAATTGGATCACATTTACTGTAGATGAGAAAGACACATTCCTCTTGTATTTTTTCTTTTGTCTACTCTTTAACTTCATCCACTTTGAGGGAGGAAGGGTCAATGATTGGGTGTTTTTTTGTTTTGTTTTTTTTACTTTTGCAGTTTTATTTGTAAAAATAAAATTATTGTTAGGGTTTCAGATCTTGCTCCAAGAATTTTTTTTTCTGACAATGTTTGTATGTTTACGTGAAAGGTAACACAAGCAACACTTTGTTGAAAGTGTATAGATGCCATTATTAAGCCTTTCTGAGTTCTGAAACATATAATTCATCACATATGACTTAATCAAAAATGCACTCTAAAAACACTGGGTTGCTTTAACAAATGCTAAATAAAAATGGTCAAACCCAATTGTATTTTCTTATGATTTAAATGATATTTTTAACCAGACTGTTGTGCTTGTCCATATTTTTGCCAGTGTTTGTTAAAGTGTCTGATTTTCTTTGGAAGACTCTCCTAGGAATGCATCAATAGAGCCGCCATTTTAGTACAGGGTAACGCTCCTTTGAAATAAATGTGGGATCAAGGTGTTGTGGAGGACTGGCCATCCAGAGCCAGAGATATACATATATCTATGATTAGGAGTTTTCCCTGTGGTCAGTACACAAATATATGTTTTTTTAATTATGAAAATTATAAATTTACATCTTACTTTTCTACATTGATGGATACGTGGCTGCACAGGCATTGCTTACAAAGAGCATTTATTTGTGTGCATAAAAATGTATTATCCTCCCTCCCTGTTAAATTTGATCTAATCTGTGTCCTAAAATACACTCTCTCTTCTGCTTTCACTTCTCATTCTAACAGAGGGAGTGATTTGTTTGTAAATGAATCCCCATTATAAACGACTCATTCACTTAATTAGTCGACAATAATACATGTTTTTAGCACCACATCGTCTTGTCATATTTCTTTTTCATTGTTTGCTAATTTTATTCAACAAAACTAGCATAAGCCTAGAATTTAGTGCAAGTTGGTGCTACTTTGACTTATGGTGAATGCAGGAAGTGACTGTAATATCATTAATAGCATTACTTGTTGAGCACAAAAGTTTGTAACATACAAAATCGTAAAAAACTAAATTTTACATATGAAATGTTCTGCCTTTGTGCTTTGTTTTCTTTGTTTGCTTCTTACTACACCTGTACACAGAGCTAAAGTCCAGTATCTTCACATCTGGCACACTTTCTTGACTAATGCGGTTGAATGAATTTTGTCCTGGGAGCACTGTACAAATGTGGCGGTGCTATTGATGCATGCTCTGGGTCCGTATGCGATATCTAGTGTATATATCTATGCTGTACTACTGGCAATATTACTACTACTACTACTACTAATAAAATTATTCATCCATTCATTTTCTTTTCGCCCTGGTCTCTTTATTAATGTGTGGTTGCCAACTTATCCAACATATGTTTTACGCAGCAAAATGTTTTAATAGTAATGTGCAGTGTAAGAAAATGTAATATCCTTAAATAACAGAGTAATGCAAGTAAAAACATATAATTTATTTCCCAATGAAGGACTTATATAGTTTAACAATGACTTCCATTATTATCCACATTTAAATTACTTAGAATAATTATTTTACACAGTAAACACTGTTTTTCACCTAATAAGCGTATAGCAATTCACAGGTGCCGCATGGGAGCTGCTCTGAGAAAATGCAACACGGATGATCTGGACAGCAATTTTTAGTCTAACATTAATACATTTTTTATGAAAGACATAAAAATATATA